TTGTCGTGGATCTCGTAGTTGCGCTGGACATCATTTAAGCTTTTGGAATAGAATGCTACAGGGTGCCACTTCCCGTCCGGGGCGGATTGTGAAAGAACCGCCCCCGTCGCATAATCAGAGCTGTCTGCCTCAAGTCGGAAAGGCCGTGCGTCGTCCGGAATCGCCAGGACCGGTTCCGAGGTGACCGCGTCCTTGATCGCTTAGAACGCGGAGGCCTCCGCGTTGCCCCAAGTCCATTGCTGGTCCTTCTTGGTGAGCACGAAAAGAGGGCGTGCAAGGGTCGAGAAGTCCCGAATGAACCTGCGGTAGAAGTTAGCGAACCCAAGGAACTGCTGGATGTCCTTCTTGTTTTCCGGAGTCGGCCAAGCGGAGACGCCTGCGACCTTGACGGGGTCCATTTCGACGTGGTTGTGGGAGATGATGACTCCGAGGTACTCGATTGACGATTTTTCAAAGTCGCACTTCTCCGCTCGGAGGTACAACTTGTGCTCTCGGAGTCGCCGCAAGACCTCCTGAACGATCTGCCGGTGTTTCCGGAGGTCGGAATGGGCGATCAGGATGTTGTCAAGGTAGATCATGACGTCTCCGGAGAGGATGAGGTCCTGAAAAATGTCATTCATCATCGTTTGGAACGTCGCGGGAGAGTTTGTCAGGCCGAAATACATCACCAAGGGCTCGAACAGGCCTCAGTTAGTCCGGAAAGCCGCTTTCCACTCGTCACCTTCCCTGATCCGGACGTTGTTGAAGCCCCAACGGACGTCCGAGTTTGGTGAAGTAACGAGCGCCTTTGAGCCGGTTGATGAGGTCGTTGATTAGCGGAAGGGGGTACCGGTTTTTGACAGTCATCGTGTTGAGAGCACGGTAGTCCTGGACGAAGCGGAGTCCGCCGTCCTTCTTCTTGACGAAGAAGACCGGAGACGCCATCGGAGACTTAGAGGGGCGAATCCGGCCCGTCGAAAGCCCTTCCTCGATGAACGCGTCGAGCTCGCGTTGCTCGAGGGGCGAGATGGGGTACACCTTGCAGTTGGTGGGCTTAGCGTCGGGGACGAGTTCAATGGCGTGGTCCCAGGCTCTCCGCTCCGGTAGCGTGTCGAAGGACTCCTTGTTGAAGACGTCCTGAAACTCCTTAGCCCAGTCCGGGATCTCGGGGGCGGAGGGGCGGAGTTCCTGGCGAAGGCTTCGGCCAGGCGCTGTGAGACAGTACTGCCAGCGCGTATCTCCTCCGAGGGGCGGAACGAGGTGTAGAAGATGCGGTCACCATCTTCAAGCTGACCATCGTCTTCATCGTCGCCGGAGTCCGGCATCAGATCAGGCAGGGCGGAGTCGTCACCGGAGACGGAATCGTCTCCGTCGTCAGGCCCAGAGAGGTCCATGGCGCAGACCGAGGGGAACGGGCCGGAGCGGAGTCGCTTCTGGAGCAGCCGGAGTCGCCGTAGCTCAGTCCGTTCAACGCGTTCTTCCTCGCGGCAAGTGGAGCAACCGGGGGGGCACCGTGTCATCTTGACCTCCTTGGTTTCCCAATTGATTTCCGGGTTATGCTTCCGCAGCCAGGAGTACCCCAGAATAAGGTCTTGTTTACCAAGATGAGTGACGGCGAGTTGAACACACTCGGAATGGCCTCTGTAGCGTAAGACCAAGTCCGCGATCTGGTTGATGGAGCCGGCGTCGTTCGGAGTGCCATCAACGTTAAAGACCGGAATCGGTTGCGCCAGGGTGCGGACCGGAATGCCATTCCGAGTGACATAGTTCGTGTCGATAAAGTCGGAGGTGGCACCACAGTCAACCAGGCCAGAGAGCGAGAGCTTAAGCGCCTGGTAGTGGACTCTAGCTCCAACGGGAGGTGGAGGGAGTTCACTCCAGGGGAGGCAGCGACAGTGTACTGCTTGGGCAATTTCTTTTCCCAGGCAGTGAGGCGACGAAGGACGATGACCGGAGTCGCGGGCGGAGTCGGAGACGGAGTCGAAACGGGGCGGGGAGGGTATGTCTTTTGTTTCAGGCTCGTTGTAGGGCAAAGGAATTGATTCGTCATACAAACAAGCGAAACGATTTACGGACGCGAACGAGGGCACACCAGTCACTCGTCGCGGGGACAAAATCCTCTCCGGCCATCGACTCCACGGCTGTTTCCGGCAGCGCAGCTGTGTCCGAGTAGCGGGCGATCAACTCCGCTAACATCTCGTCACCGAGTTGTTGGATCACCTCGTCGAGGATGTCCATTGAGCGGACATCCGCGGGGAGGGGGCAATCTCGGCGAGATGGTTTGGGTCGCCGCACCTGAAGCAGGCGCGACGAGGGGCACCCCGAGCCTAGTGCGATCCAACTCCATAGGAACGGGAGCTGGAGGCGCCGGAGCGGGGCGCGGGCCGCGGGTGGCACGACCGGAGCCACCGGGCGGAAGGGGGCCGGAGCCGGGACGCGGTTGACCGGAAACGGAGTCCGAATCAAACCGCCAGGCGTCTTGGGGGCGGCTGACTTGATCAGCTTGGCCCGGACCAGGGCCTCGTATTGACGGAAGGCCCGGGTGCGCCAGCTAAGGTAGTCCCGGAGGTCCGGGGGGTCGTTTGAGGACGTGATTCTGTTGTTGATCAGGGGGTCAAGTCCGTGGGCGGAACTTGGTCACCTTGACCAATGCGTCTTCGAATCCGGCGAGGTCCATCAGGTCCTCGAAGTCGTCGGTGTACTGGTAGACATCCTTGGTGCCCATGTGATAGGCGGAAGTCTCCAGTTTGGAGAGAGCGTGGTCTTGCTCATTCTCCTCGACGAACCGGAGTCGAAACTCGGAAACGAACGAGCCCCAGGACGGAAACGGAAACGGGGCTTTGCTTCCGTGGCGCTCCGCCCATTGCTGAGCGGGTCCCTCTGCCATAAACGACATGGCATAGCGGACGGCCTTTTCCTAGCTCGCCTCTCCATTGACCACGAAGGCCTCAGGGGCAAGGCGGGCGTAGGTGCGGACCGCGTAGAGGAACGCGCGGCCGCGTTTCCGGTCGCCGTTAAAGGTGAACGGGGGGTTTGGTCGTAAAACCAATTTTGAGGCGAGGTTGATGTCGCCAAAGAGGGCCTCGGAATCGCCCTGAACCGGAGTCGGAGTCGGAATCGACGTCTCCGGTGGTGGTGTTTGGGGTCCGCCAGCAGTATTAGCGGCGGCAGCGGCAGCGGAAGCCTGGGTGGTGAGGAGAGTAAGGGCCTCAGTTAGGCGGTCGATTTTCGCCTCGAGTGCATCCAGCCGAGTGTCAGCGTCAGGAGTAGCTCCGGAAGGCATGACAGGTACGGGGACGACAGGAGTGGCAGAGGAGGAGGGGACAAGTGGCAGGGGCGGTGGCGAGGGCGGAGTGGACTCGGACTCCGAGCCTGAGTCAGCGCCGAACCTGGCAATCTTGTCCGGTTGATCCCGTAGAGAGTTTCTTCTGCTGTAAGGGCAACCCCGGAGGCCTGAGATCAAGGTCCTAGCAGGGGAGGATCCAAAGAGTGAATAGAAGTAAGCAAATACAAGTGAGGCTGACCTAGCAGGGGAGGATCCAAAGAGAAGAAACTCTAAGGGTCCGCCTGCTAGGTAGCGGAACTATATACTGCGCTCTTGACGCGCCAAGGTTGATCGTTGCTCCGTGCAGTATGCCTGCGCCATGTCGCAGGCCAGGTCCCAGGGGGATCGCCAGGCGGGGGCGGCGATGCGCCTGATGGAGGCGGTGATGCGATCACCGGAGTCGGAACCGGAGTCGGACCGGAATCGGAATCGTCTCCGAGGGGCCGAAAGGGAGGTTCCCCTGACACCTGGAGATATCAGTTTGAATGCATCGTATATCAGCGACTCGGAAGGACGCACCACTTGTTCACGGATAAACCTGATGAAAATTTCCTTTGTAATGGAGCCTTCAATAATCTCCAATGCAACAATCCCGGACGTTGAGAGAGCTGGAAGAATGGAATAGCGCTTGTCACGAATGAAGGTTGCACGAGAAACAGCAGGTGTGCCAATGGGAGAGCGCCCATGTGTTCTCTGGACTGTTTTGTTGTCGACAGCACTCTCATCTATGGCGACAAAAACATCAGGATCTTGATATTGGGCCATGTTGTTTTCCCAGATTGTTCGGAGATTGTCGTCTCGTTCAGCTGCCTGCTTCGAAAGCTTCTTTCGCGTGAGCTGACGCTTGACCAGGGCACGGCTGAGCCTGGCCAGAGAGATGTGAACGTTCCGAACCATTCGCAACTTGGTCTGAATCTCATCGAGATAGAGGCGGGGATTGGCTAGAAGGATGGCTTCTGCGTAGCACATGTCATCTTCATTGAGCGTGGGTTTGGGTCCCTGCCGTCGGGTGTAGGCGCTTTCCACTGTCCCGGTCTCCAGATATCGGTTGACCAACTCTGAGACAAACCCGACTGAGACTTGTGCCAGCTCAGCAACCTCGCGTACAGTCTTTCCGTCATTAAGATACCAGCCAACGATAAGCCATCGAAGCTGGGTTGAGACTGGTTGTGCACCCATAGAGGAGAGAGATAGAGAGAGAGGTACGGCTACAGTCAACAAGCTGTTCAGTAAGCTCGCTGACGCTCACATGACCGTTCTTGCCGGTCGCGCCGTCGGCGGCCATCACACAGGTTTTTTTTGACGTGTTCACTCATTTACGCAAACGACTGTAAATTGAACGTCTAGTCTCACAATGAATGGCCTCAGAGTAAAGCTTGGGTATTTTAGGGACAACCAATTGAGACAAAGGGAATGTGCAACCAAGTAAGAACCGACCACAAGATGAGTTTGTACTGGATTCGGGAGTGAGTCGACATCACATAGCGACATGTGCTGTTATTGACTGGGATTCTACCTGCGCAGACAACACTGTCTTCTCAAACCTCTTACTCGATTTGTAACTAGAACTTCTCTGTGAACGTTACTAGTGACTGCGAATGTTTATTTTACATTTGGTTCTCCAAAATAGCGGTGATCGCACGAACGACTGTTTTGACGGCTAAAAGATGAAAAGTAGCTCATGTCACACTGTGACAGCCTTGAGATGGTTCGACCACTTACCTCTCGTCCACTTGACCTGGTTTATTTTGGATTCTTTGTGGTGCGCTACCTCTCCTTTAGGCAGTCCAAGCCCTTCTTCTTCTTAAAGTCAGCTCTAGTCGCATATCTTCGCGTCTCTCTGCATTGATTTCCAACCGCTCTATCCTACCACACTAGTCCCAAGCCTTTTGCGCGACTTTGCAGGATGGTATATTCGCTCATCAAACGACCCACTGCTAAAGTCGGCGTTCGGCCACACGGAACCATTGGTCTGGTTCCAGAGCTTCCTTTTTCTTGAAGTGTACGCGATTGGTCTGAATATAGCACAACAACTGTCTAACTGAAGTCAGAGCATTTCAATTCCCCCTTTTCTTTGTTGCTGCTCGTGGTTTATGGAATGGTATGTGTCACCCTCAGCAAATCCATCATGTTTTCCCATTGACCAAAGCAACTAGACTCGCAACAGATTTACATCCCTATGCTAGTTTATGCAGCATCCACTGCGACAACGGTGTGGCCATGCCTCATGACAATTGTCAGCTCTAATGTCGCGCCCCACGAGCAAGCCATGCTTCTGTCGAGTTATGTTCCCTTCTTCGTTATACCGTTGGTCATGACTATCGACATGGCTTTCCGAGTACATGGGCTCGTTAGCGTTGCGCTATTAGCTCAAAGCGCAGCAAAACAAAAGTAACTACATTACTGGTGAGCCGCCTGTATCGTTTCCAAACCCAGAATAGGTGTTTATTCACTTCTACAGTACATTTCATATAATTAACCCATGAACCTCGAAAAATAGTTGTCGATCGCGCTTGGATCAGATAATGGCGCAACCGCGCTCACGTATCCGTCCGGCCGCACGCAAATGATAGCCCCAACATCAGGGTCGATGCCAAATGCCCCATAGGCCTCTCCGCCCTCGGTCCCATGCAAGTTCTTTTCGTCACAGAACACCCTACAGCAACTATTTCAGTCGCAAGAATGAAGACACAGTGGGTCCTACTTTGACCAATGCGGACGAAGCTCCTCGGGCAGCTCAAGGAAGCTGAAGTTCGGTCGCTTTGACTTGACAATCGAAATTATATCGATCGCAACGGTGCCGTACTTGGCCAAAATGCTCTGTACTCCCTGGGCCAATTTCTCCAGCATCGACGTTTCAGCATCACCTGTGAAGAAAAGCAGCTTGAATCGTGTATCTGATGGGAGGAGGTCCTGTAGTTCCATCGCGCGGAAATCTGCCGCCCTGACCACAACCTGAGGCGGCATTCGCTGCCCGATGGCCAATTTGGTTGCATATTGCTGATTTGCATACGAGACTACCAGGGACTCCTCATACCGAATTCCAATGCCGCTCGTAAATCCGCCGAAGGTCTGGAAAGCCTGCAAGAACTCCTGATGAGAGACGCCGTCCATATTTAGCTCCGTTCTGGGTTTTCCCGAAAACAAGCTGGCAAACTTGACATCGAAATCGATAAGGTCTTGTGCGTATCTTCGGCGTTCGGATTCATACTGCTGTTTGTTAAATGTTGCACAGGAATCAAGAAAAAGCAGCTGCACCGTTTGGAGAATCGATAGCCCCGCCCATCCTCGCAGCACGTAAACCAATTTCCACGCCAAGTTATGTGTGTCGTTCATGCTAGCATTCATTCCCTGGCCTAACCGTGATGTTAGACATAGCTTACAGCAATAATAATGTTGTTCAACCGGCTTTAGGTGAATGTGTATGGCATGCATCGCCCGCAATGAAAACACGCTGCTCGACTGAATATTTCGAGGCAACTCGTTGTCCGACTACAGATATGACAGGTCAGTCCAACAACCTTCAACATCAGTACTCACTCTGATATAACGTCCACCAGTCGATAGTTTTCGGCGTCTTGAAAATAAACGGATGGAATGATCGGCTGGCCACCTGCAAGAGTTGCTGTGGGGTAATTCGCTGCTTGTCGATGCGGCCATTACTCGCGTCTACGACACCATCCTTGCCGTCAAGTTGGATGTATATCCGGACCTTGTCGCCTTCCCGAGGAATGACCATACAAGAACCATTCTCTGAGTGGACAGCGCTCTTGTTGCGGATGTCCGGGAAGTCTGTTTCAGGGATCATATCGACGACGCCCCACACGTAATCAGTTTGCGACCCTTCCATGGCGATGTTGAACCGCTTTCGGACCCATGAGTGCGCGCCGTCTGTCCCAACAACAAACCGTGCTTGAACGACCTCTGTTGCTTCGTCTCCGTCTAGGTGTTTCAGCGTGACACGGGCAGCATGAGCCTCCGCATTCCCGATCTTTGACGGTGTTAAGTCGAGCTGGGTCGGGATTACGGGCCGCGAAACTTCGACTCCCATGGATTGCATGGAGTCCAGAAAAATGCTTTCAATGGCGCCTTGGTGGAGAGTCACCTTGTCAGTATCAGTTGGAAGCTCTATCTCGTTCAACACGAACCTCGAAGGGATACCTGGCTGTTGGTGCAGTAACATCCGGTACGCGGTCTGTCAACTTCGCAAGTTTGGGGCGTGGCTTATCGATACTTTCAGTCATCATACCTGAATTCCATGCGGTCCAGGGTTATAGAATGCCTAAGGAACGCGTTAATAACTGTTGTTCGGATTCCATTGGTTCAACTGACCGCGACGTGCATCTGGTTCCCTTCCCTTAAGAGACGATCACCGAGCCCATAACTCTACTTCAGTCAGAGCACGGTCATTTCCCAACCAAGCCGCTCTACCTGGAACACTTCTATTGTGCGGGGCTGTACCAGGCTTTAACGCGAAGACTATGAAACCGCCCAATCCTACCTGAATTCCATCCGCTTGGCCAGCAGCAACTTTACTCGGTCTGCCATCGAGTTGAGGCCTCCAAGAAACCAGAGACAAGTAACGCACCGTTGATCGATGATCTTAACATTCACACCCGCCTTTGCGAGCGCATTAGCGCACATAAGGCCTGCCGACAATTCTGAATCGTCGACCGTCATCGCTTTGGATAGCACTCACCGGCTGGCCCAGCCCCAATAACGAGCACATCGACGTCGGTCTCGCGAACGAGGCTTACAGGCATGAGAGTGGGGGTAAAACGGGAGCGAGTTTGGAAGGAAGTCCATATTTAAGCGTTGCCTCCGAGTGTGTAGAAGCGTGGGATGGGCTGAGAACTAGGTTGCCTTAAGTGGCGGTCATATGCAGCAGAATTGCTGTTTGAGGGCTGGAGCATGACGTCGTTTAATTTTCTTCCTCTTAAAATATACGGGCGCTTGTCCAACTTGTCAAGGACCTATGTCACCTATCTGAGCGCTGGTCTTAATCGACAACAACAAATAATGCTGTTGAGATCGGCTTTGATTCCGTTGTCTGTTTCCATCCATCGCCGCTCTAAGAGTAACTCATGTATGAACTTGATGAGAAAGTTGTTGGGCTGCGAGCGCCGAGTACCTAAGGTCTATGCAGGAGTTGAAGATTGACAAATTGGATGCAACTAATAGTAATAAGCAGTAGATAGTCCGACTGGTGGGTCAGAATGGTAACGAATCCTTCGTCGCGACCTGCCCGACAGCAGCAAATCACGCAAGGCCCCAACGGGTCAGACAGTGCAAAACAAGCAGATGCGCATGAAACACGCGAGGTGAGACCTCCAGCTCGTAGAGCACCTAACCTACGGAGGGTATGTGGTGCCACCCACGAATGAAACAAACAAACAAGATACGCATATACCTGGCGCTACAACACCGGCTCTGAGACACGGCCCAATTGCGAGATATAGCACCTTGCAAGCCTTCCAAACGCTGAGGGCGCTCCGATTTGGTGACCGACGTGCGTGGCTGAGGCCGGGGGTACTTGGAAGAGAAAGTTCCATCGTCACCGACAGCCAAAATGTAGAGAGAGGTAGCTGAAGACATAGTAAGCTATGGCAACGATGGATTGGAAGCATACCGTGTAAAGAGGCAAGAGGCGACTAATAAGATGAGCAAAAGATGAGAGACAGGCAAGCTTGATCCAAGTGTCACACTTGTGACCCGCCTTGCTTAGTCCTTGCTTGTGTCATTCGTCAACCCTTTCCAACTGAATCCAAGCGACTCGCAACATTAACAAGACTCAAAAAACGCATCTACAAATCAAGTCATGGCCCGCGCTGTTACTCCTCTACCTCTCGCAAGAGTTTCAGACAGTTCCTCAACCGCGTTCAAAGACATGTCTTTTCTCCTTCAACTGCCTGTCGAGCTCCTGCTGGAGGCAAGACCTACCCTACTAAACTCGCTATCCATGAGAACATATTTGACAGATATCTGAACATCTTTCGGCGTTGTCTCTTCTCGCTCTTGCCCGCTCTTGCTCCCGGTTCTTCCTCTTTCTGTACAGTAAATCGACTCAAGGCCTATGGAAACGCGTACTGGCTAGAGATTTACCCGGGCTTCCTTTATGCTTAGGCGACCTCATCGAACCGCGTTTCGCGACTTTGCTTCTCTTAACTCTCTGCGAGGTCTTGTTCTCGCTTCGTTTTGCGCATAAGCTAATTGATCGTATTATAGTTCTGCGGCAAATCAAAGAAACAGCGCGTAGAATGGGAGCTTCGCATTAGAATCTGTAAGAAATGCGCAGCGAAACGGTGGGTATACATGCGTCCTGGAACCTCGATTCTGACTTGTTCGGACAGTATCATCACCTTCCCTGAAACATCCCCGCCAATACCGTTGGATATTCGCGTAAATATACGTCTCCAAGATGTCGTCCACGTGAGGCCCCCTGGTCAAACTTCTTCATTCGCTATTTTTCGAGTTCTGATATTTTATAGCGTTTGGATGCGCCTACTTGCTTGAAGAGCTCTCTCGCGTCCAAGAAAAGCTTGGGAACATGACAGAAAAGGGCCTCAACACTTTTGTGGACGAACGCAAGTTCCGTCTAAGCACTTCCCGCATCGTAACTGGTTCAGTGCACTGTGTCCGTCAACTAACCGCACGTTAAATGTAGCATGCACGTCAAATGCGACTGTGGCAATCTGGAGGAGACCCTCAAACAAAGGAACAGCAGCAAATTGCCCGTCTAGCTCGAACAAAAGCGTAAGGTCACTTTCCAAAGAGTTTTTGATTCCTCATGGTCTTGGCAGGATCCGGCACCGGCTCTCTATCGCGGGGTATGGAGAGGAGCTGTCGGTTATGGGTATTCCGGGTCACGAATCAGAGCAGAAACTTTTCGAAAATCATCCTCTCGTTTCAAGGGGCAAACTTTTACTGGAGGACGGTTCGTCTCTTCTGGATTTTCTGGCCGTGATTCTATTCTTACTTCTGTTCAATCCAGAGTGGGAAGATATTTGGCCGGAATTGGAACAGTTCATGGATGATTATCGCCAGGATCTCGCCCTTCGTCGCCAAGCAGAATTGGAGGAAGAAGCACAACGGCGTCTCCGACAAGCCCTCGCCCACCACCACGGAGGGGCATATAACAATTCGGCAAACACGTCCAGAAACCGGGGCAGGAAGGGGAAAAAGCACACACTACTATGGCAAGCTGAAGTGTTCCATGATGTAAACGCAGTTGGCTCAAATAAGGCTTTCAGATCTGTACATCTTTTTCTTTCGTATATATCCTTCGATTTGTGTCAACATCTCGGAAATGTATGTATTTCTCAACTATATACTTTTGTCCATAACGGTACCGGTACTGTGCAGTCAAGTTGAGGTGGTAAATGTGACTGAAGGTGTGATGCGGCCTATTAATACTGATGCGGCACTCACCTTATGCGCTCTTTTGCGACATGTTAAAAACTCATTGCAATCTCTGTTGAGGGATCTTTTGTCCGAAGTCGATCAGACCTTTTTGGCTCGGGCCAAATTTTTGTCTGAATCATGGTCAAACCTCTGACTCGGAGGGCATAATCAGGGGTCCTCACTCATGTTAATCCACCAATTGCCTTTCGACTCGTTGTTGCACATCTGTTTCGTGCTCACCGCGAATGAACTATTCCAGCTCCGAAAAGTATGCACCAGCCTTTCTCATTCATAGCTCATTTATTTAGGTTTGCCTTCGCCTATACGCTGTAACTCAGCAGCGCAGCATCTGGATTCGTAAATTGACCCACCTCCTCAACAACGGAGCAGTTCTCCCTCATCACCTCAAGGAGTATCATAATCTCCCCCTCCAAACTCTCGAAGCTCTTGTGTGGAGAAATCAGCGGCTTCAAGATAAAAGACTTCGTAATGATATGTCCGCGCTGAAGGTGTCTCATCTATATTTGAAGCACTCAATTTCCTGGCTTCGTCTTGTCGCTGGACGGTGGCTTTTTTGCGCTTTCTCTGACAACGCTACCAGTGGGATTGGCTGTTGGGACGTCGTCTCAGTTTTCGCGGGTCACGTTCGGCCCATTGCCATTGGCTACCTTCCTGGTCGAGTACAAACAGCCCAACTCGAGGTTCAGACTTCACGAGTAGTCATTGCATTAGGACTTGGGCCAGAGTGGGTCAGCGTCATGGAATAATTTCGTCCAACTTATGGGTCTTCAGAATGTCTGCAGTACACGTTTTGAGCCTACAGCGTTCCCCAGACAACCAGTACCCCTATTCATTTTGCGAGTTGGCCTGCATAAACAACTCATCGCATATATTGCTGCTTTCCGGAAATCTCATTGGCTGTGCAGTCCACCATGGAGACAATGTCCCTCATTTGATTGACTGGAAAAGACAGATGTTGGTCGGATTCGCAATACCTCCAGGTGGTTTGGATGTTGCTGGTCGGAGGGTTTGCATTCCACTCGAAAAATCGAATAGCACTACTGACGGTCAGCACAGAGCGTGCCGCATAACATGTTCCTATGCAAGGACATTCTCATCGTTGCGCGGCAGATTGGTCTCGAAGTGTATTCTGTCCGAAGCTCTATTTCCTTCATCAAAACCATAGAGATGCCAGCTATCTGGGAAATCTCTGCTTGCCAGACTGCAGATTCCTCTATTCGTCTGTTTTTTATTTCTCCCCACGGAATCGAAGCCCTCGATGCGAATGCGCAGATGCTATCAGATCCGACAGCAGACAGCGCCTCTTCTTTATATCGACTTGCCAGCGCGCCGACAGTTCAAACTCGTGTGGCCCCCTGGTACAATCTTTGTGTAGGAAACTCCGGGACTCGGGCTTTATGGGTTACGGTAGCATCCGAGCCGTTGCCCAACTTTCCATTTCGGAGGCCGCCTTGTTTCGTATCCGCTGCATTTTCTTTCCGCCCAACCACGATTGAAATATCTCGGATTCGATGGACTCCGGGAAGTGCAGCTGACCCGGCTCTCTGGGCGATTCCTATTGTCGACTTTGACGAGTGTTTGGGAATCACAGTTTTCGGAAACTGCTTTGGAGAGTTGGCGATCTACGACCATTGCGGGCCAGGTCTTCATCAGTGTACCGAATTCAGTCTCCCCACCACAGACTCGACCACAAGTCTTCTGCCCCAGGTGGCTTCTTTTTGACTTTCCTGTGCGCATTTTTCATTTGCTTTGGATAGGTGGCTATCGACTTGAACCTGCCGTTTTCACCCCAACGCAATACGCCAAGCGAGGCTCTGGATCTTGAGGCGGCTACCGCCCAATGGTCGAAGGCCAATCTTGATATAGCTGACCCAGGATGGGCTACGAGCTCAGACTGGACGACCGAAAGCTTCATGTTCCGCCAAATGGCCCTCTGGCAATGCGTTCCCGGCGACTGGGCCTGGGCCTTGACACACGTCTATGGCTTCCCTGGCCGAGTACTTCCTCAGGTCTTGATATGCCACGCGGGAGAGGTCGGAGAGGATTGTCTCGTGTTCCAAGTCGGCAACCGCTTCATGCTGCACACGGAGATGAACGAGTTCAAGTCCTGTGTCGTTCAGTATAAACCTGACGGGCGTCCGTTTTGGGACGCCCTCAATGTGCACGATGAAGAATATACCTCAGCAACAGCTGCGACGAAGAGCAGCGTCTTTGTGGAGTTCGCTTATAGCAGCGATGACTCCGATGACTCCGGTACAAGGCGAAATCGCTGGCACGAAATGTGGCTTAGAGGTGGTACTGTGGATTGGAAGCATTGTCGAGATTATTGTCGCATGTCTATTTCCGTTGAGTCTTTCACCCCACTTTTGTCAAATCCTCACCGTAGTTTAGCTGCGGCCCTAAAGGTTCAAGGAACACGAGAACATTGCTTCAAGTAAGACGATGAGGATTCATTATTTTAGCGATTACACTCCAGTAGCGCTAATAATAATTGTACGTGACATTTGATTTGGGATGATGGATGAGTAGCAAGAAACGAAAGCGAGCAACAGTGTCTAATCGTCAGCAGGGGCGTCCGCAGCCTCGTCCTTTGCATCGGCGGGCTTGTCTACGAGGGTTTGGTCAGAGAGCGAGCAATGATACGGTTCAAAGGAAGAAGACGAACCAGCATCCTGCATGTCCGAAGTCCAGAGCGTCAGGTTATCCCGAAGGAGTTGCATGATCAGTGTCGAGTCCTTGTAGCTCTCTTCTGACAACGTGTCGAGCTCAGCAATGGCATCGTCGAAGGCTTGCTTAGCCAGGTGGCAAGCACGGTCGGGGGAGTTGAGGATTTCGTAGTAAAAGACGGAGAAGTTGAGCGCCAGACCGAGACGAATAGGGTGCGTCGGGGGAAGTTCAGTGACAGCGACGTCGGAGGCAGCCTTGTAGGCTTCGAGCGACTTGTCGGCACTGTCTTTCCGCTTGTCCCCAGTAGCGAACTCTGCAAGATAGCGGTGGTAGTCACCCATCCTATTGGTCGTTAGTGGAGTGTCGCATCAGTGATACGCGATGCCACTCACATCTTGTGGTAGAACACCTTCGACTCGCCAGAGGCGGCAGAGGGGATGAGGTGCTTGTCGAGAACGTCGAGAATGTCTTCGCAGATTTTGGCAAGCTCCTGCTCGATCTTCTCCCGGTAGCCCTTGATCATGGTTACCTGGGCTTCGTTGCCCTTCGACTCCTCCTTCTGTTCGATAGACGAAACTATTCTCCACGAAGCACGGCGTGCTCCAATGACGTTCTTGTAGGCAACGGAGAGCAGGTTGCGCTCCTCGACAGTGAGCTCTTGGTCAGAAGAAGCGACACGCTTCATGTTCTCGACCATCTCTAGGGGGCATGGTCAGTAAGTGGCAGATATATCGAAAGGGAACGTGCCTTCGTAGCGCTCAGCCTGCTCAGCGAGCTTGGCGAGGTAGACAGAGTCTTCACGGGTCTCAGGCATCTGTTGACGACGTGTTAGCGCGTCTTGCGACGCGTCGAGAAGGATGGACGCATACAGTAATTGGTGGTGGGATCTGGGATTGAAGTTAGCTCGTGGTGGACGACAACAACAACGGCGGCACCAGCGACTTACTGTGGGGCGGGTTGGATGATGACGGGGAAAAGGCAAGGGTTAACGATACGATTTCGCGTTGCCTTTTTGAGCAATCTAGGGCAAAGGGTTGATGGAATCAAATCAAATGCGTCACGTGCGTATTGGGCAATTCTCCACCTTTTGACGACCCCTCGATCCCGACAATCATTATGCGCCTCCTGAGCCTTCTTTCATCGCGAGTAGCACCCATGTCCCTTTTAGTTTTCCTTTCCTACCTTCAACTCAGTTGTATTCTACCTGAATCCTCTGATTCCCTCCCCCCTCTTGACGCTGCATCGTTACGAGTGCCGTAAATTAGAAACTCCGTTAGTTCATTAGTTGCCTTTGAAGTACAACAGCTTTCATAGCCTCCCTTTGAGGCCTTGACTGCCCAGAAGTGAACTGTTTCGACCAGTACCCCCATGATCGATGTTCGATAAGATCTCTCAGAACTTCCACAAACAACTTCTATCGACCCAACCCTCGACCCGCAATCTTCAGACGCCTTCCGGATCGCACCATTCATTAAACCCTGACAACGGAAACACAATCTGTGGCTTGACCCCGGGTCGGTGCCCTATTCTTGTGGTTGTTTGTAGGTCCAGTTGGTTTTCCTTTATTCCAATTTAAATACTAGTACGATTCGTCTTTAAGAACAACGATTATCACCATTCAAGTTGGCTGTGGACCCTCTTGAGCGCCTAAATCCGGACTCACATCTATCTCATCTGTCTCAAGAGCATCCAAATTTAAACATACATGTACTTCGTTGACTCGGTTGAGAGTCTTGCCTTTCATTTCCGTTCCACGCGTTGGGATCGCGGCAGTTTGTCGTTGAAGACTCTTTATTCTGAATCTTGCTCAATCAATCAATTTCTGACCCGACCCGGGCCGAGAGCAACAAGGGGACATTTCGCCCACAGACAGTTATTAATTCAAGCTTGATAGCCAGCGTGGCGGAAACTCAAGTGTTAAGAGTAGTACATATTTTTCAAGTCTTGTCGCTCGAGGCACAGCGGCGTTTAGTTGTTTGAGCCTGAAATCATTGACGAAGTTGTGTCAAACGATGTTGGATCTCCATTGGGAATGAGATGTGGTAGTGCAAGAGAGAAGAGTCAAAAAATAATAGGCCAATCTCAGTGCAAAGTAGACGCGCATTCAATGCCTGAACAATATTTTTTGCGCTCCTAGTTGTTGTGATGGATGTGGTTTCACTAGGAACCCATATTTGTCAATCCAGCACGTGGGAGCCAAGGCCGAATCTTGACTCCAGACCGCCATCTGAGGGCGTAGCCCCCCAAAAAAATACTCTTCTCGTCGCCATGAACGGCGACGGACCATCTTCCTCCACTCCAAGGGGTACCCCTTCGCACCGTGGAAAATCTCCAAGCTTCGTCACCCCCAATCCGCCTGGACCCACCAACAACAACGATAGTCCATCCACCCCCACTCCTCGTGGCACGCCTTCTCGTCGCGGAAAATCAGCCACAACAGCCATGACTTCCGTTTCTACACACACAGTTAATAAACAACCGAATTCCACCTTCTATTCCTGCATCAATATCCCAGTCGAAGGCGCAGTACCCGTTAATCCAGAGGAAAACGAGGCTGGCCAGGACGATTCTGGTTCCGTTAGTGACTCGTCGCGTGCCCCGCGAAAGTCCAAGACAGATGCTCTGAATGCGATCAAGACTCGCTCGGCATCAGTTGGTCTGGAGGATGACGACGCTCCAGAGAATGTGTGGGCGGAGAGATATAGAAATGTGCCACCCTTGGTACCACATTCACCTATTCTGAACCTCTCTACTGTCAAGACAGCCAGTCCACGACCCGACTCCCTTCCCCCCAAGGAACCGCGTCCCTTTGGACTTGAAGACTGCCCAACATTCTATCCTACGACCGACGAGTTCAAGGACCCTATGGCGTATATTCGCTCCATTTCTGACCAAGCAAATGCTCATGGCATCTGCAAAGTCGTCCCTCCTAGTGGTTGGAAAATGCCTTTTGTCACCGATACAGCGGTCAGACTCTTTTTCACATTTACGATCCGGCATGCTAATCTCTGTGGTTTAGAATTTTCGTTTCAAGACCCGGCTGCAACGTCTCAACTCTGTTGAAGCTTCTTCCCGCGCGAAGATTAACTTTTTGGAACAACTTTATGTCTGGCACCAACAGCAAGGAAACCCTCGTGTGTCGGTCCCCACCATCAATAATAAGCCCCTCGACTTGTATGCTCTGAGAAAGGAGGTTCGGAAGCTTGGTGGATTCTACGCGGTACGCCACTCTAGCAGACATCAGGGACCTCGACATTAACTGAATCATTGCGATTAGGTGACCAAGAAGAAGCAGTGGTCTGATCTTGGGAGGCTTCTCGGCTACTCCGGAATCCCTGGACTTTCTACGCAGCTCAAGAACTCGTATACTCGTGTTATCTTGCCATATGAGGAGTACGAGGCCCGAAACGCGGCCAAGGCATCGAGTCCCAAGAAGGCTACTAATGGACAAGACAAGCGGTTTTCATCGGTCAAGCCAGAGGATCTCCCAGACAGCCCCTCATCAACTCGCTCTAGTCCACTTTCCGAACCACCAGAGGAAGTTAAGCCCAACGGTGGAACGAAACCATCTCGACCAAGAAGAAGTACCCGAATGGGTGCCCGTGAGTCATTTCAAGAGACCTAACTTTTTTTTTTCTCTCAACTAACCCCAGAAAACGACCGTCGTGCATCCCCTATCCCTGCACCCATCTGGGACGACACCAAGAAATCGTCGGTGCAGCAAAAGGACAAGGAGGATCAAGAGCAGAATTGCGAGATTTGTCATAAGAAGAACCGAGGGGAAGAGATGTTGTTATGTGATGGCTGCGATTGTGGTGGGTCTTCCCATTTGTTCGACCTGTTGATCCGTTCTCACATTCTTAGGCTTCCACATGTTTTGTCTCGATCCGCCACTTGACAGCATTCCGAAAGAACAATGGTTTTGTTACACTTGTCTTGCTGGCACGGGCGGTGATTACGGTTTCGATGACGGCGACGAACATAGTTTAGCCAGCTTCCAAGCACGCGATGCAGAGTTCCGCCGTATCTGGTTCGAACTACATCCTCCGGAACGAAGTCCTGATATCATCGATGTGGACGACCCAACAACAAGTCGCATCGGGCAAGTGATGGTTTCCGAGAACGATTTGGAAGCAGAATTTTGGCGGTTGGTCAACACACAAGAAGAGACCGTCGAAGTCGAATATGGCGCCGATGTCCATTCCACGACCCATGGCAGGTATGTGATAAATCCAGTGATCAGAGAGTCTGACTCATTTGATCCAGCGCAATGCCGACTATGGAAACTCATCCGTTGGACCCATATTCCAAAGACCCATGGAATCTAAACAACATCCCCATTGTGTCTGAATCACTTCTTCGCTTCATCAAATCCGACATTTCAGGTATGACTGTGCCCTGGACTTACGTGGGGATGACGTTCTCGACCTTCTGTTGGCATAACGAGGTACGTTTGCGATCCCAGTCTACTTTTCCAATCTCAACATCGCAATATAGGACCACTACACTTATAGTATCAATTTCAGTAAAGTGCTCCTTCTTGCGCCGTACCGTTCCTAATCTCCCAATAGTGCATTGGGGTGAAACCAAGACGTGGTACGGTATTCCCGGAGCCGATGCGGAGAAGTTCGAGGCTGCCATCAAGTCCGAGGCGCCGGATCTCTTCCAAGCACAACCAGACCTGCTGTTCCAGCTAGTCACTCTCATGAACCCTCAACGCGTGAGGGATGCTGGCGTGCGAGTCTATGCCTGCAATCAACGTGCGGGTGAATTTGTTGTTACTTGCCCGAAATCCTATCATGCTGGATTCAATCATGGTGTTCGTGCCTTTCTTTTAATCACTCAACAAGCTCACAATCTGCCATAGCTGAATTTCAATGAAGCTGTTAATTTCGCGCTGCCAGATTGGCTTCCCTTCGGTCGTGAATGTGTGCAGCGCTACCGCGACCACAGAAAACTCCCTGTCTTCTCGCACGACGAGCTGCTCATCACCATTACTCAGCAATCACAGTCAATCAAGACCGCAATCTGGTTAGTCGTAATCTAATAGGAAGTCTGCCACTTGCTAAGTTCGTTCAGGTTGATCGACAATCTCCAAGAAATGACCGACCGCGAATTGGCAGAGCGGCAGACCGCGCGCGAACAGGGCATGAAGGAGGTGTTGGAGGAGGAGGACCGTCCAGAAGACCAATACCAGTGTTCCGTCTGCAAGGTCTTCTGCTATCTCTCTCAAGTCACGTGCGCTTGCACGAGTGCAATCACCTGCGTTGACCACGCTCATCTGTTATGTGAACGGTCCCTCGATCACCTTGTTCTGCGAAAACGCTTCTCGGATGAAGACCTTGTGGACACGCTCAACCAGGTTTCTGCCCGTGCATCTATTCCTGTTGCATGGCACCAAAAACTCTCCAAGCTTTTGCGAGAGAGTCCACGACCATTGTTACGATCACTTCGAGCCCTTCACTCAGAGGGCGAGCGAATCAATTATCCGCTCCCCCAACTTGCCTCTTTGCGTAAATGTGTGGGCCGGGCAAACGAATGGGTGGACTCAGCGAACTCATATCTCATTCGAAAACAAAGCCGGAAGCGGGCGAGGAAATCCCGTGGGCGTCCCGCTGTCAACGACTCCGCCATGGAAGACCCAGGAGATCGACCAGACAAGGGATTGGATGAACTTCACAAGCTATTGCGCGATGTCGAGAATCTTGGTTTTGATTCTCCTGAGATTGCTTCCCTGAGAACGTTGGGGCAGACTGCGGAAGAGACCAAGTCACGAGCTGCTGCCCTCCTTAGTCAGGCCAACCAAAGCGAGGACCGCGAACAACTCCTCGAAGATTGTCGACGATTGATTGCCGATAGCTCGTCCCTGAATGTTCTCATTGAAGAGCTGGTAGAAATTGAGAAGCTTGTTGATCGGGAACAGTTATTGCAGGAATTGGAAGACAAGAACGAGGATAGTTCATCGTTACCCCTCGATGAAGTCCGACAAGTGTTAGTGCGGGCTCGCGCTTGCGGGCTGTCTGCGGAGAACGAGCAAGTCATACAACTGGAAGCGCGGTTGAAAACCGGCACGAGTTGGGAGGATAAGGCCCGCAATCTCCTTGCACAGCCCATCAAGACAATCCAAGAGCTCGAGCAATTCTCTCAACTTGACGGCGATGCTGTTACAATCGACAAAAACATCCTCGCCCATTTGCGTAATCTTTTGGCGAAAGCGAAAGATTTCGAGAAGCAAGCGCTTGCCTGGCTGCAACTCGACCCTACGCTGGGTCTTCGGCCGAAGGTTCATGAAGTCGTTCGATTAGCCGTTAGGGCAGAAAAAGACTTCAGCATTCCGGCTGTTGAGGGCATTCGCAAAACAGCGGATATCGCACTGGACCTGGAAGCCCAGTGCGACTTGATACTCAAGCACAAGTACGCCCCTGGCTCTGATGAGGACATCTTTCGGACGATTCAAGGCTGGAAAGAGTATGTCAAGAATCATCTCAGGTTTTTGACGCTTCCGTCTTGGTCTAAATTGGATGAACAATACACACGCCATCTACAGTGGACCAAATCACTCCCTTGGTATTGCCCCGCTCATCAAGAGGCTGAAGTCCAGCCAATTATGGAAGACGTCATCGAAGCAACTCGAGTCGAGGACCAGTTCGCGCCAAACGACGAATATTTCACGTGTATCTGCGACCAACCGGTTCGCCCTCCTGCGCCTGGAGCCCAGTCTGATGCCGTCCAATGCGACCATTGCTATGCGCGATTTCACGGCGACTGCGCCAACAATGGCGGGTCATGCCCCTTCTGCGACCATCATCACTGGAATGGCTCTATACATAAAGAGCGAAGTTTTCACTATTCATTCCTTCCCGCCATACTGGTCAGCGCTCCAGATCTTTCGCGCATCTATTCGAACGAGTTTAAAGAGCTTCAGCTCATTGTTCACCACGTAGACCATCTGGTGCAATCGGTTGGACAGTTCCTCTCCCAAAACTCGGACGCAAAACATCTGCAGCCAGAATACCTTCCCCAAGTTCGGCATTACATGCGTAAACTTTACAAACTCCAGTTTCCTGTCAGCACTACCCCTGATGTTTCCTACGGGCTTGATCTTTCCAACCTTCATCGTGCTCTGGCTCAACGCAAGGGACCGGTGAGCGAGCGACACGCCCAGAAGCTTGCCGCTCGTCGGAAAGAGAAGGAGGACAAACTGGCTAATAAGAAGCGCAGGCTACGTTTCGTGTTTGGCCAAGACGAGGATGTGGACTGGCGAGACGGAACGAGGTGTATATGTCGTGGGCGAACACCATATCTGATCAACTATCCCATGGTCATGTGCACGCACTGCCACCACAAATACCATGCTCCCTGCGTTTTCTTCCCTGACCGACCTCACCAACCTGGCGCACCACCAATGAAGATGCCCACATTCGACTGTCCTTTGTGTCTCGTTCGGAAAAACTTGCCATACCCCCACGCCGAAGTCCGCATTCGCCCACCACGTATGTTATCATTTTTGTTGTACCATTTTATTCCGTCTGATTGTTACTGTCAGCCGCCATGAAAAAGCCCTCTGATGTCTATATAGACATCGGGAAGATGGTGGAGAACAATACCAGAGACATGATCTTCAAGACCCAGAGCGCACCAGTTGATCGCACTCTCTTCGTGGAGTTGATTCGCGTTACTAATTCTGATTCGGGACATCCTAAGCTTCCTCCCGAGACAAAAGAAGACCAACGTGTGGCGCGGAGTGTGTACAAACCTTCGAACCAACCATATCGACACCCGCATGGCGATGTTACTGCTCACTCTGCTAGTATTTCAGCACCCCTAGCACGTCCGCCGCGCCAAATTTCTTCGCGGATGACCAGACCTTCGTCACCCCCTCCTCCTCCCTGGTCATCATCGTCCTTGTCGGCTCGGACTGGCACCGCCCAGGTGCCTATTACGATTCCAGACTCCCCTTCTCCCTCGAGCGCAAGTGCAGCCAAGAAACGCAAACTCGATGAGTTGCATTCGTTCCAGGAACCCGTCACTATTTACCCCAAGCGCCGGGTCGTCGCTGACCCTGAGCCACCGCGGAATGTCAGCACAAGCTATCGCCCTGTCACTCCCCCGCCTCATTCGACCGCCTCAGTGGAAATATCCCAGAAGCTGTCGCCTTCCCTCGCCAAGATCGTCATCTCTGGCAGTGCACCTCCGCCACGAGCGCATCCGATACCGGATCCGCCCAGAATACGAGGATAGACTTGGTCGCCCTCCCCTTGCTTTTGTTTTGGTTGCTGTGTTTGTACTCTCTCGTGGTTATCGCATCTCTTTATTGGCTCCTCATTAACAGAATTGTATGTACTACACTTACAGATTAGAGTTTACACCATGTTATATGCTACGCGGAAATAATTACTGATTCCATGAAATTGTAGGACGGGTGTTCGCGCGGAGACAATGTCGTGCAAGGCCTTCATTCGAATTTCGCCAGTCTCTGTCAACTGAGCGATTGCTCTCTCTTTCCTGATGTGGGAATCAACGCCCCAGAGCCAAAATGGAAATTTTTGATAAGCAGATAACCGAGAAACAGGTGAACCGAATAACTTGGACATAGCCTCATGGCCATACCACCTCACTCAAATCAGCGACCACAGCCGACTCCGGGAGATTTTCCCAATCGACAGAACCTCCCCGGTCACACATCTCATACCAGCGATTCCGAGGAGTGGTTGAATCTGGCCAACACTCCATCGAGAAAGTTTTATAGACCATGCTTTGGGTAAGCATTGTCCTCGACGTGCATGGCACCTCTTCAAGAGGTCGGATACGACTTGGAAAGAATATTTGGCCCTCTGAATCTCGGTGTGGTGGGCAGATAGTGAACGCGCCGTTGTCGGGATGAAGAAAATACTGGGAGCCAACACGGAACAAGAGTGTTTGAGTACACTCTGCGTAGTTATTGCCGTAGCCTTGCGGAATAACTTCCCCTGGAAATCCGAAGGCATGGGTAAGGATCCATGCCCAATCACAGGGATTCCCGCTCCATAGGGACTGGGCGAAGTAACGCATTGCAAGCCAATCGTCTTGCCAGTAGGGTCTCGCCAACTCAATGCTGTCTTTTGACCATCGAGCGGTGGAAGATTGGAGTTCTTCATCAGACATTCCGCGCTGGGGCGCAAAAGGTATGCTAAGGGCGATGGGAACCTGTTCGATCTAGTCAGTTGCGAACGAAGTATCACAAGTGCACATGTAAATTTACCAGTGATACTGCAACAGGTTCATTCGACACATTCAACATGAAGTCGTTGGGATCGAAGCACGCGGAGAGAGGTTGGCCACAATGATCGTATAAGACGAGCTCGCCAAAGCAATTACCGAAGACAGTCAGCCCCAGCGATTCATCCATGTCGATGACTGGGACCGCCCATAATGCAGGGTCGATAGCAGTTCCGGGGCTCCAGGAGGATAATTCAGTATTGGTCTCAAAGTCGCCGGGCATAGGAAGGGTCACAGACATGAAGTAAGGGCTCGCAAACTCGGTGGAGCCTGAAGCGACGGAGATCCACGAAGCTCTCATGCCATTCGCTGCAACACGAAGACTGTACCATGGTGCAGTCATGAGCATATAGCCATCATCTTCATGTGGAGGAGGTATTTTAGCTACGCCTCGCTGGGTCCATTTGGTTACATCTTCTGCAGAGGACGCCAAAGTCTGGTGCTCGAAATCAAGAGTTTCAACGCCTTCGGGTGATATGATGACAAGGCGTAGAAGGTCTGGCATGGGACGGCAGTCGACAACTTCCCAGATGGTAGATGTTCGTATCGTTTTGAGATGATGAAAGGTTGATTGCTGGATACGATATACGTCAAGAAGGGTGGTTCGCGCAATAACGACCAAGTCCTCGAGCCTAAACATGCCGTGTGGTACACTCTAGGTGTGACATCAGTTATTGCTTTGTGGGGAGATAGATTCGACGAACTCTCCGGTCTCGCACATTCAAACCCCCCTGGTGGCTCAGGGATTGTTATCAGTTTCCGCGCTCTCCAGTCAATGAAGTGCGGGATGTTGTCTCCATTATGAAGAGCACAACCAATGAGGCTCCCCGAAAGCAGTAAGACGTGAGAGGAGGAGTCAAAGCGTGCCAACTCATTGAACAAGTAATCATTTTCGGAAGTTCGCTCGAAGGCAACAACGTGCACGGACAATGTTCTGGAGAGCGATGAGTAAAGAAGCAGCTCAGTATGATTAGAAAATTGACTCAGGTCCAAGCCCCAGAGCAATTACGATTTGCGAGTCCTGTATCTCGAAATGGCCAGTCTGGACACGTCCTGGAAGGTAGGCGAGCGCAATCGGCGACAAGTCACCATCGAAAATCGACAGGACATCCCAGCAGGCAAGAATGCTGACATCATTGTCGGAAAACGCCACGAATAACCAGCGAGATGCGACAAGACGAAGCCAAGTGATCGATTGGGGTAGCCCAAAAGCAATAGTCTTGCTGGGAGTCATATCGCCTGAAGCCCATTTATCTGTCAGTCGTTGCGTCCGCCACACGAGGGCCTCAATTGTAGAAAGATTCAGGTGCTGATAGGCCCGAAGTTGTGGGGGGAATTGTGAACCGTTGTCGACGAGCTCAAGTTTTTGTACAATATTCATCCACAATGACCGATCTTGTGTCACCACATAGGTAGTGCGACAGACCTGACCATGATAAGGATATAATAAGTCTTTGAATGAGCATCTAACCTGACGTAGAGCGAAAATGGCCTCAATGGGGAGTTGGGAACATATGAGTAAGAGAACGTCGGTTGGGAGGTCCTCTAGTAGCATTTGGTCGTGATTCGTAAAAGGGGAGGCAGTCTTTCGAAAGAGTCGGTTAGCAGCACCTGGACTGGTTGGGGTGAACAAGGGCGAGCAAGGTGAATGGACGCGTCTGAGTGTGTGGCCGTGAGAATCTGGCTATCTGGCCGGGTGACAGCTTCTGAGGTGACCACTTTGTGACGACTTGAATTATGCAACCTACTGCACGAACACAACCAACTGCTGTAGAAGCTAGCCTGTTTTGAGTCCAGCGGTCCCATGCTCATGCGAACTGAAGGGCGTCAAGCTACAGGGATCCAAGAAGCCCTGGCGAAGTCTCATACAATCAAGTCGTGGCCCGCCCACAAAGCACCTCATCTCTGCGTGTTTTGTTGATGTTCTCTCAACAGCTCTCCGCATCCGGCAGGAACAGCCCATTGCGCAAATAAACTGACTGATAAAGCTGACTTGGGCCGTCATTTGGGGTGGTTTTACGCCTTCTATCAAGAAATTATATGATACGATGCTCTTTCCAAATCGCACACAATCACGCGGCGAATAACCAGGGACGCCAGCCGTGGCACATATAAAGGGATGTATTGTCTACTGGCCAACACTCATCTGAGAATGTCGAACTTGCCTAGAAGAGACGGACAACCGTCGACGAACTCAACAGCACCACCCCCTGCTTACGCGCAACAACTTCCACCTACTCTATCATATCCCAGTCCGCCTATTTCTTATCCACAGCACCAAAACCGTCCCCTTCCTCATGTTCAACAAACCAGACCAATGCCGCCCGCGAACCAGTCTGGCCATAATAATGGATCGCAAGCGTCAAATCTGCAAACGGCTAGGATGCACGTAAATCCAACTCCTCTCCAACCATATTCGTATGCGGCGTCCTTGTCTGCCACTTCATCGGCGCCCAGATTTCCAACACGCCGAAACAATGTCCCTGCTCCAATTAGCACGTCTGGAACTATGGGACTTGAAAACCTTTCACTCAACAAACCAGATACATTGCCTAGAACCGTCGTACCGAGCTGGAACTTGGGCTCCAGCAGTGCTCACGCACCCCCCCGCCGGAATGTATGTCCTCGTTATTACTCCATCACCTGGTCTTACTAGTTTGCACTAGAATATCGCTTCTTCCGAGCAAAACGAAAGGACATGGGTCTCTATCCATGACCCCCTCAGTTTCGATGCCAAGGCAGAACAAGTATCTAATCTCCATTTCAACACATGCTCGCGAGGCTTATACATCCACAGATCGTCAACTACATCCACGCACGATGTCCGCTTCTGAGTGGAACTGGTGCGAAAGAACTTATAGCTTTCATTGGTAAATGCCTGTGCGTGTCATGATTGTTGTCCGCCGTTGGCATCTCGATGTCTGATGTTTTTGTTACTTAGACGGGAGAAACAAACACGCTGTAAAAAGAGCGGTGTTCTTGTTTCGATACGTGTCTTTGGCCGCTTCCAGTGTGAAATCACTATCTCTGATCTCTATAATGCCATTGGTACGAGTGGAGTTCCACCCGTGATGTTCAGACCCATGCTTACGCTTCGACAGCATTTCTCATTTCAGAGACTGACCCATATCCATATGTGGGCACCGAAAGCGTCGAAACATTGCAGTGCATTCATCGCCAAATTTTAGCCCATTATACAAAATGGAACTACACTCTTTTTAAAGCTCTATTCCATCGTGAGGGGTTCATGCCGATGACCACTTGCATTATGTATCGTGCTAGAGAGGCAGATTCTGATTCCAATGTGCCATGCTACATTGCTGCGCTGGGCTCATCATTAGGGGGGCCTGGGCATTCGAAAAAGGAGGCTGAATTGATCCAAAGTGCCTCCATCCAACGAGTATTCCCTGCCATCAACCGACATGGTCTTCAATCACCGGAAGAGCTGAAAGGGCACGACGTACCATTAGGAATCTGTGCTGAACTACAGGCCTGGCTATCGTGAGTCCGAGTCATGCTATCTGGGTATTATCTGCTTGTCTCACGAATCTGCTATAGGCTTGTTAGTCCAAAAGCAACCCAAACTTTTGTCACGAATGGTGTCTCGATTGATTCCCGACTTGCAATGCAGTTACTGGGGGATACTGGCAAGTACGACGATGAACTCTTTCGCACCGCCGTCCGACAAGCCTGCCGTAATTGTCAATTCTGCTTCAACTACTATGGACGTCACCAATCTTCCGGTCCACAAGACTCACGTTACCGTCACGTGGATTTTGGGATCAGACACGGGCCTCCAAAAACCTATGCTGCCACCCGCAAGTGCGATTCACCTCAATGTCCCGGTTCAACTTCCCGTGACTCCTCTGAATCCGACGAATTTCCCTGCGTCGGTTGTCGCATGGTCAACTATTGCTCTCCGCAATGTAGAGACCAAGACTGGATCACGCATATGAAAGATTGTGGACGATTCGAAAAATGTGGCAGATGTCTCACATCTCTGTACCATCAACGCCCCCTTCTTTGCTCGTCTTGCCTTATCATGTCCAAGGACAGCCCAAGAGTCCCGACTCGTTACTGCTCGAAGAAATGCATAGATGGAGACTTGAAGCATCATCAAGCGTGGTGCTCCGATGAGAGATACCTGTTGCACCCCAACTTGTGGAATCTTGTACCCTCGTATATATCCAAACGCAACTGGCCAAATCCATCGAACTTGGCCAGCGGACGGTAATTTTTTTTTTCGTCCTATGTAGTTGTCGGTACTAGCAGAGCCTGAAATGTCTATGTATTTGTTTTTACTCTCGAGCGGGTGTAGTCGTTTAACCCTTGCTTTTGTTTTGGTTGCTGTGTTTGTACTCTCTCTAGTGGTTATTGCATCTTTTTATTAGCTCCTCATTCACAGAATTGTATGTAAGTACTACACCTACAGCTTAAAGTTCATACCATCCTTTATGCTGCGCGGAAATGATTACTGATTCGATGAGACTGTAGGAGACTGAGAGTTGTGTGCTCGCGGAGAGAATGTCGCACGCGCGTCTCTGAGTCGAATGGTGGCCCCGTTTTTTCTACTGTTTGGTGTGCCGGAGCGACGCTTGCCAAGTTGCTCAAGGGGGTTCCGGTCAACTGAACGAGCGCTCTTCTCTCTTGCCAGATGCGGTAATCAACGCCCCCAAAATGGCAATATCTGATAAGCAGATAGGTAGCGCAGCAAAGTGTATACAAGATTCAAGGAGTATTCCGAGATTGACTGCAAGGGCTGGATGATCGCGAAAATAATGTCATTATTTAATACACAACAGATACTTTACGGCCACACCAACTGAGTCACATCAGGATAGACAGTCGATTTGGGGAGATTTTCCCAGTCAACACAACCTCCCCTGATGCACATCTCATACCAGCGATTCCGAGGCGTGACTGAGTCCGGCCAACACTCCCTCGAAAAAGTGTGATAGACCATGCTTTGGGTCAGCATCGTCCTCGATGTGCATGGCACATCTTGGAGAGGTCGAAGGAGACTCGGGAAGAATAATCGACCATCTGAAAATTGTTGTGGTACGTGGATAGCAAAGTCGCCGTCAGTGGAATGAACAAAATACTGTGAGCCAACCCTGAACAAGAGCGTCTGGGTACACTCAACATAGTTATCGCCGTAGCCTTGCGGAATCACCTCCCCCGGAAATCCAAACGCATGAGCGAGGATCCAGGCCCAGTCACATGGATTCCCGCTCCACAAACGTTGGTCGAAGTAATCCAACGCAACCCAGTCGTCTTGCCAATAGGGTCTCGCCAAATGAATGTCGTCCTTTGACCATCGAGCGGTCGAACATTGAAGTTCTTCATCAGACATTCCGCGCTGCGGCGCAAAGGGAATGTTAAGGGTAATCAGGGTCTGTTCAATTTCGTAAGTCTCGAAGCATAAGAATTGTAACCCTAACATTCAACGGCGATGGTGAAACGGTTTCTCTCGACACATTCAACATCAAGTCGTTGGGATCAAAGCACATGGAAAGAGGTTGGCTGCAGTGATCATACACGGCGAGCTCGCCGAAGCAATTACCGAATACAGTTAACCCCAGCGATTCATCCATGTCGATGACTGGGACCGCCCATAATGCAGGGTCCATTGCAGCTCCGGGACTCCAAAAAGATGAGTTGGTGCTGCTCTCCAGGTCGTCTGGCAGAGGAAGGGTGGCAGACACAAAGTAAGGGCTTGCAAACCTTGCGGAGCCTGAAGCAACGGAAACCCACGAAGCTCTCGTGCCATTCGATGCAACACGAAGACTGTACCACGGTGCAACCATGCGCCTATGGCCATCCTCTTCATGTGGAGGTATTTTAGCGACGCATCGCTGAGTCCAGTTCGTTACATCTTCTGCAGATGACGCCAAAGTCTGGTGCTCGAAATCAAGGATTTCGACGCCTTCTGGAGAAATGATGACAAGGCGTAGGACATGTGACGTGGGACGGCAGTCGACAACCTCCCAGATAGTCGATGTCCGTATTGTTTTGAGATAATGAAGAGTTGATTCCTGGATACTGTATACGTCAAGAAGGGTGGTTCGCGCAATAACGACCAAGTCCTCAAGCCTAAATATGCCGTGTGGTACACTCTAGGTGTAGCATCAGTTATTGCTTTGTGGGGAGAAAGATTCGACGAACTCTCCGGTCTCGCACATTCAAACCCCCTGGTGGCTCAGGAATTGGTATCAGTTTCCGCGTTCTCCAGTCAATGAAGTGCGGGATATTGTCTCCATTATGAAGAGCACAGCCGATGAGGCTTCCCAAAAGCAGCAAGACATGAGAGGAGTTATTAAAGCGCGCTAACTCGGTGAACGAGAAATCGTTTTCGGAAGTTCTCTCGAAGGCCACAACGTGCACAGACGACGTTCTGAGGAGGAAAATGAGCGGGGAACCATTCAGAATGATTGGCAACTAACTCAGGTCCAAGGCCCAATGCAATGACTATTTGCGAGCCTTGTATCTCTAGATGACCGGTCTGGACGCGTCCTGGGAGGTAGGCGAGCGCAATCGTCGATAAGTCGCCATCAAAAAGCGATAGGATATCCCAGCAGGCAATGATACTGACATAATTGTCCGAAGACGCCACAAATAACCAACGAGATGCGACCAGACGGAGCCAAGTAATCGATTGGGGTAGCCCAAAAGTAACAGTCTTGCTGGGAGCCATATCGTCTGACGCCCATTTGTCTGCCAATCGATGCGTCCGCCACACAAGAGCCTTAATTGTAGAAAGATTCATGATACGATAGGCCCGAAGTTGTGGGGGGAAATGTGAGCTGTTGTCGACGAGCTCAAGTTGTTGTACAATATTGATCCACAATGACCGATCTTGGGTCACTGCCCGAGTGATACGACATACCTGTACAGCAGAAGGGTCATATTTGTAGAAAGTCTCTGAGAGAGCATCCCACCTGACGTAAAAAGAAAATACTTTGAAGCGGCAGCTGAGAGCATATGTGTAAGAGAACGTCTGTTGGCAGGTGCTCTAGTAGTAGCATCTGTTTGTGATTCGTAAAGGAACGGGTAGTCTTTCAAAAAGTTTGTGGCTTAGGCAGTACTGGTGCTGGCGCTGGCAGACAAGGGCGGGTGTACAAAGCTTGCGTTTGAGTGTATGCAAGGAAAAGTCAGCTCCGTTCACCGTGACGTTTATGTGTGACAACCCGACTCGGAGTCATACTTAGTCATCCACAGCTTTCCACAGCTAATAACTCTGGACCAACAAACTGCTTAGGACATCTGCTCTCAACGTAAATTTATCGAAGAATTTGGAATCGTTTATTTTCATCACAGCGATGGCCGGGGGTTTTTCCTGATGCAATCCTGATGCTGTCAAATTGCGCCATTACCACATACTACGTCTTCTACGAAACTTGTGCGAAACTGACAAGAAGAAGCTCGTCCAACCTATCTGAAGCACATGGACGCAAGACGCGTATATATAAAGTTGTATTGTCGAGGGGACAATACCACCGCTCCTCTCTTCGGAATCGATGTGGTTTGGCTCCGCCGCCGCGCTGCTCGTGTTAGCTGGCACAGTTTCCTCTCGACCTGCTGAAAAATGCGCCCATAAAGTCAAGGAATCCGTAACGCCTCCTCGAGCATGGGCTATCCACTCTCCCGCGCCGCCAGACCACATCGTGAAGCTGCGTATCGGCCTTCCCCAAGCCAACTACCAGTTCTTGGAGGATACTCTTTACGCTGTGAGCGACCCATACCACCAACGTTATGGATCGCATCTCTCCAAGGAGCAGGTGGACGACCTCATTGCCCCGCCCAAGGAAAGCGTCGGTGCTGTTAACGATTGGCTGGATTCACACGGAATCCACGCCTCCGATATCGTGCGCTCGTCTGCAGGTGACTGGTTGACGATTCGGGTCCCAGTGTCCCACGTCGAAAAGATGCTTGACACGGTGATTATATTGTCTGCTTGCGCCGCGAGTTGCTGAAATAATTGTGTCATTTTACAGAAATATCATGTCTGGAAACACGTCTCTACCGGCGAATATATCGTCCGCACTACGAGCTACAGTCTCCCAGAAGATCTTCATGACCACATCGAGCTTATTCAGCCAACGACTATGTTCGGCACTTTCAGGAAATTGAAGTCGACCATCCATTCGATTGATCCCCCTACCCCTGCTGGTCTTCAAGACCTTCCACCTATCACCAACCCGACCACAGGCGTAACCGTCGACGCGTCTTGCAACACAACGATCACGATCTCATGCTTGAAACAAATCTACAATGCTGTGGACTACGTTTCGAAAGGTCATGGTTCAGTCGGCATCACTGGCTACCTGGAAGAGTTCGCAAACCGAGCGGATCTGCAGGCATTCTACCAGGATCAAGTCCCTGCGGCAGCCGCAATCAATTCTACCTTCAAGTTCATTTCTGTTGCAGGTGAATCGGGACAATATCGCTGTTAGAGTTGAATAATCTTTTCCGAGGCGGACTCGACTCGCAAAACATCTCTGAAGCTGGTGGAGAAGCCAATCTCGACGTTCAATTTGCTTTTGGGCTCAGTCATCCCGTTCCGTCAACGTTTTACTCAACAGCTGGGCGACCACCATTCAACCCAGATATCGGAACCCCGACCGACACAAACGAGCCTTACACCGATGTCAGTTTGTTTCTTGTTTACCAACCTCAGACGCTGATGCGTTCATACATAGTGGCTTGACTTCATTTTATCGCATCCAAACCCACCGCTCTCGATATCGACTTCCTATGGGGATGACGAGCAAACTGGTATAGCGTGCCTTCAAGTTGGAAACTGGCTGCAACTCATTCTCAATAGTGCCCGAGAGCTTTGCGAGACGTGCATGCGCCGGATTCGCAGCCCTCGGTGAGCAAGCAGAATCTAACCTCTAGATTAGACATCTGAAATGACCTAGGTGTCCGTGGCGTCTCACTCTCTTTCTCCTCTGGTGGTACTGGTTTTTCTTCCTCGGAACAGGAATATTCTTGAAAACTATTGTAGATGGCGGCGTTGGTGACGGTGATCCCGATCCAGCAACACAAGAGTGTATCACCAACGATGGCTTAAACCGGGTCTGAATTTTCTGGCTTGAACAACACTTTTCCTTATCATACCCAGACTCAATTCATCCCGGGGTTCCCTGCATCCTGTCCATTGTAAGCTCTTTAAACGGAACAAAGGTCGCGCCATCCAACTCTTTTAGTGTTACTGCTGTCGGTGGAACTTTTCACTTCCCTGAAACTGCGGTCAGCTTTAGCGGAGGCGGATTCAGCAACTATTTCCCTCGACCTCTGTTCGTGTTACTTCCTATTGTCAGCCTTTCCTCATTCCAGTTCAGCTACCAGGAACTGGCGGTGTCGAAATTCCTCAATGAACAGCTCCCCAAGGGTACATACCAGGGACTTTTCAACCCCAAAGGCCGAGTCCGTCTTTCTCTCAACTGCAAACGGCATCACTCATATCTTCTGTTAGGCAATTCCAGATGTTTCCGCTCAATCGCGCTCCTTCCGCGTCTTCTTACGCGGCCAGATTCGCTCCATTGCCGGAACTTCAGCCTCCTCACCTGCATTTGCCGGTTTCGTGGCACTTCTGAATGACGCTCGTCTTTCCAAAGGCCTTCCACCACTGGGATTCCTCAATCCGTTATTGTATTCATTCGCGGCGAAGGGCTTCAATGACATTACGACTGGAAACGCTCCTGGATGCGGTACACCAGGCTTTAACGTTTGTTGTTTTTCAACTCTCTGCTGATATTGACATTTCAACTAGGCCACGGTTGGGTGGGATCCCGTTACAGGTCTCGGAACGTGAGTTTAGACTCGCTCTAGCGTTATGGAGGCTAACGATGAGGTTGTAGACCCGACTTCGGAAAGCTCCTCAAGCTTGTTACATAGGCAAAATCTATTTTCGCATTCGTTTCTTGAAGCGTTCCATTACCTAAGATCCATGAGAGTCGCAAAATGTTCCAAAACTGAATCGCCTACCACATCATCTGTTGCCAATTGTGCCCCGCTGTCGTTTTGTCGTGGTTGTTCTGCGGGGACCGGCAATCCCATTGCTTCTAGTTTGGCATCACGCAAGATGTCGGTGTCCGACTTCATTTTGAGACCAGGGCGATAGACTGCATGATTAGTCGAGATGAAAGGAGGGGGAATAATTAGACACACATCGAGAAGCAACCAGATGCGCCTCTTCTGGGTTGACTTTGGCGTTGTTCTGTACTTGTTTCCCCTCAGCAACATCCCTCTTCGCCTTCTCCGTGTCTTCTATGTTCTTCAGTCGCGAGTCCATCCCCAAATCGACTTCAGGAATTGCGGTAAGCATTGCGGCGCTATTTGTGACGCTTCCGTCGTCTGTTGGTTTTGACTTGTCGACCTTCCACCGGTCCGAGATTGTATATAGCGCTTCTTGCGGGTCGGCGGGTCGCTGGGCGGTGTCCTCATCGCGTGGTCTGCTGCGAACGGTGAGGTTGGCTTCAATATATGCCATCATATGTTTATCGACGTCGAGTGCATTGGTTTGCTGGGTAAAGTTGTTTGCGCGGACAGCCCGTCTTGCACGAGCATCGATATCGTCTTCGTCCCTGTCTTCGCTACGCGAGCCTGAGGCATCGAGTGAGACATAGTGAAAGACCACTCAACTCGTCGTCGACATCACGAAACCCGGGCCGCAGACCAGCTTGGACGACCTCGTCTTCTTCTCGCGGCCGCTTCCTGCGTTTGGCATCTCCCTTGGTGAGTTTCGCCGCATCAATCCCTTGACGCGCTTTTCGTAGTTTGCGCAATTCGATAAGGTCGTTCAAGTCGATACTAGCGGCTGTGAGTGGACGGAGAAGAGAGCGGAGACACACACGGGCCCGCGGTATCATCGTCCTCGTCAAGCTCTGGGGCTGGCAAATGAGCATCTGGTGGGGATTTCTCGCGGACGCGTTGTCCTTGCTGTGGTCGACTTCGTTTCTTGATCATAAATGCGCCTTGCCTACCGCAGTCACGGAGGTAGGTATATTACGCTGCCAATGCCGCGCCGTCCGTAAAATCGGTCTGAGAGAGTGGGCGTAGTGGACGACCAAAATAACATGCGTGACGCGTGTGACACGTGTGACACGTGACGACTGAACCTTGTCAACCGCACTTCTGTAGTGGATTTCTAGCACTTTCGACACTATGCATTTCATTGAGGTGGACATTAACTTGATCCACCGCGTCTTTTCTCTTCTCTCGGTCAGGGAAATCACTGCTCTCCGCCAGGTACACGCATCATTCGTTCAAATTCTTGAATTCCAAACCAGCTGTCCAAGACATGCCGCCTTCTCTATAACGCCACCCATGCAAAGATTGTGTGGATTAACCAAATGGAACTCTTGGAGACACAGAATGCGGTCCTTCCTGCACATGTCCTGAACTACCGCGTTCTCGACGCTTCGGTTCTTGAACCTTTGGTAATCCGACTGACCTCCATCGTAGACAAATGGCAACGGCGAGACTTAACCCCCACCCTGTATTCTTGGATAACACTCTCCTACTCGATAACATGGCTTAATGTTGTCGACGGCAGATGGGTTTTTGTCGCATTATCCGATCCTGAAGTCAGCAAAATCGCTTGCTGGGATTTATGGTGGCTTGAAGCTGGCTACGATGCTCCAGTCGCTGAGGCTTTCCTTTCTGGCCCTGTCCATACGGGTCAAGTAGAGGCGCAAGCGGAGGGTATTGTGCTCGCTCTCGGTGTGGATGGAGTGTGAGTGTCATAGTCCTTTTAAACTCCTTTTTAATACTAGTACTGCTCAATAGAGTTCCTAGTGTTATTGTTACCACTCTGCAGTGGAACTGCGACAGATATGTTTTCTGTGAGCTCTCGAAAATCGATAAATCGTCGCACGTTTTGCTCTTGGCTGGGTCGCTGGTTGGCTGTGCAGTCCTCAACGGTGCCAACACGCCCCATCTGGTCGACTGGAAAAAGAATGCTGTTCTCGACATTCCTGCCCCACCAGATGGCCTCGATACCCCAAGTCGACGTGTATGTTGCTATTCTCCACCACTTCTCGTTGATACAAAGTCTCCTTCCAGAGTGTGCCGCACCTAATGAACCTCTGGAAAGAAGTGCTCATTATCATAAGGTCCATCAGTATTGAGCTCTACCACCATTCACCTGTTGATGGTTCGGTCGTGTTCGTCAAAGAAATTGCGACCAGTACCATCTGGGAGGCTGTCAGCTATCCTACACAAACCTCATTGCGATTGCTGTTCGTGACTCGCTTAGGAATCGAGAGTATAATCATCGATGATTCAACTCTTCAACCTGAATCATCTCCAGTGTTAATGTGTCTCGCTAATGCGCCAACTTGTAATTGTTATGGACCAGAGCACCTTTGTGATGTCCTGTACCACAATGTGCCATGGTACCGCCTTTCGCTAGGTCAATCTGGACGGAGATGCCTTTGGGTTTCCGTCGCTGGTGGACAGAAAGGCCGCTATGCTGAACCATGTCTTATTACCGCCACACTGCCGTTCTCTTCATCCGACTCAAAACCACTCGACATGATCTCGTGGAACCCAGGAGCTGCCGATGGTCCTGCTCTTTGGGCTTTCCCCTGTATTGCCTTCGACGAAGCAATTGGCACTACGGTTATAGGGAATTGCTTCGGCGAACTTGCGTTCTATGATTGGGATCAACATTCCCTCCAATGTTTTGGCCTGGCCCGGGATCTGTCATGGGCATCACCTGCCCCGCTAGAGAATTTGCTGCCTGTACGTCCCTCCGCTACTCCGCGTGAACACTCTTGACCTCCTACTCGTAGCAAATCCCGGTGTCTCTTGATACCGTTCAAGCGCCGACAGTTGACCTCTCCGCCACCGAGCTTGAAAAACGCACATCAAGTTGGGGCAACGATGATCTGCACCTGTCCTCCATGTGGACCACCGACTGGTTCCGTCGCCCGTTCCGGATCCAAATGTGCCTTTGGCAAGGATCGCCCTCTGACTATGCCTGGACACTCCGGCGCGCCTTTGGCTTCCCCGGTCAAGTTATTCCGCAAGCATGTTTGGAACAGGATTTAGGCTCTACTCCGCTGGCAACCCTGATATTCCGCATCGGAAGGCGCTTGTTCAGTTTCAGTAAGGGAGACGAAGCGCAATTTAAATCCCTCCCCCTCAACGATACTTCGGGAACAAATCGCTTTGATCTAGGTCTTGCTACGGTACAGAATACAACATGCAGGACTGCTATCACCGAACAAACGGTCTACGATACTCAGCTGTTTAATGAGATTAAAAGTAAGGAAACTCCTCGTAATCGTTGGTTGGAGCTGAAGCAGCGAGGCGGGAGTGTAAATTGGGATAACCTTCTTTGCTACGCGAATCATTTAGGTTTATACTTTGACTGAATATCACTGAATGAAAACCATAATTTGATTCTGAGAGAATATGGAAACAGATTCATCAGAGGGCACTGATGGCGCTTCGGTACACTAAAACATGGTGTCGGACCTGGTTTGAATTCGGCGAACCTGAGATATGATATATTGTGAAGATAAACATCTTATCGGAATCTGGCTCTGAAATGAAGGCATCAGCTGTTTTATGGAAAGTGTCGATTTGTTCACCTGACACACCATTTGCTTATCAAAAATTGCCATTTTGGGCCCAAGGCGTTGATTGCCAGATTAGGAAACAGAGGAGAGTGCCTGCTAAACTCAAGCATTCAGCTGTTGTAAACAGCACATGGATCAGGATAAATCAGATATAATATGTATGAGCTACAGCGATATATAGCTCCAGTCTAAATAACACGAATCGGCCGGAGATTTTATTGCCGCTGGCATCACAACGGTAATAGTTGTACAGCTCCGATACAGCCAAATATCGATTTTCAAGGTGCACGGTTTTGGGTCTCATAATCGCACGGTGGCCCTCAATTAATGAAAGATATCTGTCGGTGGACTTAGTATGTAGCTGGGAACGGATCAAATTGAAGTCCGTGATTGAAAGCCACTCACCACTGCCTTTCACCTCACCGGTACCTTACTGCTCTGGTAACATTCAGAACACACACACTGAGATTCGGTAGTAACAGTGCAGTTGTTCTGCTTGGTATGACCGCAATGTTTTACATCGATTCCTTGGCTCTGACATCATTTTTTTCAAGGACTTGAAGGAGCTCCAACTTGACCCATTCCCCTCAAGACCAGACCGGATTTTTACAGCAAGAACTCCGAACAGAGCGATCTCGGAGAGCTAGAAGCTGTGGAACTGGCTGTGTAGTGCGTGTCTTGTTTTTTAGCTATGGGCACCTGTTAAGAGATTAAGAGACGACCAGAGCTCAGCGCTAAAGCCTTGCAAAGCCTTAGTCTCCTTCTCGGAAACTAACAGGGCATTCAAGTTATTACTTTGTGTGAGCGTCGGTGGTGAACGCCACGCCCCCCGACGCACTTCGTTTCCTCTGCACTCCCCTTCTCTTCGACCTCAACAATGAGTTTGCTCCAAGAGGAGGACGAGCATGCAATTTCCAGCTCTCCTATTTCCATTAGCGGGCCCTCGCCTCTCCGTCGCAGAACTAGCGCCAACAGCGATGAGATCGCTCGCTCTCGACATTCCCCAACGCTAGCCCGTTCTTTTGACCCGAATAACCCTGAGGTTAGGGAACGCCAGCGAACCATGGACGTGGACATGGCCATGCAACTTTCCCGTGCTCGCCGAGAGGGCTCCCCCATCGACTCTTCTCCTGAAGCGACATTTGCGCCCCTCTCTACCCTTGAACAACACGATCTGGAGATTGCCCAAGGTCACCCAGAATTCGAAGGGCGGCCAGACGCGCCGACGCCAACTCCAACGTTCGTGGAAATCAACCATATGTCCGCCCACGATCCAACGATGCTGGCCAAAGAGACGCAGCTCAATCCTCCGCCCCAGCTATTTGGCGGTCTACCTACCTACCAACCCAATGCTTCTGATCCAGAATTTGACTTTGGGCCTTTGGAAGAATTCTCTGCCGCAGAAAAAATCAGACTCGACGCCGCTGCCCCCAAATTTTCCCTGAATGCCTTTCGCGCTCGAACTGTTGCACCAAACAACGAAGATACCGCCGCTATAGCCGAAGATGCTGAAGCAGGTCCTTCTGATGGACCCCGGCGGAAGTTGAGCCATAGTAACCCCCGTCCACGACATAAACGCAAGAGTGGTGGTCGTAAACTGGCGTTGTTTGAAGGCACCGGCGGCGACCCACCACCTTTCGGTTTGGACGGAGTTCCCGCTGCACATACAACAACTGGTATTCCCGGAATTCTGCATTCCGGACACGACAGGCCTTACCGGTTCTCCTTTTACTCCAACTCTTTATCAGCGACTGTCCACGCACGGAGTTTGAGCGAGCTCCCTGCAGAAGGCCAGTCGTTCAGTCAATTATTCGCTGGTATTTCTCCCTCGGAAAATCCTTCACGGCCAACCCGGCCGGGCCCAAATCCGCTCGTTGGCGACAAATCAGCACGATTCTCGAACTACAAGCCTTCGGGCGAACATCCGCGACACAGTGCAAACGACACGGAGGGAGGAACATGGTGGCTTGATATTCAGAGTCCGACCGATGAAGAGATGAAGATGTTGACCAAGGTTCGTCGCTAAGGCCTTGTCTTCTCAACATCAAGATTTAGAGCTATAGGTGTTCTCTATTCACCCGCTGACAACCGAAGACATCCAAATGGAAGAAACGCGCGAAAAGATTGAGCTTTTCCGGCACTATTACTTTGTCTGTTTCCGTTCGTTCGATCAAGATCCCTACAGCCCAACACATCTGGAGCCGCTCAACATGTACATTATTGTGTTCCGCGAGGGCACACTGTCTTTCCACTTCCGGCCTACACCTCATCCGCAGAATGTCCGACGCCGAATCAAGCAACTCCGAGACTACATCAGCGTCACTTCCGACTGGATTTCGTATGCACTTATCGACGACATTACCGATGCATTTGGGCCTCTGATTCAAGGCATCGAGTATGAGGTCGACAGCATTGACGAGTTGGTGTTGATTCTAAGGGAGGCGGAGACGGGTGATATGTTGAGAAGGATCGGGACATGCAGGAAGAAAGTCATGGGGTTGTTGCGACTGATGGGCAACAAGGCAGATGTCGTCAAAGGTCTGGCAAAACGCTGCAATGAGCACTGGAGAGTTGCGCCGACTTCGGATATTGTGAGGCGAAGTTTTTTCACCCTGAAGCACCGCTAATCACATTCCAAGGGTCTTTATCTTTCCGATATCCAAGACCATCTCATCACTATGACTCAGAATCTCAACCACTACGAAAAGATTCTCTCGCGCTCGCATTCGAACTACCTGGCGCAAATTTCGATTGAGATGACCGAGGCGAACAATCAAATCAACGATGTTCTGTCGAAACTGACGGCGTTGGGTACGGTGCTCATCCCTATGAACCTCGTAACGGGTTAGTAGTCTCTTTTTTTTTTCGTGCAACTGCGTCATCTGAGGCCACTTACAGGTTTGTGGGGTATGAACGTCCATGTCCCTGGACAAGATGTACCCGGATATGCCTGGTTCCTGTCCATCATTGCAGGCCTGGTCGCTTTTGCTGTTATTGGAGCATACTCCACCTATAGATTCATGGTCCGCAGACGCTAGAGTTTTACAGACAAAGGATTCCTTGTATTTTTACTCCATCTAGCATACAATATGCAGGATACTGTAATATGGGATAAACACCCTGGAGTCTAACAAACGACTGGTCATTGTTGGACTACTTTTTATATCGGTGAGTCCAGTTTTGGGCAGAGCGCACTATGATGGTCGACGTCGATCACAACTGTCCAATGGCGTCGAAGGCCTTGAATCGAATCTGGACGGTGAAGTTAAGTATTGACATAATCATGCGACGAGATCTCACCTTACCAATTGAACGAAGTCCCCGTCGAGATCGATGGTTGGTACGAAAAGAGCGAGGGGGCTACTTATGTGGAATGGGAAAATTTGGGGTATCCAACGATTGGTCTTTACTTTGACTTCCAGTTAGAATGCAGTACACAAGTACTTGTTGATCCAGATTCAGTCGCTATGATTGTTAAACTTGTCGTGTCACAATTGTGATATCTTGCGATTCTTTCTTTCGTCCATACATAACAAACACCGCACGGTAAAATAATATCTCAGCGATGGATAGCGCAGAATTCCATGCAGCAGTGTATGAAACCGTTCGTCAAATTCCAGCACAAAAAGTGACTAGTTACGGTACGCGTTATGTAATGTGTGGAAGATATAAGCCGGACAAACAGATTGAAGGCCACATCGCCAGGCTCCTTGGCATGCCAAACCACTCACGACATGTTGGACAAGGTAAGTAAAAGTTCTTGCCAGAAAGGTTATGTGCATTCCATCCACCAGCTAATGACTTACTTGGTCATTAGCACTCAAATTTCTGACTCCGGGAACGACACCACCGGTACCATGGCATCGCGTGATATCTTCTTCTGGTGCTATTTCTTCCCGTGGTCCTGGAACAGATGGCGCAAGGAGGCAGGGCGATGCCTTAGAGGCTGAAGGTGTTGTTGTGACCGCAGGTCGTGGTGGGGAGTTGAAAGTCGATTTGGGGAGTTATGGTTGGTTCCCTGATAGTGTCTAATGTCGTCGAAGCTTGCGAACCTGAGCGCTGAACTTGTCTTCGGGCAACGGAGTTGGGTGAGAATACGCTGAGAATAATCACCCAAAAATGGCAATTATTGTGACTTATCGGGTCACGTATTGACAAAGACGGCCGACACAGCAACGACGAGCTTCCTCTCAACCACGACGCCGAAAATCACTATGGGACGATGGTAAGCATCCAATCCTCTTCGCACCACTCTTTTCGCTCATTCTGCGTCCTATGTATAGGACAAACGAGTACCAAGACACCGTCCTCACCGCCAAACTCAAGGGCCTCGTGTAGGTGTCAGAAGCTTGTCGTCAGCACGAACTCAAAAGATTTGAGATAGCGGGGGCGCGATCAAGCGCGCGAAGTTGGAGGAAAAGTCAGAGTTGATCAGGTACGCTGTTTTTGGACAGTTGCCTTTTCTGAACGATTGCGGGGTGTAGCTACAAACATTTCGTGGAAGATCTGGATCTCGGTGACTCCTTCACGACGACTATCATTGATATTCTTGTCCAGGTACACTTCAATGGTAGTCTGTCGTGTTTTACTTGACCTGTGAATTGTAGGAAATGGCTGCCCGCCGTTCGCGAAGTAATCCGAGCGACCGACGACTCATTGCGGACCAAACAGCAAAAAATCTGCGAATGTTATCGACTCCCCTTCGTGTCTACCAAGAGCGCGAGCAACGCACCACCGTCCGGCGACGAATGTCTGAATATTTGTCTGCACCTCCACAGGAAATGGACTTGGAGGAGGAGGATGAGTTGGCTTCACCTGACCCGCTACCCGAAGGCATTCGCGTGAACGATGAACTATTCGACGCATATTCACAACGCTGGGCTCGACGAAGGACCACTGCTACTGCTCCAACGCCGCCTTTGTCTGATGACATAGCAACGCCCCCCGCTTCTAATTCTCCCCCAAGTTTGTTCTCTCTGACTGATGCGGATCGGCTATGGAACAGACATAATCGTCCACCATCCCTTCGTCGTCTTAACCGTTCTCGCGGGGCGGATTTCAACAGTTTCACCGCCCATCGTCGTTCCGTTGCTCGTGACAGCGATCTACACGCTTCGCCTCCATCGGCAAGCAGTTCTCGAACAGCTCGACGTTTCTTTCCGTCAACCGGGTCCCGTCGACACCAAAGCTTGCAGTGGGTTGAAGCACCGCCGGCCTCCCGTATTCGTGTCAATGAGGGGAGCAGTACCACCAGTACTCCAGAGCTAGAAGGTGTCCCAGAGCCACTGTCTTTCCCCAGCTTCTTCGCTGACTCGGAGCCCCCTACTACCACATTTTATTCATACCCGTCCCCATCCCTCATCCCCGAGTCCCAGTCGCGTCCACGGCTTCGAAGAGGCGGAGTTCGACCTCCAGAATCACTTTTGTTTGGCCATGATTCCAGGACTACATCAGACGATGACGATGAAGCAGCTGGGCCCGTAGCGCAGCCTGCCTCCACTGTTGCAGAAGCCGGGTCGGGGTCATATCCTACTCCTGGATCTTCTGCGGGCGAGACAGAGGCACCTCTCTAAAAACCTTTTACTTGGTTCAAACTGGTCATCTTTATAACACAAAAAAATCAGGAATGTAGTCTATATATCTGTATCCACTTGGTTGTGTCGTTTTGTGTCTCAATTATCTTTACTGGTTTGTTTGAACAATTTTTGTCACAGCCGTGTCTTTTTTGGACCAAACAAACCACGATGACCACACCAGTCACAATGGACTCCGCTGTAGCAGTCCCGGTCCACAGACTGCTCGAATCGCCCACAACACGCGCTATAGAGATCTTTGACTGGATAATCACCGTTTCGACGAACCCCATCTCCAATTCGCGTGATTGCGATGCGCTACACGCAGCACTCGGCATTCCACTGCCTGAAATGACATTTGGCAGCAACTTTTTGAAGATGGAGCATAAGCCGTCGAGGTGGGGCCTCGAGTTTGCGACGTTGGATGCGCTGAGGGAAGTAAGAAATGGAGAGTTGAGGGAGGGCGATGGCGGCGTGAAGGTTGAGCATTCTGAGGCTTGGCTAAAGAGCAGGTGCGAGATCTTTTCTTCTTCTTCTTTCCTCATTTCCCACAAAACAACAAACAGGACAGACTCATCTTCGACACTCCCGATGCCGAAAACGGTGCCCACGAAGCCATACGATTGGACTTACACAACAACTTATGCCGGCCATCCAAGAGTTTGGACTCCAGAAACAGAAGAAACTCTATCTGAAGCAGGATCGCGCTCTACGACACCTGTTGCAATTGAGGAGCCTCGTGAATGGCAATGGGCTCCAGCCGATTCGAATGACTCATCACACGCTATACCACTTGCGACACTCTCCCGGCCAGACCCAATCTTATTCTACGCCGAAGTCCCACTTTTCGAAGACGAGCTGCACGATAATGGCGCTGCACACCTGCTGATCAGAGTACGGGTCATGCCGACATGTTTTTTCGTACTGGCGAGGTTTACGCTGAGGGTGGATGGAGTGCTGTTCAGGATAAGAGACACAAGGGTCTTCCACGAGTTCGGAACTGGTGTTCCGCTGGTGGTAAGGGAATCAAGTGGTTGGGAGGCAGAGTATAGCAAAATAAAAGGCGTGCGTTGCATTTGATCCTTGCGAAAGCTGCTCCTTAATAATTATAGGCGCTTACACGAAGGGACGACCTATCCCCTCTGACAGACTCCAACTTCATTGCCAAAGTCCTCACGGGCATGCCACGAGAGACATCACAAGTAACTGGGGCAAAGACTGGGTGGCGCGGCCTTGGGACGACTACTGAGGTCGCTATTCTTGGTTAAATCAGGACAGAGGCTTTCGCGTCGATTATCAAAAATTGCCCGATTTGGGCTCAGGCGTTGAGTAAATGGAAATAAAAATAGGAACTGTTTGATTAAGAGACCAACTAGACGAGTAATGAAGTGATTTTTGTACTATAGTGATTACATGTAGTCTGAAGAATTACTGTTAATTAGTAAATTGTGCCGCATTGACGATGATTGTACCTCGACTTATGTTTCCTGGGCCTTGCATTCCACACAAGAACCCACTCTATGGGCGCATTCCATGGCGCTTAACGCAGCGTCTCCGTCAGCAATAATACCTTCGTCAACCAACGCTTTCACCAGACGATTCGTCCACTCCTGACACCTTTCAAACCTCGGATGTGTTGCAAGCCAAATAGGGTCGTCTGGATCTTCTGGCGTTGCATTTGGTGCACGGTACGGAAGAGGAATGCGACCAGCGAGGCACTCGATGCGGTCGCGAGCATTCGGCTCATTGCGAATATTATATGACCCCTCGTCGACGAAATCAGCCGCGGAGATTTGACCAAGGTACAGGTAGTGCGAAGTCTTTGCGAGCGAGCCAAGAGGAGCGGTTGCGTAGGCGTGCTGCACGGTTCCGCGGTCGAACCCGGTTTTGATCTCAAGCGCGAAGTCGCTGTTCCATGGATTTCCCGACACGTTGATAAGTTTGCCGGTGTGTGCATCGTCAGAGAGGAAGGGGATGAAAAGGAAGTAGTGGGAGCGACGTGTCGGGTGGCAGGTGTAACCTAGGAAGATAGAGCGTGTTGCTGTTCGCTTGGGACAGCTTGAGTCGCCTTTAGCTTCGTTTGTCGGGATTTTGTTCATCTCTCCTAGTAGACACGGACGCATAAGTAAATCGTTTCCATATCGGCGAAACTAGTAAACCTACTATACCGTCTGCTCCATACTGGGATGGGACGCGAACCTTCGGGGCTGGTCTCCATTGAAGTTCCTTGAGTTGGCTAGATATGTGCCGGGTGGGTTGTCCAAAGGAGAAGGAAATGGACAGTAAAGGAAGGACTCGGGGTCAAGTTGTCAGTGAAATCCAGGTGACTGGCAGAGTGCGAGGTTGTTATGACGGTGGGTGTTTATTTGCGACAACAGAACTTGCAGAGGTTACATAAGGTCGAGGGTCCGTGATGGCATCACTTCCGATTCCGTCACACTACACAACTTGCTCAAAATCACAACAATTTCCTTCAAAAGAACAATACTATATATCAGACCCATCTCCGTCACTTTCTGGACCCAAAGCAGGACCACTTAAAAATCTTTCGCCCCACCGTCATACCCGCTTGCTGCAAAAGACTGAACCAGCTTTCTTTTTCAACTGTAGCGCCGTAGAATACACGTTGTGCCCAAGCAGCAACGGAGCCTGATCAATTGGTCAACCTGGCTTCTTCACTGGACTCCAAGAAGACGAACCTTTGATTGGACCTTGCTTACCGAAGCCAAAAACGCGAAGGATGGGCTGGAAAAGCCATACCTCTGGTATCAACATTACTGCCAACCAAAAGAGGAGCCCGGAGAGCAAGGCAGGGTGTTGCTCGGCAATATCACCTTATAACCCAGTGAGAAACGTGAAAAATTCAGCGGTTCTGACTGAACTCACCAATTAAGATGAGTCCGTTGAAGAGTCCTGGATGGATGATCGCCTCCCAGACTGACTCTATGCGACTCGTTTCGACGCCGTGCTTCTCCAAAACGCGAACAAGCGCGTCGCCGACCTTATCCAACGCAACTGATACAGCCTTAACTCTGTCTTCATGCCCCGCCGCGTTTTTAGGTTCCGGAAACACTCACTTTTGCGCCAGGATTTTGATGGCCGGAGGCCCAGCATCTGCTGCAACTCTTGGGTGATAACGTCTAGGGCTGCTGCCAAATCATCGGCAATATTGCTGGCTACGACCTCGGCATTCGTGGCCTGAGTTGTTCCTCCAGATGAGATCTGAGGCTGGGGCGACACTATTTCATGCAGGACGGAAGCACCGTGAACGAGGTCTTCTATGTTTGTCTTGAGCTCGTTAACTTGAGTCCCGATCTCTCTCGTTGCCTTGTTTATGGCCTCAAGAGCCTCGCGTTTTGCGCCATCCAGCTTCTCTTGTGTGCGTCGCCAAAAATCAAAACTATCCGACTCTGCCTCATCCTCCGCCTTGTCGCGATGCGGAAAGAGTCCAGACAACCGGTCAGAAAGCCAGCTGGTGCCACTGACTGCAAAAAGGCTAGTGCCGAAGCCTGGATAAGTCACTGGGAACTGGATTTGAACAGCGATAACACGGGGGAGGCTGACGAGCAGAAGTATGGGCCAGACAACTAGCAACAGATAAGCGGGGGAAATGCGCATGATGGTGAGGGTTGAAAGTAGTGTTGCCTGAAGCTTGTTCGTCAGGTCATTTTATACTCACAAAGATAGACGCCGTAGTTATACTCACAAAGATAGACGCCGTAGTTACATAATTTCGAGAGGAGGCGTCAATAAATAATCTCAAAGTACTCGTTTAATCAGCGCAAGAGGCTGCCTATCCGTGAAAACCAAGGCGTTTTCCTCGAATTCAGGGGCAATATTTCCTCGTTTAGCAGCTCTTCGTGTCACAGGTGTCACACTTCCATTTTTCCGCCATGTCGACGCGATTTGAGCCCTCGACGATCAAGAACAAGATAAAACGGGAGGAGATTGCCAAGAAGGCGAAGAAGGCAAAGTCGCAAGATAAACTGCAAAAACGACTAGCTCGAGCCAAACTGGAGGCTGAGGATCCTGCTGCCAAAAAAGTATGTGCTTGTGGTTTCGCCTCGAAATACTCAACTGGTGGCAGAAACGACTAGCGGAGAATGTACCTCGAACACTCGACAACATGCGAGAATTTGACCCATCGTTTCTTACCGCGGACCCATCTTCATCTTCGACACAAGAGCAGATAGCTGAAGACATGGCAGCAGACCCATTTGCTTCTTACTTCTCTGGAGAGACAGACCCAAGAGCTCCGCCAAAAATTCTGATAACAACGTCGCCCAAAGCGTCCAAATCGACATATGACTTTTGTGACGAGTTGGTCGGGATATTCCCTGGAGCAGAGTTCATTCGTCGGAAGAAGGGCAAAGGGTTCGAGATGGGGAGGATAGCGGGCTGGGCGGCAGGGAGAGGATATAAACATATGTGTGTGGTGAATGAAGATCAAAAGAAGCCAAGTGTGTCCCAGTGTTTCTTCAAACTGGGTCTAATCTTGTTGACCAGATGCTATAACTCTCATCCATCTTCCAAACGGACCCACTGCGTATTTCAAACTGACCTCTGTGCAGCTAACAAAACAAATCTATGTGCGTTTGACTAATTAATGAGCCTTTAAATTCAGTACCTGACATAATTTTCAGGGCCATGCCAGAGCAACCCCACACGACCCCGAACTGGTCCTCAATGGATTTGTAACCCGACTAGGTCATGCTGTCGGTCGGATGTTCCAAACTCTCTTCCCGCCTCTGCCTGAATTTCAGGGCCGACAAGTCGTCACACTTCACAACCAGCGCGATTTTCTATTCTTTAGGCGCCATCGGTCTGGTTATTCCACCAAGTCTCATTGGCCTGACTGAACGACATCATAGATACGCGTTCCGCTCGACTGAGAAGGTCGCGCTGCAGGAGATTGGGCCACGGTTCACGCTCAAACTACGATCATTACGCAAAGGAATACCTGCCGTCCAGCAATTTGGCAAGGCTCCCGAGCCTCTCTCGATTGAGGTGGGCAACAAGGAGGGAGGCGAGGAGGATACGCCGGAGCAAGAAGATGAGCCAGAAATAACGGAATCTACGCCACCTCTGGAACCACCGGTGCCAACACCTGTCGTCCCACCGCAGACAGACGAATTTCTGTGGCAGTGGAAGGTGCGCTGCTTGTTCATTTAGTGTGGGGTAACTGACGTCCATATTATATCATAGCCGGAGCTAGAAACGACGAGAAAAACGTTCTTCTTGTAAAGCTTATTGTGGGTTGGCAGATTGCAATGCAATGCAAGTCACACATCATCCGCTCTTGACGAGCTCAGCAACTCAGAGTTTTACTATTCAACATATTCAACATTGTTATCAAAAGATTCACTGGAAGGTTAACGGCCAGCTACCCCGGATCCCTGCCGACGCGCTCCCCTTGCCATTATAAATTAAACCCCCATTAGAGTCGAAAATCTTCGCAGTTGTGGCGGTCACCTTGACCGTATATGTGTTTCCTGCCACATTTTCGGTGACCATGCCTTTGAACGCGCCGTTTCCGAGATTGCCGCATGCGCCAGTTCCGACGTTCTGATCCAGGGAGGCGTTGAGGGTAGTGCCATCTCCGAAGAGGATCAACTGCACGATGGAGCTGGCGAACTCGCTTTCAGCGGCTTTGATTCGCTCGTCCAGATCAGCGGCAAGAGCAGCATTGGAGCCCAAGTCAGGAACTTTGTCTTTGAGGGTTTTCAGCGCTAGATAAATTAGTGGGGGGAAGCTTCGCTGCTAGATTTGGAACATACAAACATCCCAGGCTGACATCTTTTCGATGGAAGTTCAATGAAAGAGCTGCAAACTGGGTTATTAACGGAGACCATTCATGAAGGAGAGACCAACTTGGGGTAATATAGACGGGGGTCAAGCTCAAGAAATCCCACAGTTTGTTCCTTTATAGGCTTTCAGGCTTGCTCCACGCTCCGGAGGGAACCTCGACTTGAATTGTGTGGTTGGCGCATCGAATGTAGTGATGAATGCTGGGCAAATGACGGGATGCTTGAAAAAACAACAAGGAAGTGCCTGAAACGCGAAACGCGCTGCCAAATTTAACGTGCCTAAGGGTGGAACCGTGGCAAGAAAGCAACAGGAGATTCGGGGTGGCCGGAAGTGTTTGTATGCTTGTTTTCTGGCAGGATGCTCGATGTTCAGGAATGACATAACCCAGTTACAACACGAAAGTCATCATGAATCCTTTCGCCATCCAACATACCAACCTCTAAGTTAGTTAGCACATAGGGCAGCTTCAAACAATACTCGGTAAAGAAAATTATGATTCTGGGTAAGAGAGCTGGGCTGGTCTTATATACGGTCTGAGTCGTGTTCAAATAAAACCCGAGATGATAACAACGCTCCAGGATGCCCTGCAATGGAACGTGCCCCCCTCTTTCCGCCATCGGTTTCGATTTTTTCCTCTTGTTGAACGCTCCTCCCAGTATTCCTGCCTGTACGTTTCTGCCATCGTAATGGCTGTCCGACGCGTCGTGACCATCTTGGTAGAGAGCTTCCTAGAGATCGCGTTCTCTTCGTCTTCCGGATATCTTGGGGGAACAGGCCATGAGCGGAACTCATGGTAGTCGCCCGGTTTAAGAAAGTAGCGATTCCCAACGCGTACGAGTAACAGTTTTGAGTCGAAGATTCTAAGAGAAGGACAAGCAATCAAGTGTAGCAAATATCAAATCTATTTACTCTGTTTATTCAGGATAGGTACGATATCTTGGGTGACCTACATTGTTCCACTCCACATAGCCCCCGCGATCCTTCATTTCCAGCCAGCGAATTCGAGGACATGGATTGTGGTATACCTCTTGGTGAAAGCCATCGATGTAGGCATGGCACATGGAAAATGCCGTGCGACGAGTTGCGGTCAGTTTTGTGGGGGCTCTCCAGTCGATGGTCGGCTCCTGCTCCTGCTCCAAATCCCGAAGTGTGCTTATTGCCGGTGACAACGTACATAATGTCTTCTCGTCGCCATCCCAGTGCTCAAAGTAGCGTTTCCCAATGCGGAAGGTGACGGACTGGTCAAGCGCGTCGGGGGATGGCTGGCCATAGTATTGAGGAATCACTCGACCCGGGATTCCGAAGGCTTCCCTGAGCATCCACGCATAGTCGAAAGGCAAACCTTGCCAAAGATGTTTGGTTCTACAACCTGTCCAATTCCCGGCCCATTCGATACCATTAACAATAGGATCTTGGGACCAGTGGGCCGTGCTGTCAGGCAGCGATTCAGGTGAACCGAAAATTGGCTGAGGAGGCACATCGAGAGCTAATGGCGCCAACTAAAGAAAGCAAAAGTGTAAGGGAAAGAAACCCAACGTGCGGACACTTACCGACAACATCTTCGTCGACCGATGCTCAGGCCTCCAGAAGGGGTATCGTGACAGCCACAGGCATGCCAACAAATGCTCATCCAAGTCATAAAACTCCAGTTCTCCGAAACAGTTCCCGACGACAGCTGTGCCGAGAGCCTCATCGAAATCGAACCGGGGTAGTGCCCAGAGCGCTAGTTCATTATTTGGATTCATGGGCCACGAGACAAGCTCTGCATGACCCGACGCTTCTGGAAGTCGAGCGGACACAAATGATGGTAGTGAGTAGTCCTTTCCAGGTTCTCCTACCACAGATATCCACATGAATCGACGGCCGGAGTCACCCACAGACAGTCCGTACCACCGAGCAGCGTGGTCGATGAAGCTGCACGGAACACTGGCAGTGGGACCTCGACAGCTACACAACGGCGCTCGAGCAACACAAATAAGACTCGGTGTTTGTGTGTTAATGTCCAGCACTCGGTCGTCGATAGTCAAAATTTCAAGACCAACGCGGGTGATTAATGTCAGCTGTGTGGCTTGCAAATGGGTAAGGGGAGTAGCAACAGCTTCCCAAATAGTAGAACGCGTGATATGTTGAACGAAGACGATGGGGTCGTTTGATGATGGCGGACAGTGATAGATTTCGACGCCAACCGAGTACACGATAACGAGAACCTCGCCAGACAATGTGATCAGATATGGGACACTCTGAAAATGATTAATTGGACTCTCTCCGAGAAGGGGCAACATAGCATACCGCTCTGACCGAGTTAGAGAACCCAGCTGCGGCCTGCGGGATCTCACGAATAGCTCCGTCTCTCCAATTAACCAGGTGAAGGATGTTGATACCGTCACGAATAGCGCAGCCAACGAATGAGCCATTTAGCATGAGGATATGCGACGACTTTTCGATTCGCGCCAGTTCATAGAACGCAAACGTATCATCTTCTTGTTCCTGGAGTGTGGTTACGAGCACACTGGGGTTTCTGTTGCGACATTAGTCGCCGTAAAAAGGCAAAAGAAATTTGCACACGTACTTGCCATCTAGTCCGAGGGTTAGAACAACGCCATTCTCTTGCATCTCTACTTGCGCAGTATCGACACGACCTGGAAGGAATGCAAGAGCGATTGGGTTGATATCACCACATTGCAGCCACCAGAAATCCCAGCATGCGAGAACGCTGACCTTTTGGTCAGAATACGCCACAAATACATATCGGCCATCGACGATGCGCAGCCATGTTATCGAGTGTGGGACGACCAGAGAGACGGACTTGATTGGAGTCATATCGTGGCGAGCCCACTTGTTCGCGACCGAAGTCAGCCGGAAAACTAAGGCTTCAAGGACGTCGGACTCGAGGAGGCGATAGTCTTGCACATACGAGGGCAGTACAGCCCCTTTTGCTTTGAGGACGACCAAATATCGAATCCAAACAACCCTTGAATGTGTTGCATGATACAATGAGCGACAAGTCTGTAGGATGTTAGAATTGTGCAGACTGTAAATAAGCACGCACCTGACGGAGAGAGAGGACATCATTGACCAGTAATTCCTCGCAGATACAATGTATAATTTCGAGTTCGAGTTCAACGAAACTGAGCATGAGTGAGGGGTTCAACGAGCCAACGACATCTCAAACTAGCTGACAAAACTTTAGTTCCGCGCTTGACTCACTTGGTATCCAGCCACGCCAAATGGGGTCACTGCATACTGCATCTGCATTGTTTGTTTGTTTGTAATGGTTTGAACCAAGTTTGAACGCAGTTTGGGCAAGGACGAGGTGATGAAACGAGACAACGTGACACATTGCATGTCAATTGTTTTGGTCAAAAGACTTGATAAAGTGTAAAAATGAGCAGGATAGGATAGAATTACCGCAGTGGTCCCGAATCGGAAAGCGCAGCAAAACAAGTATGTTCTAATCCAAGTAATGGCCAATAAATTGATAATCTATATTCTTCCACTCCACAAAAGCACCTCGTTCCTGCATCTCCAGCCAGCGGTTCCGATACAGCGGCGCAGGGCTATCCAGCTCCGCCAATAGGTTCATCATGTAAGCTTGTCTCGCAGTGATTGCTGTGCGTCTTGTGGTGATCAATTTCGGACTACGCCGTAGGTGAAAGAACAGGTCATCTGCATCTCCTGGATCTAGTGGCGCGCAGTGGAACTCGTTCTCGTCCCCTTCTCTCAGGACAAAGTAACGCCTTCCAACGCGAAAGAAAAGAGCTTGCTCATGCGCGCTATCCCATCGATTGGCATAGCCCTGGGGAATAACTCGTCCTGGAAATCCAAATGCTTCGTGAAGGATCCATCCCAAGTCGCACGGTGCGCCTTCCCATAAATGGGCTTTCCTATACTGCGCCCAATCTGTTGACCATGAGATATTGTGGACAATGGAGTCTTGCGACCATTTAGCAGTGATTTCAGGTAGCGAGTGGAGTGAAACAGGAGACGGGGCGTCGACAGCGTCGACATCCATTGGTGAGGCCTGTATAAAGTAAGGAGAGTAGAAAAGCTAATTTTCGAGTACGAACGGATGAAACCTGCGTTAGAAGATGCCCAGATGTCCAGAAAGGGTATCGAGCAAGAGAGAAGCATGGTACCAAGTGTTGATCCACATTGTGAAAATCCAACTCTCCAAAACAGTTTCCGATGACCACAGTGCCTAAGGCCTCGTCAAAATGCAATCGCGGGAGCGCCCACAGAGCAAAATCGCCCATCGAATCGACGGGCCATGATACTATCTCCGCACTGGTAGTGTCCAAAGATCCAACGACAGGCGAAGGGAGTTTTGCTGACATAAGACGTGGCGTGGCGTAATTGTTTCCTGAGCCATTACCGACCGATACCCACATGCATCGACGGCCGGAGCTGCCAACGGAAAGATGGTACCACGGAGCCTTGTGATAGATAAAATCGCATGACTGGGAAGGGCCACAACAACCGCACAACGGGGCTGGAAAAATACAAAGTAGAGCGGGTGTTTCGAGGTTCATGTCAAGTACTCGGTCGTCAATAACCAAAGTTTCGAGACCAACACGAGTGATGAGCGTCAGTTGCAAGGCTGAAAATCCGATGGCAGTACTCGCAACAGCTTCCCAGATGGTAGAGCTCACGATATGTCGGACAAAAACAATGGTTTCAGTTGTTAACCAATATATTTCGATCCCAACGGAGCGCACGATAGCTAGAGTTTCGCCAGAGATGGCCAGGAGATGCGGAACGCTCTAAGGACTGATCAGCTTTGCTCTCTGATAGACGATGACATACAGCATTGCCTGGTGTCTCCAGTCCGCCAGACGGCGCGGGAATCTCGCGAATGGTCCCACTTCTCCAATCCACCAAATGAGGAACGTTTAGGCCGTCACGAATGGCACAACCTATGATTGAGCCATCTAATAGAAGGACGTGCGATGAATTTCCAATTCGTGCAAGCTCATAAAACCTGCATGTATCTTCCTGCACTTGCAGTGTTACAACCACAACACTTTGCGTTCTAGTTATATGTGAGCAGAAAATCACTAAAAATAAGGCCACTTACTCGCCGTCCAGCCCAAGCGCTAGCACAATTCCGTCCTCTTGCATCTCGACCTGAGCAGTATTGACACGTCCAACTAGAAATGCCTCAGTCGCCGCACTGGGATAGCCAGCTTGCAACAACCACAGATCCCAACAAGCAATACTGCTAGCTTTGCGGTCGGAGAACGCCACGAACACGTATCTTCCGTCAAAAATATGAAGCCATGTTATGGAGCCAGGGACTGAGATCGTTGAAGTGGCCGTCGGAGTCATATCTTGACGTAGCCATTTGTCCCCCACGAAGGTCAATCGCAAAACCAGAGTTTCAAGGAGGGAGGGTTGGAGTAAGCGATAGTCTTGAGCATTTGACGGTAAGACAGAGCTTTGTGCTTCCAGCTTCTCCATCTGGTGGATCCAAACGATCTTTGAACGTGTCGCGGCATCGAGAAAACGACAGGTCTGGTTGGGAAGAGTTCATGGGACGTTTTGCAGCGAAAAGCCACGCACCAGCCGAAGGTTGAGGACATCGTTGACCAATAGGTCCTGGCAGACCAAATGGATGATTTCAATGTTCAAATCCACGAAACTGGGCATGGCAAGCTAACGAGTCAACGAAGATATTAATAATACTAGTACGCTACTTTGGTGGTGACTCACTTTATCCAAAGCGGGCTGCGACCAAGGGCCACATGCGAATTACATCGTCGCGAAGGACGAGTTCTTGCAACTTCTTCACAGTTGGAAGAGGTTGAGTTGGAACTTGGGCAAACAAGTCACGCTGACCGAGAACATTCTTTTTTTTCATCGACATCTGAGGTAGGTAGAGAGTCCCGTCGACTTCCCTCCCGACGCAGGGGACTACCCCACAAGGAAAGGAGAACAACACTACAGTATTATTTGATCAGTAAGGAAATGCAAGTATTCTAATCCATATATTGCCCGACAAATTGGCACTCCAGATTGCTCCATTCAACATATCCTCCGCGTTTCTGCATCTCCAGCCAGCGATTTCGAGGGTCTGGATCATTGTACACCTCTGTTGAGAGACCAGATATATATGTCTGTCTTGCGGTGATTGCAGTGCGCCGTGTTGTTACAAGTTTAGGACCACGAAGGTGCGTGAATAAGTTCTGGCGTCCTAAATCGACGGGACATGTGCGAAATATGTTCTCGTCGCCTTGAGTCAATAGGAAGTATCGCTGACCAATACGGAAGACAAGCATTTGCTCAGGCTCGCCTTCGCATTGCTCGCTGTATGCTTGCGGAACAACCCGGCCTGGGAAACCAAAGGCTTCTGACAGAAGCCATGCATAATCACAGGGCATGCCTTGCCACAGGTGGACTTGACGGTAATGCTCCCAATCCGTCGACCAGGCAGCGAGGTCTTCAAGCTGGTCTTGTGACCAATGGGACGTGCTGTCATGGAACGACTCGGTGGCAAGAGCGACTGGTTGAGGAAGAATATCCAGGGGTATGGGCGATTCCTGCACGACTTCAGCCTGAAGGTGGAGAAGTTGATTTTTTCAAGTTACTTACGGACAATATTTGCTTTGGCAAGAGATCAATAGATCTCCAGAACGGGTCCCGAGACAGCCATAAGCACGGTTTCAAATGCTCGTCTAGGTCATAGAAGTCTAACTCTCCGAAGCAGTTACCAACGACGGTAGTCCCGAGAGCCTCATCGAAATCGAACCGGGGCAGTGCCCAAAGCGCCATGTCATATTCAGGATTTATTGGCCAAGAGACAACCTGCGCGCTGTCCAAAGGTCCACCAGTAACTGGAGGAAGCCTTGCTGACACAAGACACGGAGAAGAGCGTCTGTTTCCGAGGTCTTCGGCAACAGATACCCACATGCATTGACGACCAGTGCTTCCGACACAGAGTCCGTACCAGGGAGCACTGTGGTAGATGTAATCGCATGTGGTAGAGGGACCACAACAACCGCATGATGGCGCGCGGGCGACACAAGTCATGCCTGGGGGCTCGCTACCGGTGTCAAGCACTCGCGAGTCGATTACTAGAGTTTCGAGACCGACACGTGTGATGAATGTCAACTGTATGCCTTGCGAACTGGCTCTCGAAGTCGCGACGGCTTCCCAGATGGGAGAGGTAGCGATATGTCGGATAAAGACGATGGGTTCGCTTGTTGACAATGGACAGTGGTATATTTCGATACCAGTGGAGCGCACAATGACGAGGATTTCTTCGGAAATCGTCATTAGATGTGGAACACTCTAGCACAATGAGCTAGCACTTTACTATAGGAGATATGCATACCGCTCTGTCTGGGCTCTCAAGCGTACCCGGTTGTACAGGAATTTCGCAAAAAGTCCCATCTTTCCAGTTCACCAAATGAGGAACATTGACACCGGTACGAACAGCGCAGCCAAGGAAGGGGCCTTCCAGCAGAAGAATATGTGACGAGTGTTCTATACGCGCCAGTTCATGGAGCTCGAATTTATTGTGTCGCATCTGTAGCGTCGTCACCAGAACGCTTGTGCTGCTACCCATTTTTGAGCGCGACTCTGGTAAGGATTAATACTTACTTGCCGTCGAGCCCTAGCGCTAGCACGATACCGTCTTCCTGCATATCTACTTGAGCGGTATTGACGCGACCGGGAAGGAATGCTTCCGCGATTGGATTAATGTTGCCGTCGGGCAACCACCACATATCCCAACACGCAATACTGCTTAGCTTTTGGTCAGAGAATGCCGCAAATACATATCGACCGTCAACTATGCGCAGCCATGTTATCGAGCGGGGAACTGCTAGTGATGAGCATTTGGTCGGGGCCATATCTTGACGAGTCCATTTGTCCGCAACCGATGACAGTCGCAAAACTAGAGCTTCCAGAATAATGGGCTGGAGCGGGCGATAGTTTTGAGCATAAGAGGGTATGATCGCGCCTTGCTCTTCCAGCAGTTCCATCTGGCGAATCCAAACTATCTTGGAGTATGTTGCGGAACGCAGAGAACGACATGTCTAGCCTTGATGTTGGTTTGTCCACGCTTGACTGACTCCAACGCACCTGGCGCAGGATAAGAAGAGTCTTGACAGGGAGCTCTTCAAAGATGTGGTGGATAATGGCAACATCCAGCTCTGTTAGGTGCATGGCGAGACTATGTGTCACCGTGACACATGTCACACATAACGCCGAAACCTCGAACCCCAACAGGTTCGAGAACCTGACGAATCTTTGACGCGCAGTATTCAAAGCCACGACTACGAGTCACGACTTGTAATCGCACCGATACCAAAAAAGGCACAGTATAAACTGGGAAGAACAGTCCCGGACATATGGTTATCTCTCCCTGGAGCAACTACTACCGATGGGGCCGTGCACGCATAAGTCAAGACTAGCCAATGAACATACCTTCAACAGCGATAAACTTGAGCACTGGTCTTCTTAGCCTTCTATGATTCTGACTGAAGTCCACGAAAAGCTGCCGATATGAAGACGAAGCATCTATGATAAGCCACCAATCTCCAACGAGCTACCTGGCTCCAGGCTTGATACATGCAAGCAATGATCTTTTACTGGCACGTATACTTAGACGTCTTTGCACTGAGCGCACTGGCAGTGGGTTTGCCAGCAGCGTTGCCTTCGTCAGGGCGAATTACTAGTACGCGCCAAACTGAACCAAGTCCACCGGATACCTAGACCCAAATCCTACTCGACACTTCTATCAGACGTCAGCTTATGTCAAGTTCTGTGGGTCCATCATGTGTGCAATGACCCTGCGATGACTAGTGAGAACAAAGGGCTCCGGTCGACACAACATGTCAGTACATCGTCGTGCAGCTGCTGCTACTAGTATGACGAGTCGAGCTTTTCTGGCGCCGGCGCGCTACTAGATCAGTGATAGAGGACTTGTTTGGAAAGTGTGGCTGGAAATAGGGTGACAGCTGAGGGAGACGAGCTCGGCACGAACTATTAGTACTGCTGAACATGGGAAGGGCTGTCGGCGAAGATTCTAGGAATCTACGGCACTAGAGACTCGGACTGCAGCTATATAAAGGGGGCCACAATCCACCACCGAGCATCCAACCTGATCGAATGTCAGGATATCCATACGGGTCAGGCTCATACGCCGGGGTCCCGCCTGGCTCAAGTCCATATGCGAGTCCTTATGCGCAAGCTGTTGGCGGCCCTGGCCCTGGTCCTTCCGGCTCGACTTCCCAGCGGACTAGTCATCGCCAGTCGACAGGAGTGCATCATGCTCCAAATCAACTGCCTAGTTATCAGCAAGCTCAATTGTCATCCAAGCTGTCAATCCATGACCCAAAAGCGTTCTCAGCGTCCTCCGTCCAGGTATGTATTCGCTCACCTGAAATCAAGTGTTTAATCGTGATCTCGGCACAATTAGGTAGAGATGTACTTGAAAGAGCGCCTCAGCCTTTGCGTAGGGGCAAACTCTGATAGTCAGCTACCCCGGTTTGTTACGACTTGCTTGTACGTGTCCAATTTACCGCCTAAAGCGTTCATCCATGGCTGCGTCCAGGCAGCAGCGCAGTACTCGGATTGTTCATGTAAATACCCAGCAACTCGTGTCTATCGACGTTGGAGGGCAGTTTGGGCTGCGATTCCGGATTGCTGACTTGTATACTGCGCTGGGTCAGACATTTCCTCTCGTGAATCATGTATTCGCTGACATAGACACAGGGTTTATTGTCTCCGAAACAGACCCTTACCCTTATACGCTACAGGAGACTCTCAAGCAGCTATGTGAGATACATCTGAGGATCCTGGCAGTCTACGAGAAATGGATCACGACTTTGTCGCAGCGTTTCAACGGGAATCAGGAAGTCCCGCCAAACACCGCCTGCCTGATGTGGCGAACGAGGACCAGACCAGACGGCAGCTGGACGTATGTTATGGGCCTGTTCCCGAACTTGGCCACCAATGAAATGATCTTTCGCTGCAAGGAACAAGCACGACAGATTGTTCAGGATAGCTTGCAGGCCGCATTCGCCAACATCAACGTCGAGCCGCCCTCCCCAAGAGAGCTAAATGAACCTCATTCCGGACTCATCGGCGAATGCGCCGAGATCCTCGCCTTGTTATAGTGAGTGTAGCTTCATACAGTATACCATCACCGATCTGATCTTTTGAAAGCCTTCTTGAATCTGACCCGGCTTTAATCAATGGCCTCGAAATCTATGGGCTTTCTGCAAACCTCTTCGTCGATGCCGTTCGTAACATGTTATCGTACAATCGGGACAAGTTCCGCTCATTCCTCAAGGGTGCCTGTCGAAATTGCAGGCATGTTATTGACCGGATTGACGATAACGGTCCTCTACCAGCGGACCCGCAAACAGCGGCTCTGCGATATTTCGACATGGCTACGCGTTCTGCACAGGAGAATTGGGATCAGCGCCCGCCTCCTATTCCTGATCCTCAACAAAAACCGTGTCAGCATTGTCAGCAGAGGGTGGCCGGAGGTTTACGATACGAATGCAGCTGCTGCAAAGAATTTCGGTATTGCACACCCTTATGTCAGACCAGAGGTTGGGACCGCCATGCCCGGGAATGTCCAGCCTACCAACGCTGTGCTAACAAGTGCGGTATAGCCTTTTATTGGCGTCGTCATCCTCAGAGGAAGACATGGGAATGGTTGACAGAAAAATATAAGGAGCCTACGACTTGCAGGGTCTGTGACTCTGAGCCAGAGAGGCTCCCAACCCTCTATTGTGGCACAATCTGCAAGGACCAGGACCATAGCAAGCATCGAACCTACTGCCAGAACCTCGATAATTATGGACCCGTCCCGGCGTTGAAAGGCTATCGACCGCCAGAATTAGGGCCAACCAGGCGTTATTAGTCGGCGTTACATACCCTTTGATATTGTCCTTGAATTTTGATGTCTTTTGTCATCTTATCTTAAATAATAAACGACTCCAATGGAACTCAGGTCTCTCAGAGGCATGTGCGGCAAGCGGGAGTCAACAACAACCCGTGACGAGTCAGTACAAGTCGGGAGTACGCCACTCGTGGCATGACTCACTTCACATGGCCCAGAGTGCGGGATAGGGATAGGGATAGAATTACCGCAGTGGTCCCGAATCGGAAAGCGTAGCGGGGTCCGTCTGGAACTGGACCAAAACCGAACTGCATTACTAGTACAACAACTTGAATGCGACGTTGTTGTTGTTATACGCCGGCGGTAACCTTGTTGATCATGAGAGTAAAAATCCTCATATCTGAGCATATCTGCCAGAGTAGTACGTTGGCAGTCTGAGCGCAAAAAATGATTTTACCCCGCCAATCTAAGGATTCTATGCTACGAATGTCAAACAGTTTGCCAGTGAGCTGATTCAGCAAAGGTAGAGAAGCACAAGTATCCATATGTAAAATACTTGATATACTACTAGTACTTGAACAGTTTAATCAAAATAAGAGCCAACTGCCTGGTAGCTGAGATTCTGCCACTCTACATACCCCCCTCGTTCCTTCATTTCCAGCCAGCGATTTCGAGTACAAGGGTCGAGAAACACCTCTTGGTACAGGCCAGCTATGTAGGCCTGGCGTAAGGTAAACGCCGTACGACGTGTTGTGCTCAGTTTTGAGCTGGGCCCCCAGCTGGAAATCGTGTCCCCCTCTTCCTCCACTTCTTGTGGTGCATTTGCTACTAGTGGCCAAAAGCGAAACTCGTTTTCCTCGTCTTCCCTGAGTACAAAGTAACGATTGCCAACACGGAAGAAGAGCGTTTGTTCAGGTTCGTCAGGGCAGCGCTGGCCATAGAGTTGCGGAATGACTCGGCCCGGAAATCCGAACGCCTCCCTGAAAATCCACGCGTAGTCGCAGGGCATACCTTGCCAGAGATGTGCGCTTTTATAATTCGTCCAATCCCCTTCCCAAGGGAGGGTTTTGACAACAGGGTCTTGCGACCAGTGGGCCGTGCAATCAGGTAGCGATTCAGGCGAAGAGGCGACTGGTTGAGGAAGGACATCGAGAGTTAGGGGTGATGACTAAGCAATGCTAAGTGGCAGATGACGAATAATAAGATGGAATATTTACCGACAACACCTTCGTTAATTGATGTTCAGATCTCCAGAAGGGGTGTCGAGACAGCCATAGGCATGGCAGTAGATGCTCGTCCAAGTCATAGAACTCCAGTTCCCCGAAACAGTTCCCGACGACTGTTATGCCGAAAGCTTCATTGAAATCGAACCGGGGCAGCGCCCAGAGCGCTAATCCGTTCTTTGGATTCATAGGCCACGAGATGACTTCGGCATGATCTGATGGTTCTCCTAAAGGTGAAGGTAACCGGGCAGACACGAAGCATGGCGGTGAGTAGTCCTTTCCGGAAACTCTGGCCGTCGATATCCACATGCATCGACGGCCAGAGTCACCCACACACAGTCCGTACCATGGAGCAGCATGGTAGATGGAGCAACATGAAGACATGGGATCGAGACAAGGACACAAAGGTGCTCGCGCAACACAAACCAGACTCGGTGTTTGCGTGCTAGTGCCAGTGTCCAACGCTCGATCGTCGATAGTCAAAGTTTCTATACCAACACGGGTGATGAATGTCAGCTGTGTGGCTTGCAAACGGGTAATGGGAGTAGCAACAGCTTCCCAGATAGTAGAACCCGTGATATGGCGAACGAAGACGATGGGGCCGTTTGTCGGACAGTGATAGATTTCGACGCCGATCGAGCGGACAATGACGAGAGCCTCGCCAGATAGCGCAATTAGATGTGGGACACTCTGAAGACAATGAATTTACGTGGCATCACTCTGATAAGAACTTGAACGACATACCGCTCTGACCAGGTTAGAGAGCCCACCCGGGGGCTCCGGGACCTCACGAATAGCACTGTCTTTCCAATTGACCAGATGAGGGAGGTTGGCACCATCACGAATAGCGCAGCCGAGGAACGAGCCCTTTAACATCAGGATATGTGACGACTTTTCGATTCGCGCCAGCTCATAGAACGCAAACGTATTATTTTCTTGTTCCTGAAGTGTGGTTACGAGCACACTGGGGTTCCTGTTGCGACATTAGTCGCCGTAAAAGACAAAAGAAAGCTGCACACGTACTCGCCATCAAGTCCCAGTGCTAGAACAACGCCATTCTCTTGCATCTCCACTTGTGCAGTATCAACACAACCCGGCAGAAAGGCAAGAGCGATTGGGTTGATATCACCACATTGCAGCCACCAGAAATCCCAGCACGCGAGAACGCTGACCTTTTGGTCAGAATACGCCACAAATACATATCGGCCATCGACGATGCGCAGCCATGTTATTGAGTGTGGGACGACCAGAGAGACGGACTTGATTGGAGTCATATCGTGGCGAGCCCACTTGTTCGCGACCGAAGTCAGCCGGAAAACTAAGGCTTCAAGGACGTCAGACCTGAGGAGTCGATAGCCTTGAGCATATGAAGGCAAGAGTGCCCATTGTGCTTCTAGAATCTCCAACCGGCGAATCCAAACGATTCTCGATCTTGTGGCGGAGTTCATGGAACGACAAGTCTATAGGATCTTAGAATTGTGCAGACTGTGGATAAGCACGCACCTGACGGAGGGAGAGGACATCGTTGATGACCAATTCCTCGCAGATACGATGTATAATTTCGAGATTGAGTTCAACGAAACTGAGGTGCATGAGGGGTTCCACAAGTCAACACCATCACAGACTGGCTGACCAAACTTCAGTTCCACGCTTGACTCACTTGGCAAGCGCTCACTGCATTAGTACTGCATCAGTCCGCATGTATTCGAACCAAGTTTTAAACGCAGTGTTTTGGACAAGGTGATGACACACAACGTGACCAAGTTTGACCGAAAATTAAATGCAGCCTGGACTGGCACAGACTAGGACCATAGCATCGAAGCTTAAGCCAACATTAGGGCCAACCAGGCGTTACTATTTGATATTCACCTTGCATTTTGAAGTCTTCAGTCCTTCACCTCCAACGGAATTCAGAAGATATGGAACAAGAAACCCATGCAATATATATAAAATACGAGGGACTGACTGACTGACTGTACTTGCCTTGCTGTGTGTGAGGATGTGCGTATGTAGATGTAGATGTTACAGATCAATGCTCGAAAGGAAAAAACGTAGGAGGGCATGCAGAACTACCTATCGTAGCTCTCTACTTTTGTGGCTGACCAAACCCAAACGCGCTCGGACCCGCAGCAGCCGCAGCCGCGCCAAACGGTGTGGTCGAGGTCGAGTCAGCTGGCTTCGCTCCGAAAATGGACGAGCCGGTATTGGCGCCAAACACGGGGGTTGTTGTTGAAGTTGCGTTGGTCGCGGCCCCGAATGGCGAAGGTGATGCAGCCTTGCTCCCGAATACCGAGGAGCCAGCAGTATTTGTGCCAAAACCGAAAGCAGGGGCAGCATTACCAGCAGTTGTTTCAGGCTTGGGGGCTCCAAAAACGGAAGGTGCTCCAACCGGTTTCGTTCCAAATATATTAGATGTCGTGGCGGGACTCCCTGCTGGTGTTGTTGATGCCACATCTGCTTTGGGGGCACCAAAACTGAAAGCTGGCGCAGACGATGCAGGAGTAGCCGTCGTAGCCGGAGTCGCGGCCGGAGTCGCACTTGGCGTGCCAAACGAGAACGCGGTCTTCGTGGCCGTTGCTGAGCTTGGTCCAGTCGCGGTTGTCGCTGCCGCGGGTGCACCGAACGGTGAAGTACTGCTCGTAGATGTTGTCGTTGCAGGTGCGCTAAATGGCGAAGAACTGCTCGTAGTTGTTGTGGGATTGCCAAACGAAAACGGACTGTTTGTCGTGGTCGTTGACCCGAAAGCTGACTTCTTCTCTTCTGGTTTAGCCGCGGGGAAAGCAAACGACGGTGTTCCCGCTGGCGTTGTCGAAGCAGGCTTGTCCTCCGTCTTTGGGGTCCCAAATGAAAACGCAGGTTTGGCTTGTGATGGTGGCTGTGCTGCAGAATCTGATCCCAACGCACCAGTCAGCGAGGAAGTAGGTTGCACTGGTGTAGCCGCAGGTTTCGTGAAACCGAAATTGAACTTTGGTGCTCCATCAACAGGCGTTTGAGTTGCCGTCGCAGTGGGAGTCGCTGCAGCCTGGACACCAAACGGAGACGCCGCCTTGGCCGGCTCCGCGGGTTTAACAAACGAAAATGCGGACCCTTGACTGGGAGCTGGAGCTGTGAACGCGGATTTTGTAGGCTCTGTGGCTGGTTTTGCAAAAGAGAACGGCGATGACGAGGAAGTAGCCGGGGTAGACGTAGGGAAAGCCGGTTTTGCGGCAGCGGCAGGCTCAGCAGGCTTGGTAAACGAAAACATCGGCGTTGTTGTGGTCACGGGTGCTTCAGCTGGTTTGGCTGAAGCGGGAGTTGGCGCCTTGGTGGCCGTGTTAAATGAGAACATGGGCGTCGGAGTAGTAGCAGGAGCAGTGGCTGTTGTTTGTGGAGCACTGAACGAAGATTTCGCCGAATCTCCCGGCTTCGTAAATGAGAACATGGGGGTAGTTGATTGAGCGGGAGCAGGCGCAGGCTCTGTGGGCTTGTTGAAAAAAGGAGAACTGGACGATTTTGGCGGTTCTGCCGGTTTAGGTGCGACCTCACCCCCTAAACGAGACAGCAATGAGTTTGAAGCTGGCTGAGGCTGGCTTGCGGGAGTAGGTTGTGAAGTTGGAGCAGTTGAGCCAAAAGAGAATGCAGACGGTTTGGCTGCAGCAGCTGGCTCCGGCGCCTTTGCTGGTGCGGTTGATCCAAACGAGAAAGGTGAAGCAGGTGTAACAGCAGGGCTCGCAGCAGATGCGCTCGTTACAGCCGGGGCTGGAGTTGAAGCCGTTGGGGATGCAGCAGGTTTAGCAAAAGGATTCGTGCTTGCTGGAGGAAACAAGCTTGTTGTTATAGCTTGTGGCGGTTTGTCGCTCGCAGCAGCGGTTGGCGCAGTTGAGGCCGGTGTCGGTCCAAACAACGACTTCGAGGCTTCAGAAGAAGTTGTGGCGGTGGGAGTGGGGGTAGTTGTTGTGGTCGTGGGAGCTGACCCAAACGAGAATCCGGAGGTGGAAGTAGCAGCCTTGGAAGGCTCTGCCGATGGAGCCGTAAGAGTCAGTGTCGGAATTGCCGCTGCCTTTTCTTTTTCTTTTTCCAACTTCTCCTTTAGCTCTTTCTCCTTCTGCTTGGCCTGATTCACTTCCCTGATTTTCATCATTGCTTGTGCCTCTAGGTTCTGCTTCTCCCATTTCGAGAACGTCTTGGGTCGAATTCCGCTGTTTGTACTGTCCGCAAGCCCATTTGTTTCGCGTTCAGCACCAATCCGCCGACCGAGCCGCGAGCCATTCTTAGGGGCCTGAGCAGTAACAAGTAGAGCATTGCCTTTCTCGAATGGATTTACACGGATAGTGCCCAGATCGCCTGCAATGGTCTGCCGGAAATGAGACTTGTAACGGCCGGTTTCTTTTTCAGCAGGACTAGGCATGTAGGATGGAACTGGCGATGCTGGAGAATCCCACAACAAATCCTTGCCCCTGGGAACAGTTGGGGTTGGAGTGGAAGGCTGAGGGTCATCAAAATGAGTAATGTCCAGACACTAGGTAAAAACACTCACAACTTCGGCCGACGGCGTCGAAGGAGCGGTCTCCGGCTCTTGCGTTGATTTTGGAGAATCCTGCCAAGCAAGCAGATGGCGTGTTTTGAAATCTTGGTACTCGTCTTCAGTCAACCATGTTTCGATACAAACTTCAAGATTGGCATTCTTGTCTGGATGTTGAGAGTCTAAAGGCTAATGTGGATGTTAGTTCTGTGAAAAGCGATGTTATATCAACACCTACCATGATGAAACGCCGAGCCGCCTTTTTGACCAATGCTTGTCGAAGTCGACCATTTGGCCCAATCTTGTATCGAACTCCATTACTCTCCCATTCTTCTCCGATGTTGCGGCGAGCCCTAACACCAGAATCCTCGACTGAACTGGTTTCTTCATCCGCCTCCTTGCCTTTCTTCCCCCGCTTCTTGGTTTTGCGCTCAGTGCGAGGACGACCGGTTTCTCCGTCACTGCCGTCTTCTTCGAGATCACGGTCTCGCTTCTGACCACGAGCCGCGGGTTGAGGGACAATATCCGACTTTCTTGATCGCCGTTTTCTTTTGGATTTTTGGACGTCCAGCTCATCGACCTCGTCCTCTGGTCCAAAGCTGGAAACTGCGTCACGTTTTCGGCCGCGGACTGCCGCGGGAGCTTTCTCGTCCACGTCCATGTCGCTCGCATCCTCGTCGCTTGTCATTAAGACATCCTCGTTTAACAGACTCTGTTTGCGTGCACGTTTCCCACGGACCCGAGGATTGGGTGAATCGTCCTCGTTTTGGTCTGCGTCATCGATGTCGTCGTCCCGTAGATTCCGTTTTTCCCCACGCTTTCCTTGGTTGGACACCCATTCGGCTTCCTCATCACCATCAATGAACTCGTCGCCCTCGACGCGTGTCTTTTTTGGATTCTCAGGTACATCCGCTTCCACATCGTTTTCATCGAGAGTTCGCTTCTGATGTTTGCGTGGGCTGCTGTTTATGAACAAACTAGAACGGCGAGAAGGCGGTTGCACTGGGTCGGCAAATCGGACGACAGGTGGAGGAGGTGGGTTTGGGTTATAACGCTCGGCGAAGTTGGTAGCGAACGGAGAGGACCTATATTAAGATGAGAAAATAGATCAAGAAGCTGTGTCGCCACGTACACCGGAGTGTTGGACGATGAAGCGAATCTGTTTTCAACGACCAATGGATTAAATCGACCGGGAACAGCAGTGGGTCCTGGATTAGTCCACACAGGCTCAGGATTGAGAAAGATATCTAGAAATGAGGCTTGACTGATGTGCGAAAGAAGAATCATTAACATACTTTTACGCTGCCGCATGTCTGACTCCGATGTAGCTTGCTGTCTACGATCGGATTCCTCGTACAGTTGGTCGACGTCAACGCGATGCACTCTATTTTCAGCAACTTCCTGCTCTCGGCGCGCTCGTAAGACCGCAGCATGTGCCACATTGAAGGGGCGATGGTCAGAGTCAGGGATTCCGTGTCGCCGACGCATGGTGCTAAGAACGCGTAAGTCAGTGTAATAGGCCAGAAAGTAGATGGCATACAGCCTATATGACTTTTCCCGCCATTTCAGTAAAGCATCCCAAGCATAAACTGCTGCCACATATGCGGCAGCCAGGACAATGATCCAGACGACAATTGGGGTCCAACGCCGCGTTTGAGATGGAGGTGGGGCGCGAACGAGGGGGCTGTTGGACCCAAGAATGTCGGAGGATTCGTAGTCCATGGCGCGACAGACGCGTCGTTGGCTTGAGAAAGGATGATGGCAAAAGCCAAGTGGTCTAGAGCTCCCACGACGTGACAGTACGTGACCAATGTTCATTTGGTGTAAATCTGGATCGTCGTCCTTGGGTTCGGCTTGTGTTTGCATCTCTGTGGCGGCCTCTGGGTATTACAATACAAATGGAAGATAGAGCTTATCTCTTTCTTGAATTTGACGAGCTAAATTCGCCGCACACATATGCAATCATCGTTTAGGGGTGACCACAAAATCACGCTTGTTTTGTTTCTCAGACGGTCACACCGGAGGCATGTCCCAGGGCATCAGGCTGCCTGATGCTTAACGGGCATCAGGCGAGCCTTAGGCAGATTGGCCTCATGGTTACCATGAGGCCGCCAATCTGCCTACCTGGGGTGCTGTCATTTCTCTTCCCTAACCGCCACAATATCTGATCTACTACAGCTGCACGACCTTGCCAAACAAGCTCAAATCAGCGAATGTTGCGCTGAGAGGCAGCCACAGCCACGACGCTGTCAATTCAAGGCTGATTCTTCACTCACCACACCATGTCTCCGCCGCTGATCCTTCGCCATTGCCAGGGTCAATGGCAAGCAATGTGGCAGTTTGCGTGGGGCTCGCACTGGTTTTCCGAGAGGGATGTGTGTCCACAGGTGATGACACTTGGCTCCGCTTAGTGCGCTGAGGCTCGGGCAATGTTTGGTGAGTGATTTTGGCCTGTATTCGCTCTCGGCTGACGCCTGGACTAGCTCCTCCATTTCGTGTTTCGTCCCCAGTCCCGAAAACCGCCCTACCCCCTCCTCCCACACGCGAAAATCCCCACCTAACCATGCGGAGGAGTCCGAGGGTCGCGTGAGCTTGTTGGGGGATGCGGGAGGGCATAAAGTCGATTACTGGGGGGTCGTGCATGCATACTCGTTTGACACTCAATTCTTTCACTAACCACGCCCTCCAGTGACTACTCTAATCATCTCTTAACCTTGTACGACTACCTCCTGCGCTTCTGTGGATGACCTGTCGCCGTCCGCCGCCGATTTTGCTCAGTTTGGCGGCATGTCGGCTGGTCAAAATCTGGGCAACACGCAGTGTTAAGTGCTGGTGCCAGGTGGAGACAAAGGCCGGGCAGCCGCACAGAGTTTGCGTAGCACTGACACTAGGGATTGAATATATATGTGTTTTTTTTGTAACAGATTGCGTAAGCCACGCGAGGACGGAGGCATAAATTGCATGGCAGAACTCACACCGAACACTGCCGATACAGTAAGTAATGGACAAATTGCTCGGCGGGCGGCGCCGCAGTTCTGTAGTCGGCCGGTCAAAATTCCGGGGCAACGCACTGTATATATATGCATGTTATCTTGCTGAAATCTAATCAGGCCACCTCATGGGGTTGCCATGAGGCCAATTTGCCTGAGGCTTGCCTGATGCCCGTAAAGCATCAGGCAGCCTGATGCCTCGGGGCATGCCTCCGGTGTCACCCACTTCCATTCCCCACACTCTTTCCGCCTCACTCATTAGACCATGCTATCCAACACCACCATCTCTCGACCTCGACCTCCTGCCCAGGTTCGGCGCTCGTCACGAACATTACCGCAAGGTGCTTCGCCTCCACCACCATATGCGTCGTCGTTGCATCACAAGGAAGGCGAATCGTCGCTTCATAACTACCTCGGCTCTCCGCTATCCGCTACCCTACAAATGGTCGGTAGAACCCAGTCCCAGCCCTCGTCTCCCCAACAGGATGACTGGCTTCACGAGAAATCCCGAGAAGAGCTTGCTGAGTTGCTACACAAGGCGGATGATCTTATTCGAGAACGGGAGACTGGTGCGCTGTTCAATCCTGTCCATTCCTCACCGCTCATCATGCTTTGCAGAACTCGGGGCAACTTCGGCCGTTTGCAAGTCGCTCTACGAAAGCAACGTGTCCCTCAAGACGAAACATGATGCTCTTATTGCCCGCTTTCCTTCCTCCTCTCCCAATGAATCTCCAGATCAGGCATATGACTCTCTGGTTGATGATTCGGATGACACAAACCATGATACCCAGCAAGAAAGTCCGTCTCCACATGGCTACTTCAGGCGCTCTCGTCGAATCTCAATTCACCCCTCCGACATTTCACAACTCGCAGACCAAAATGCTGAGCTTCTTCAGAAGCTACAAACGTTAGAGGAGGAGGCCCAGGTCACAGACCGACAAGGGCGGCGTGCTCTGAAGCAGTTAGAGAAGGAACTTTCCCTCCTCCGTGACGAGTTGGAGAAAACTCAGGCACGAAGTGAGCAACTCGAAAAACAGGCCCAGGTTGGCCCAGAGAAGATTGTCGAGGAGCTTTGGCGGAAGAAGAAAGAGCGAGAGGCCAAATTCCGCGCGATGAGGAATAACAACACACCCGCCCGCGCTCCATGGCCATTTGACGACTCCGAAGTCCGTGATTTCGCTCCGCCGGGTCCTTTCTCGAAAGATGGACTCTCACCTTCAAAGAGTACTGATTTTGATGCGTCTTATGGTCCGGAGCACTCCTTTGAACATCCAAACCAGGCTGCGGTCGTTTCGCAACTGTTGGCGAAGATCAAGGAGTTGGAAGAGACTAATACCCGGATTATCCAACAACAAACGGAGACCGCGGATAAACTCCAAGCAGTTCAGCGCGAAACAGAGACCATCAGCAAAGTTTACGAGTGCTTCAGCCCCGAGCATGGTATCCAGTGGGAAGTTGTGACTGAAGATGGGAGGAAGTCGCCCATTGACGGAACTATTCGCTTCCGTAGCTTCCGGCGGTCTCTCGAGTCTTCGCAATCATCGTCTCACCACGACGATTCGAGTTTGATGCTTCCTCGCCAAGGTCCGCGGCGCAAGTCTGTGCTTGACTTGTTTGACGATGGAACAGCTCCAGGATTTGGAAGACCCTCAACTCCTCATCCGGATACTTTGTCCTCGATTGCTGAGCTATCCCCTTTGCATTTCAACTCACCTGGCTCTGAGCCGGTACGGCCACGGCAAACACTGCAAGCCGAACTCGGTGGAGAGTTCATGGGTGTTCCTCTCTCGCGTCAAGGCAGTATTTATGACCTCTCATTCGATATTTCTCCTTCGCCCTCCCCAGGACCGGGTACCCGTCCCCTTCCTGATGATTTCTCTATGCGAGCCCAAAGCACACCCGCCATTAACGCTCTACGATTGAGTGTCGAACCCCCAACCCCACCGGTAGACCTGAATGCGCTCTCCACTGGCGGGTCTTTGCGCGAGAAGAACAAACAACGTCATGAACGCATGTCGCAAACTTTGTTCATGCGGACAGGCCGCTGGCAAGATGGTCGATTCTCCTCCATATCTTCCGCCTCCTCGCTGGTGGACGAGTCAACACCTAGGCGTGATGTGGTCTCTCTCCCCAAACGTCTGTCAAGTGCGTTTGATGTCGTAATGGAGAACTTTGGGGTTTCTGGGCCAGACGAAGAGGAAAGGCAAGTGGTTGCCGCCCCTTCCCAGCACAAAGCAGAGTCGTCCATCGTGTCTGTTGTGTTTGATGAAGGTGGACAGCGGAAGCGTGCCTTTGTGGCGTTTATCTTAGAGGCCTGGCTGTGGCTGCAGTTTGCCGTGGTGATTGTTGTTTTCTTGTGGGCTATGGCGAAGCGGGGGCCCAAGTCGGTTTTGGGAGAAGCAGATCGGAGAGCAGTCGTTAAACGCGCAAACTGAGAACAGAGCATTGTACTTGAATCTACACCTACCCGCATTACACACAAAGTATCTAGCACACAGACACTCAGATAGCAATGCATTTTTCTTGAGACTTTCTTTGATGGTAATCATATTGATGGCTGATAGACTCTTTCTTGACTCCCTCGCTCGATATTCAGTTCAGAATCTTTCAATCGTCGCCACGACAGATCGGCACATCCGTGTATCCTCAAACTGAATGGCCTCAGTGACATTAAATCCCGTGCTGGGAGAGGCATTGGGTGTAGAGGCAAACGCACTTGGCTTCTCGCCTGCTCCAGTCGCTTCCGATGTCCCTCCTCTCCTTAGACTCTCTGCAAGATATCTTCAGAAACAATTGGATTCTTCCTGGGGCCGCTGTCGCAACTGGCCTCGGAGTAGTCCTTTATCTTGTGGTTGGTCCACATTCGCGCCGCCCGCTGCCTCCTGGCCCCGAAATCTCTTGGTTCAGTCGCAACGGTGTTGTGATGCCCACGGCTTATGCGTGGCTAACGTTTGCTGAATGGCAGAAGAAATTTGGTGGGTGACGCGAGCAAAAGAACTCTTCCTGTTGCTATTACGGCTAAACTTCTGCAGGAGATGTTATCTACGTCAATGTTTTCCGCAACCCCATCCTAATTATCAACTCGCAAGAGGCTGCATTTGACTTGTTGGAAAAGAGGAGCGCAATCTACTCGTCGCGGCCTGTGAGGACCATGCAAACCGAGATGTGAGCCAAATAACGTACTCAATCCCCCCAAGCTGACTGCTTGCGTTCAGAAATGGCTTCTCGTGGCTTTTTTCTGGCCTCCCATATGGACCTTGGTACAAGAAACACCGCACGATGTTCCACAATCATTTCCAAGCCAAGGTAATTCCGCGATATCATGACACGTTGGTCGACAGCGCCTACACCCTCCTGCGTAATCTCCGCCTTTCACACACGCCGGAGCACCTGCTCCAGCATCTCAGGCGGTGAGTATGTGTCTTGTCTGTGTGCCTGCAAGCTGACATGATCAGCACCACAACTGCGATTGTTCTCTCAATATCCTATGGGTGTGTCGCATGTCCAATATGGGTTCATAAACATATCCTACAGGCATCACGTTGCTGAACAGGGAGACGAATATGTCGAACTCGCCGACCAAGCACTTGTCGGTCTCTCCATCATGGCATCGCCGCTAACTTCGGCACGTTTATGGTCGACTACATTCCCCTTCGTAAATAAGTTCCGCCATATTTGAACCTCTCTTACATTCACCAGTGAAGTACATCCCTGCGTGGTTTCCTGGCGCACAGTTCAAAAGAGACGGTGCCAGATGGAGGAAACTTGGCCTGGAAATGTGGAACAGGCCCTTCGAGATGGTCAAAGCTCGCATTGCGGCTGGAACGGCGGAGCCTTGCCTTGTGACATCTGAACTCGAACAGCTTTAAGGCAATCCAGACCTAGAACGACCTAGAACTCGAAACACTGATCAAGGATGTCTCTGCAACGGTATACGCTGGTGGTTCAGACACGGTAAGTTCTGGATTTCTTTTTTAAGCGTTTATTGGTGACGATATCACAGACTCTTTCCACTCTACTTTCCTTCTTCCTCGCGATGGTCCTTCATCCAGAAGTCCAAGAACGCGCGTTTGCTGAAATCAACACGCTCATTCCTGATGGCGACCGTTTACCGGCATTCTCCGACCGTGAACAACTCCCGTATTGTGACCGAATCGTGCAAGAATCGTTGCGTTGGAATCCTGTCGGCAATATTGCCCTCGCCCACTATTTAACAGAGGACGATGAGTACCGTGGCTGGACCATCCCAAAAGGTACCACCGTTCTTGCCAATATCTGGGCAATGCTGCATGAGCCATCTGTTCGTATTTTCTCCTCCAAGCGTCCATATATTGTGTCTGAAACTGGTTGTCATAGCGTTATCCTGATCCAATCGCGTTCAACCCCGACCGCTTCAGTGATGAGCAGCAGGTCGACGGGAAAAATCCAACGCCAGAGATTGCGTATGGCTTCGGTCGCCGAATCTGTCCTGGTCGCTTCCTCGCCACAGAGACAATCTGGATCATCGTTGTTTCTGTCATTGCGACGTACAAAATACTCAGACCACTTGATGGATTTGGGAAGGAGGTTATGCCAGAAGTCGCATACACACCGGGACTCTTCAGGTCTGTTTTTATGTTGGTGACCGACAAGAACCCACTGAACACTTTCGGTGTAGTCGACCTAAACCATTTGGATATCGCCTGGTTCTTCGATCAGACGAGGCAGCGGCGCTTGTGAGGGCAAGTGGGTGAAATTTGAGTTGGGAACAAAGAAGCAATGTTTGCGCAGTTCAAGTGGTGGAAATTTTCCGTAGCAAGGAAAACAGATTGTGCTTGGGGATGCGAGGGCCGAAAACGCGACTTTGCATCCAAGCTGCAAGAGAACCTACAGTAGCACATGAATTAGCTTGCGATTTTTTGCCGCAAAGAAAGTGGGAGGGACCTTTGGTCACGCTTTCACTTCCAAAGCCGATGAGTTTCAGTACCATACCAGCGACTCCGTCTGAGATGTGTACCACAGGCTCTGAGAGTACAATCATCATCATTTGGTCCAGCAAATACGGATGCTCTTCAGCAAGGTCGCCTTCCTATTATGTAGAGAGATGCGGAATACCAGCAAGTCATGCACGCAGGCTGGATAATTGTGCTTCGCAACACCTTGTTCGTCGGCAGCAAGCGGACCGAGGACAGAAACAAGAATAATGCCAATCTTGCTCATTGCCGTCGGGATAGCGGCTTGACGCCCGTCATGACTGGATACGTGGTCGGGGGGTCGGGAAAAGGACGGTCATCTCTTCAAGGACCTCGGCAAACCCACGCGCGAGATCGTTCATATGGTCAGTAGTATTCCAATTCGTCCGGTGTATCTCCTCTTGAAGCGCGTTGATACCACCAAGTTGGCACCAACAGCCGTCTCGACAAGAAATTTGATTTCGGAGGCCTTTCCTGCCACACTAACACCACAGGGTGCTCCGTTCATGAAGGCCTCTATGTCTTCGCTTGCCATTTGAGCCCAACGATCATGACCACCACCCTCGCCTGTCTTGGTAGAGACCACGCTGAGCAAGGGCGTTAATAGCTTGTCCACCAGAAGGTTGAATGCGTTCCCAGAGGAAACTGTGCAAGCAAGAGACGATGCACAGAGCAACAAATTGACGCGCATGACGAGGTTGGAAGCGCCGCTCGGCTGTTCGTGTTGGGTGCATTTTGACGAGGCCTTAGGCACTGTGGTCATCGGAAACTGTTTTGGAGAGTTGGATTTTCACAATGTGGATCAACACTCATGCTTCTCTCTTGCTCGATACCCTTTCTGGACATCTGGGCATCTTCTAACGCAGGTTTCATCCGTTCGTACTCGAAAATTAACTTGTCTACTCTCCTTACTTTATACAGGCCTCACCAATGGATGTCGACGCTGTCGACGCCCCGTCTCCTGTTTCACTCCACTCGCTACCTGAAATCACTGCTACATGGTCGCAAGACTCTATTGTCCACAATATCTCATGGTCAACAGATTGGGCGCAGTATAGGAAAGCCCATTTATGGGAAGGCGCACCGTGCGACTTGGGATGGATCCTTCACGAAGCATTTGGATTTCCGGGACGAGTTATTCCCCAGGGCTTTGCCAATCGATGGGATAGTGCGCATGAGCAAGCTCTTTTCTTTCGCGTTGGAAAGCGTTACTTTGTCCTGAGAGAAGGGGACGAGAACGAGTTCCACTGCGCGCCACTAGATCCAGGAGATGCAGATGACCTGTTCTTTCACCTACGGCGTAGTCCGAAATTGATCACCACAAGACGCACAGCAATCACTGCGAGACAAGCTTACATGATGAACCTATTGGCGGAGCTGGATAGCCCTGCGCCGCTGTATCGGAACCGCTGGCTGGAGATGTAGGAACGAGGTGCTTTTGTGGAGTGGAAGAATATAGATTATCAATTTATTGGCCATTACTTGGATTAGAACATCCTTGTTTTGCTGCTCATTTTTACACTTTATCAAGTCTTTTGACCAAAACAATTGACATGCAATGTGTCACGTTGTCTCGTTTCATCACCTCGTCCTTAACCTTGCTTTGGCAAGGTCCCTGCCCGGTGACTACTGTACATGATGATGTAATGTAGATCAGACAAACAAAGACAAACTAACACGAAGGCACTGACCAAAAACCTTCGTAGAAACCTCGGAGCAACATACACCGCCTCTCTGTACTTTGTCAGCTAGTTGTGTCATGGAATGTAATGATTAGTTCGTAAAATTTAGCTGCTCGTAAGCCATCAGAGTCAGGAACCTTGGCAAAAATTCGGACCCAAATTTTGACCTAAAGCCTACCCAATTCGGGCTAGATACTCGTGATCTGCAACTTCACTATGATATAAAATCTTTATTCTGCTACTGTGCAATAAGATGATGGTAGATTCAAATGAAAATTGGTGTGTAGATATATTTTCATGATATCTCTAAATATCCCAAGTTTGGAAATTTTCCATTATGTGCTTACCTGGTTATATCAGAATTATATCGAAAAATTACATTGCAAGAGCTGTATTGTCTTCATAAAAATGCAAGTTTGTATAGAAAGGATTCATTGGACCCTAATGATAATATTTGGCAAACTTATTAGAGATTTTATATGCCTGTTTACAGAAACTTGAAAATATGATAAACTTACATACTTAGACTTCTTATCTTTACACTACAGTAATTATGACTAGAGAGAGATGAATTAGGTTAAGAAACCTTCTGTATATACTGTAGCTACTTTCCTATAAGTAGACATGCCAAGTTGAATATGCATTAATTTATACTAGATTTACAATTACTATATGTATCTGTTGTGTAAACAAATATTTACCTGGATACTTGCAGCCAGGTCAGAGAACTTTGCAACTCAGTGGTAATATATATAGATGTATAAGTTATTCTACATAGTCTGTGCATATCCTCTCCTAATAATTTAATAGTACTCATCATCACCTAAAGTGACCGGTAATTTGCCGATTACTAAGCTATCATTGATCCAATCAGTCTGATATTTTGATGCTGGGAAGCTATCATGATTCTGAACTGATACTCCAAATTTAGTTGAGTTTGCTTCGGCTGTTGAGATGTAATAGGCAAACCATTCTCTTAACCCTGCCATTTTTTGGCTCAAATTTGACAATAAGCCAAAAGCTGAAAATTGTCCAATCCAGATGATATTCAGAGTGTATGTAGCTGTTACCCATTGATAAAAAGTACCAGTTACAAAATCTCGATAAATGCTTTCCTTGGTCTAAAAATGACTCATAATGCCTGAGGAATCAATTGTCTAGGGGCAGAGTAATCCACTATATCAGTGTCCCCCTTGCTTGTATGGAATATTATACTGATTTCATGGACATGGGAGGCTAGAATGTATGTGTATGAAGTACTCTGTTCAATTTCACTATGTTCTGCTATTCATGTGTTATGCTTTGAGCATATTTCCTTCTAAAACTTGATCTCAGATATTATGTGTGTTTTTGTTGACATGATTACATGACAATCAGTGTTCCAATCACTCTGCAAATTCGGGGGCATGGAGGGAATATGGTCGAAATATAGTGGTCCAAATTCCACGCTGATAGAATCAATAACCGCTTATTAATCAGCAAATTACCGGTCACTTTAGGTGATGATGAGTATATAGTACAAAAAAAAATAGTAGTATTATTGTAATCTAAAAGGAACTTGAAACATCAAAGTTATACTGTACTATTTAGATCAAGTGTCCGCCGCGTGTAACGCGTAACGGACACTGTCCGCTGGACAAGGTGTCCGGATTGCCAAAAAAGGCAAGTCCAGCGTCAGCCGGACCGAAAATTTTCCTTTTTCGGCCTGTTTTTGATGGGAATCCGGCCTTGAACGCGTAACGGAGACCACAAGTGTCCGCGCCGCGACCGCGTGTAACGCGTAACGCGGACACTTGATCTAAATAGTACAGTATCTGATGCACAATGCAAATATGAGAGTAGCAGTGGAGCTCAGTACTAGTTCAAGTACACAGAATACTGCAAGCAGATAAGTATTTGTGAAGGTATAGGACACAATTCTAGAAAGCTGGTATAGCATGAAATAATCCCCACATATTACTCTTTAATGGCCTTCAATTTTAATATACAGAAACTAATTTAGACTAATTGATTATTAGATATCTAAATTATGTCTTATTTCCAGGCAAACTGCAGTCACATTGGGGTTTTGGTGAAAAAAAAAGCAGCCTAAAGCTGGACTTTTTTGTGGCAGATTGCAAATATGCTGTTTGCCTTATATGTCCAACTCCATGCTGTCAATCATCATTAGCATTGACATCTGATGATCCAATCATGATCTTATTGTCTATCTCATGTTCTCCTTGTCTTAGCTTATCAACCAGGGTCAGAATAAAATGTTTAAAAGGTAAAAAAAAATAGGTTTCTTAAACCCAGGGTTTGGCAATTAGAATTCATCTTCTAAATTTCAAATTAAGTGTGATTATGTATGTTTACATAAATGTGAATGTTTAGCTTATATATTTAGTCTAATATGCTTCAGATATCAAGATGAACCAAAGCCTTTGGTCTGAGAATCTGGACTAGTTTTTGTCTTAAGTCCTTAGCACCAGCCTGCCAGGGGAAGAGGGTCTAGGTGCACTAAAGCCTGTAAGGGGATCATGTGATGTGCCAGCTGTGACTGATCACATGACTGGTCCATGTGCAGATAGCCCTGTACTTAAGTAGTTGGCTCTGGGACTGTTCCTCCGAGTCTGGTATCAACTTGGCACTTGGACCCTCTTCCCCTCACAAAGCCAGGGAAACAGCCCCATGGCCAACTACTCAAGTACAGTGCTATGTGCACAGACCAGTCACTGACTGGTGATTGGTCGCCACTGTCACATCACATGATCATTTACAATGTTATTGTAAGGGCAAACCCGGAGGCCTGACATCAAGGTCCTAGCAGGGGAGGATTCAAAGTGTGAACATTGGTAAGCGAATACAAATGGAGCTGACCTAGCAGGGGAGGATCCAAAGAGAAGAAACTCTGAGGGTCCGCCTGCTAGGTAGCTGACTATATACTGCTTGTCTGTAGCTGCCGCTGTCGGGCACAGAAGGCTTGGGCGGCATTGCAGGCAAGGTCCCAGGGTGACTGTTGGGAGGGCGTTGATGGATCGGTGATTGTGCGGGCGAGATGGAGGGTCGGACTGGAGTCAGAACCAGAATCGGACCGGAATCGGAGACGTCTTTGGGGGGCCGCAAGGGAGGTTCCCCTGACAGTTATGTATAAAACTGTACTTACAGTCTCAGTGTCACAAACAACACCAAATCAAAGGATGCCAGTTGGCCAGTGAAGGCTAGCAAGAAGCACTGTGAAAAGATATTGTAAAGATGATGGAATTCGAAGACTGGGGTACAAGACAAAATCTACTTTACTTATATACACTACTACCATGTGTTTACCATGCCTAATATGAGAGGCAATAACATCATACTTTAGCCATGCCTTCATGTGCTGTCTGCCTCATGTCTAACTCCACACTGTCAATCAACATCAGCATTGACATCTGATGATCCAATCACCATCTTATTGTCCATCTTATCTCCTTCTTGTCTTGCCTTGTCAACCAGGGCCAAAATAAAAGGTTTAAAAGGCAAAGAAAAATATTTCTTGAACCCAGGGTTTGACACTCAGCCTTCTTATCAGTAGATTACCATTATATCTGGCCACTGATTTGTGACTCTTAGCATCCCAAACCCCACATTCAGCCCTTGAAACTTGGAAAAAAAATTATAAGTCTATTCATTACATAATAGCACTCTCAAGCCACCTCTATCTGTACTTAAACTTAGTCTCATACTTATGGTATCTCATCTGCTGATTACTTGACCATGTGATTGTCAATCTAGGGTAGAGCAAGGGTCAGGGTTGACTTGCAGCATTTCAGGGTAGGGTCTATCAGGGTCAAGGTCAGGGTCCAACAATTTCCAAATCTTGCCAAACCCGGACCCTTTCAGGGTTAACCTGCAGGGTCTAATAGTAAGTTATAATTCATTAGTTCTTTACCCAATGTCCCAGTGATAAGCCACATTTTGGAACACATATATAGAAAACCACCATTTTTTGTTTGTTTCATAGGTACAGTGCATATCTAAGAACTAGCATGAGTCCTGAATGGCCAGTTAGGGAGATATCTGTGGGGAGGTGTTTTGATCTGACTGTCATTGACAGCAAATGGCCGTTTTGGGAATGACTCTTAAAATAACCAAACAACAGCAGAGTCCAATTTAACAATTGTGAGGTTTTCACTTAACAACAGTGTGACAACTGTTATGGATAAGACACAGCCTGTCTGCTCCAGCGCTGGTGTCGGGCCACCAAGGGTCCACAACATGTAGCATGTGACGATGGGGAACAGGTGCCCTAGGAGGAATGCACATGTGGGAAGCACGTGACCGAGAATAACATGGGCCTGTTACTATTGCTATGCCATTGGTCCTGCAAGCTTTCAACAGCTGTGATTCTGACAGCTGTGGCCATAGAAATCCTGTTACATGTATGCAAAATGTGTGTACCAGCTATATAGATATATAGTAGCAGTGCATATAGCCAGCATCTGGTTATAGTGGTCTTTTGGCTGAGTTGGATTCTGTGTTAGCGCTTCTGCACAGATTTCACAAAACCATCAAAGTCAATGACTATTGCCGTTATGGTAATAGGCAGCATCCCTAGCAAGAGGGTCCTTTAAGACCTCCAACAAACACAGTCTCTCAATCTGCAGTAGTTCCCCAAATATGCCCAACATTTTTTTAAAAAGATATTCAAAATTGGGTCTCAAAAACCCATTTTGCATGGTATCTTAATAGCTGATTTCCAACGCCCCTAGGTGAATTTGGATGAAAATTTTTATATAGGTATGTAGCTCTCATCAATGTATAGTTTATAAGGCCAAAATCAAGAAGATATGTCAAAAAAATGGGCTTTTGATCAATTAGACAAGGCTTGCTATTAGAATGTGATCTGGATAGTTGCAAGGTGTACTATGACTTGCAGATCAAACACACCTACTATTATACTATTTTGATCAAGTGTTTTGAATTTTTGGATCTAAACATTTTTCTTCTGATTTAAGGTGATTTTAACAATGAGTTTTTCAGTCAATGTAACACATAACACAGACACTTGATTAAAATAGTACAATACCCAAATTTTCCACAGTGCCGGCATTCCCATTTGGAGTCTAAGTGGTTGAGTGAAAAGTTCAAGTTATGTCATGCAACATGTCTCACAACTCACACCTCAAGGGAGGAAAGAAAGTTGAAAAACTATCAAAGCAAGGTCGAAGACGGCGATCAGCCGGCACCTAGTGCCCAAACTGCGTTCAAACTTGGTTCAAACCATTACAAACAAACAAACAATGCAGATGCAGTATGCAGTGACCCCATTTGGCGTGGCTGGATACCAAGTGAGTCAAGCGCGGAACTAAAGTTTTGTCAGCTAGTTTGAGATGTCGTTGGCTCGTTGAACCCCTCACTCATGCTCAGTTTCGTTGAACTCGAACTCGAAATTATACATTGTATCTGCGAGGAATTACTGGTCAATGATGTCCTCTCTCTCCGTCAGGTGCGTGCTTATTTACAGTCTGCACAATTCTAACATCCTACAGACTTGTCGCTCATTGTATCATGCAACACATTCAAGGATTGTTTGGATTCGATATTTGGTCGTCCTCAAAGCAAAAGGGGCTGTACTGCCCTCGTATGTGCAAGACTATCGCCTCCTCGAGTCCGACGTCCTTGAAGCCTTAGTTTTCCGGCTGACTTCGGTCGCGAACAAGTGGGCTCGCCACGATATGACTCCAATCAAGTCCGTCTCTCTGGTCGTCCCACACTCGATAACATGGCTGCGCATCGTCGATGGCCGATATGTATTTGTGGCGTATTCTGACCAAAAGGTCAGCGTTCTCGCATGCTGGGATTTCTGGTGGCTGCAATGTGGTGATATCAACCCAATCGCTCTTGCATTCCTTCCAGGTCGTGTCGATACTGCGCAAGTAGAGATGCAAGAGAATGGCGTTGTTCTAACCCTCGGACTAGATGGCAAGTACGTGTGCAAATTTCTTTTGCCTTTTTACGGCGACTAATGTCGCAACAGAAACCCCAGTGTGCTCGTAACCACACTCCAGGAACAAGAAGATGATACGTTTGCGTTCTATGAACTGGCGCGAATCGAAAAGTCGTCGCATATCCTCATGCTAAATGGCTCATTCGTTGGCTGCGCTATTCGTGACGGTATCAACATCCTTCACCTGGTTAATTGGAGAGACGGAGCTATTCGTGAGATCCCGCAGGCCGCAGCTGGGTTCTCTAACTCGGTCAGAGCGGTATGCTATGTTGCCCCTTCTCGGAGAGAGTCCAATTAATCATTTTCAGAGTGTCCCATATCTGATCACATTGTCTGGCGAGGTTCTCGTTATCGTGTACTCGGTTGGCGTCGAAATCTATCACTGTCCGCCATCATCAAACGACCCCATCGTCTTCGTTCAACATATCACGCGTTCTACTATTTGGGAAGCTGTTGCTACTCCCCTTACCCATTTGCAAGCCACACAGCTGACATTAATCACCCGCGTTGGTCTTGAAATTTTGACTATCGACGACCGAGTGCTGGACATTAACACACAAACACCGAGTCTTATTTGTGTTGCTCGAGCGCCGTTGTGTAGCTGTCGAGGTCCCACTGCCAGTGTTCCGTGCAGCTTCATCGACCACGCTGCTCGGTGGTACGGACTGTCTGTGGGTGACTCCGGCCGTCGATTCATGTGGATATCTGTGGTAGGAGAACCTGGAAAGGACTACTCACTACCATCATTTGTGTCCGCTCGACTTCCAGAAGCGTCGGGTCATGCAGAGCTTGTCTCGTGGCCCATGAATCCAAATAATGAACTAGCGCTCTGGGCACTACCCCGGTTCGATTTCGATGAGGCTCTCGGCACAGCTGTCGTCGGGAACTGTTTCGGAGAACTGGAGTTTTATGACTTGGATGAGCATTTGTTGGCATGCCTGTGGCTGTCACGATACCCCTTCTGGAGGCCTGAGCATCGGTCGACGAAGATGTTGTCGGTAAGTGTCCGCACGTTGGGTTTCTTTCCCTTACACTTTTGCTTTCTTTAGTTGGCGCCATTAGCTCTCGATGTGCCTCCTCAGCCAATTTTCGGTTCACCTGAATCGCTGCCTGACAGCACGGCCCACTGGTCCCAAGATCCTATTGTTAATGGTATCGAATGGGCCGGGAATTGGACAGGTTGTAGAACCAAACATCTTTGGCAAGGTTTGCCTTTCGACTATGCGTGGATGCTCAGGGAAGCCTTCGGAATCCCGGGTCGAGTGATTCCTCAATACTATGGCCAGCCATCCCCCTACGCGCTTCATCAGTCCCTCACCTTCCGCATTGGGAAACGCTACTTTGAGCACTGGGATGGCGACGAGATGGCATTATGTACGTGGTCACCGGCAATAAGCACACTTCGGGATTTGGAGCAGGAGCGGGAGCCGACCATGGACTGGAGAGCCCCCACAAAACTGACTGCAACTCGTCGCACGGCATTTTCCATGTGCCATGCCTACATCGATGGCTTTTACCACGAGGTATACCTCAATCCATGTCCTCGATATCGCTGGCTGGAAATGAAAGATCGCGGGGGCGATGTAGAGTGGAACAATGTAGGTCACCCAAGCTATCGTACCTATCCTGAATAAACAGAGTAAATAGATTTGATATCTGCTACACTTGATTGCTTGTGCTGCTCTTAGAATCTTCGACTCAAAACTGTTACTCGTAGTCTTGACCTTTCCGCCTCGTTCAAGGCTTTCACCCATCGTGACACAGGTTGTGACGCCACGACACCTCCGACTTTCATGCAGCTCGTCGGCTTGAACACCGAAATCATCCATTGTATAAGCAACGGGCGATCTTGCGCTGTGGGCGCTGCCTCAGTTTGACTTCGATGAGGCTCTGGGCACTGTTGTAATTGGCAATTGCTTCGGAGAGTTGGATGTTTACAACTTGGACGAAAATTTGGAACCGTGCTTCTGTTTTGCTCGCTGTCCTTTCTGGAGATCGGAGCGCTCTCCAACGCAGGTTTTATCCGTATGTGTTTGAAACCTAACATTATTCTTCGGCCCATTCATTCTCCCCTAGAAATCACCAGTACCTCTTGACGTCCCACCTCAACCGCTCGCTTTGATGCCCGAGTCGCTGCCTGAAAGCACTGCGCATTGGTCACAGGATCCCATCGTCAAAGATACCTTTTGGTCAAGGGTTTGGACGAGTTATAGGAGAGCTCATCAATGGCAAGGCGTGCCCTGCGACTTCGCATGGATCCTAAGAGAAGCATTTGGATTTCCGGGACGAGTTATTCCTCAAGGCTATGGCACAGAGGGTATGATGACGAGCCTAGTGGACAAACCCTCTTCTTCCGCGTTGGGAAGCGCTATTTCTTTCTGAAGGAAGGCGACGAAAACGAGTTCCACTCCTCGCCTGCCGAATCAGGAGACTCGGAGGACCTATTCTTCAACTTGGGGCACAGTCCGAAAATGATCACAACGCGACGCACGGCGATTACTGCGAAGGAAACATATGTGACGAATTTGATAAGAGAGCTTAATGGCGATCTGCCCCGTAATCGTTGGCTGGAGATGCAGGTAGAAGGTGCTTCTGTTGAATGGAGAAATCTAATACGGTACCAGTCAATTGGTTCTTACCTGGATTAGAATAGACGTCGCTGCTAATGCTTTTGTTCCCCTGAGATTTTCTTGCAGTAGTTACTGGTTGCCGTTTTAGTTACATTCTGCGTTCCGCCATATAAGTTGAGGTCAGACGAAGTTTGTGGCCTTATGTCCACTGCTGACCCCGTCTTTATCCTATCCTATATCGATTGGCATCTCATTTCAGCCCGAGATGAAGCAGCGTAAAAGCCAGTATATGGACAGTTTTATGACATGTACAGTTGGTGATCAAGAAAGCGCAACACAATTCTACGCAGTCATGGCGACTTTTTGGAGCAAGGAAAACAGACTACCCTTTGGTATGTATGGCCCGAAAACGCAACTCTGAATCCAGGCTGCAAGAGAACCTAGGTCTCCGGATTAGCCCACAACCTTTTAGTATAAGGGAAAGCACCTTTGACGACACCTTCACTTCCAAAACCAATGGCCTCCAGCACCATACCAAATATTCCCTCTGAGATGCGTGCCATGGGTCCCGACAGCAACATAATCAGGACAGCCTGCAGCAAATATGGGTGCTGTTCAGCAAAGTCGCCTGCTTTTATTTGAGACAAAAACATATAGAGGGCAATGTTTACGCACCAACCAACACAACAACGCTCAGAAGGGGCGGCTGGATAACTGTGTCCCACGTCTTCGCAACACCTTCTTCGTCGCCACTCAGCGGACCGAGAACAGAAACGAGAACTGCGCCGATTTTGGTCAGCGCCGTCTGGACTGCAGCCTGACGCTCTGCGTGACTTGGCGCGTGGTCGGGAGGAGGGAAAAGGGTGTTCAGCTCTTCGAGCACCTTGGCAAATCCACGCTGTAGGTCGTTCATGGCGCTGGCATTCCCATTCGCCTTCTGAACCTCGTTTTGAAGTGCGTTAACACCACCGACGGCTGCCTCAACGAAGTTTCTGATCTCGAGTGCCTTGTCCAATGCCGCGCTGTTCACAAAGGTTTCGACGTCTTTGCGCGCCGCGTGGAACCAGTGGCCAGCATCATAATGAAGAGCCTCTCCGACTGGCGCCACCAGTTTTCCGATGTCTCCCAAGATGTCGAACGCATTGGCAGAGAGCGCAAGATACGACGCGCAGAGCACAAAGTTGACGCGCATGGTCGAGAGCAAGTTGGATAAGCGCCCGAAAAGAAGCAGCTGTCAATGAGCCTAACTTTGGCAGGCAATCCACAAAAGGCCTTGTGCTGACCGCGTTTTCAAAGGGTATAAACTAGCTTGAAGCAGCCGTCACCGCTGAGCCTAACTTTACTGAGCAGGCAATCCACAAAAGGCCTTGTGCTGACCGCGTTTTCAAATGGTTTCATGTATAAACCAGCTTGAAGCAGATCAAAAGCTTGAATCTACCCCCCATGAAGAACCCAAAGACCGGCCATAGCTACTCCATCACGCTTGACTGGGAGGAAGACGGCTTCTACCGCTTTCTCAGCGGCCTCCGGAACGGCCTTGGCAGGTTCGCAACCCCTGTCCACATCTCCATCGCGTCTTTCTTGCGCCCGGAAGACTCGGAGACTGGTGAGGGCATCGGCCTGACGAGTCTCAAGACGTTTCTGGCCGAGCTCTGCAACAGACACTCGGCTCATAACGTCGTTTTCGGAAAACTGAAGGCGGAGGAGCTTTTTGGAGAGAACATCGTCGCTGTTCCAATCAAGCTGGTGGGCGAATTTGCCAAGATTTGGGACGCCTTCCAGACACTGTGAGTGAGCTATACTGGAATGCAATTGCCCACACGCACTTTCAGTGGCCTGGGGACTAGATTTCCTCCGCACGTTACAATCGCCACAGGAGGGCGTGTCAACGTTGGAAACATGCACAAGGATGTCTGCAACTCATTGGCGAGTTGGACGGCACAACATGGGATGCTGCTGGAGGGAAGAGCGGTGGGGTTGCGATTGTGGGAACATACGATGGGTGCCAGAACCCTCGTGCAAAACTTTCCCCTCCAGACCAAATGCATGTGTCGAGTTTGTGAGCGGACGCGGAAGTTGGAGGCCCATGGATGTTGTTGTACGGTTTGTATGCGAGCGCTCAGGAAGAGTCAATAGCCACGGTCACGATGAGACGGTCGGTTGGTCGGTCGGTTGCCCGGCAGGCGTCTCATCGTGACCGTGGCTAATGACGTGATGATCTCGGCTACTCAATTAGTTACCGAACACCCCGCCCATATACCGCGGGTTCGAGTCCCGCCAGGAGTTTGCTTTTGTCTCCCCATAGCCTTTAGGAACGGGCACGTGTCGACGTCTTTGGTCTCAGAGTTGTCTCAGAGTCTCCTCGACACTACACTTGCACAGAAAAACCAGGAAAAATCGCAATAAATCCAGGAAAAATCAGGCAAGCTCAGGACGAGCAGCAGTAAAAACCCCTGGCGGGACTCGAACCCGCAGCCTCCAGATTCTGGCGCTGGGTTAGAGCCAGGATAGAAGTCTGACGTCATGACCATTAGACAACAGGGGCATCGAACGGGTCGCTTCCAATGAATATTGAGCACAGTGACAATCCGTGACAAGCGGTGACATCGTGACATGTGACGTGACCGTCCCGAAAATTCATGTAATGCGATTGGAGGCATGTCCTCCTGCGTAGAGCTACTGTAAACAACATCCTGATTCATGATGCAAGGGGGCAAGTACACCACTGTATGACGAATAGGCACACACACATTGATCTCTTCAAGTTCTTTTAGAATCGTGATCATCATTGCTCCACGTAATCGCCGTTTTCTTTCCTCCGTCCACATCATGCCCAAAGCTACTCTCCCTAGCGGCCACACTTGGGCTTATGTCGACGCTAATCCAACGGGAAAGACGACTCTGCTTTGTCTGCACGGCTTCCCCGACTTAGGCTACGGATTCCGCCTGCAAATTGCCCCATGGGCCCGTGCCGGCTTCCGGGTCGTGGTACCCGACATGCTCGTATGGTCTCGGAAGACGAAACAAGCGCGCTCAAGCTGACGTCGTGGGTTAGGGATATGGTGGATCCGATGCACCCGTAGACGCCTTGGAATATACCACCAAGCGGCTAACGAGCGATTTGGCGGCCCTCCTCACCAAGTTGGGCGTCGACCGTGCAGTCATTGTTGGACATGACTGGGGCGCGTTTACTGCCGGGCGTTTTGTGCTGTGGCACCCAGAACGCGTCATTACACTGATATTGTGGGTATAATAAGCCCAATGGCCTGCTCAGAGCTAACTCAAAGTACAGAATGAGTGTCGCACACACTCAACCTGCCCCACAACGTCTGACGCTGCGTGATGTCGTCCAACGTGTTCCAAACTATGGATATCAGCTTTTCCTCGCCTCGGACGAGTCTCCTGCGCTCATAGAAGCCAAGGTTTCGCTCGATTGACTCCATGCGAAAGCCTATTGACAGTTTACTCCAGCTCCCGACTTTCCTTTCCCTCATATTTGCACCGGCTCAATTCGGCATAGATTTCACGACCGAGGGCAAACTCGCACGGCTTCTCGATAGCCCAAGAACCGAAGCAAGACTATCTTCGAACAGCATCATTAAGGGCGATGTTTTGCGTGCTTATACGGCCGCCTTCACCGCCCGCGGGCTAAGAGGACCAACCAACTACTACAGGACCACCACTCTCAGATACGAAGAAGAGTCCACAGCAAATCCTCCCTTGCATATTGCTCTCCCAAGCAAATTCCCCACTTTATTCATCTACGGTGTAATAGATCCAACACTCGCTGATGTTGCCCTCAAAAGTCAGCGAAAGCTCATTCCACGTCTTGAGGAGACGCAAATTCCTAACACTGGGCACTGGGTCTTGTTCGAGCATTCGTCTTATGCAGAAGAGCCGCCAGCCTTCCTCGAAGAAGGCACACCTGACGACCCACTTGCCGGATGGCGGGAAAAAACAAGTGCAGGGGCATGGAAGGAACACAAGGGCGATGGCGGGCCAGTTGGCCGCACGGTTATCCAGTTCCTCGCGAATTTGGGAATTGATGGCAAATCTGTGGCCCCGGCAAAACTGTAGATTCAAGGTGTCTATCGTTATATTCGACTAGTACTCTTTCTGTGCGTTATGTATGATTAGCCTCTGTGTACACTTCCATTCAGCATCGCTATATCGCTACTAACTACAAGTCCAACTCCATGAGCGCAGTAACCAAACGCTCCGCCACACCATCCGGTTCTTGTCTGGCCATCTCTATCAAGCCCAGTAGCTTCTTGACTCCGATCTGCAGGCGCGCATTCGGATCGTCTGGCTTCTTGTCGAACCCAGCGTCACGCAGCATCGCGATCGCCTCGCGATGCTCGTCTTTACTTCGGAAGAGCCGAGTTTCGCGGAGGACATAGTCCAGCGCAGAAAGGGCCGTGATGGGAGGAACGCGCATGACTTGATTGAAGTCCTGGAACCCGAGGTCGGTAAGAATACCGCGGTTGGAGGTCGTGGCAATGACAAGAAGGCGGCGGTCCTACGTTACAATTCAATTAGGGTCAGATTGAGTTGGTGCTGCAAACCTTGGGTGGTCGGCGACTTATTAGCACTAACAGAGCCTGAAGAACCGGATTCGAAAATCTTGCACCCATGGGAGACCATTCTGGTAATGTCATGAGTTTCCAAGTCATGCCAAAGTCAAAGAGAATTGTACCTATGAGTCGCTCGATATTGTCGACAACAACAACGCTTAGCGGACTCTTGTAGCTGTCCATAAACACTTTGTTGATGGCTGAGATCTTCTGGGCCTCGCCCATGCCGATCATGTTGTCCGGGGTAATAAGCTTGATGAAGGGGAACTGCGACGCCTGAGCAATCTGAGCTGCGAGTGCTGTTTTTCCAGCACCAGGCGGGCCATGCAGTAGAACGTTGACGACAGGTGATCGTTTCGATGTTCGAACTTGCTCGACGATGAGACTTCCAGACCGAAGGAGTTCCTACGACGAAAATCAATCGACGGCTTGGGTCATCAAGAGATAACATACGTCGATAACACCATCGAAACGGATGATGCCGTTCTGAATGACAGCTTCCAGCTCCTCTTCCGATACACCGAACGCAGGCTTGACTTCCTCCAACGCGTGCAAAAAGTCGCTGCGGTTGACCATCAAGTTATCAACGTCCTCGCTGATGCCCGCCATCGTTCCGACCTTGACATGGCGGTTGAAGGCAAAACTGGTTGCGCTCTTGACCAAGCCATTGATCTCAGCGCCAGAAAAGTTCTTTGTCATGGTAGCCAGCTCCTCGAGGTCGACATCAGAGTCCATAACACCATTCTTTCGCATCTTGGTCGTATGGATGTTGAGGATTTGATAACGACCCTTTTCGTCAGGCAAAGAAATCTCCATGTGCACCTCAAGACGACCAGGACGCAAAAGAGCTTCATCAATCATGTCCTTCCGATTCGTCATACCGATGATGAGGATGTTGTTGAGAGAATCGACACCATCCATCTATGTAGCCATAAGTAAAAGGTTCCAATAATTTGAAGTAAAAACACTGACCTTAGACAGAAGCTGATTGACAACACTGTCGCCGACTCCAGTACCGTTGTTGGTCGAGCCACGCTGTTTGAAAATAGCATCTAACTCGTCGAAAATAATGATGTGCAGTTCACTTTCATCGCCCTTCTCCTTGTACTAGAGTAGATGTTGTTAGTCAAGCGGGGCATGAGAAGGAAAATAAGTCCGAACCTCCTTCTCTGCATCCTCGAATAGCTTTCGAATATTCTCTTCCGAAGCACCTACGAACTTGCTGAGGATTTCGGGTCCATTGACAATTTTCGGTTCATGCGCATTGAGCATCTTCCCGATTTGCCGAGCGATCAAAGTTTTTCCCGTTCCAGGAGGGCCGTGAAGGAGAAGACCTTTGACGTGCTCGATACCCAACTTTTCGACTAAACCAGGAGGGAAAACGCGGGAGGCGAAAGCGCGACGGAAGATATCACTGAACTCGGCGTCCAGACCACCAATGCCCATGTCCTCGAATTTGAAGTTCGGCGCAAGAATGGCATTGGGAGGTGCTCTAAATGGTTCCAGTCAGAAATGATGATACGAGCAAGTAAGACGCACTTTTTTGCACTCGATTTGATCATGATTCCATTAGCCTCGGCGCCTTTCATAACAGTAATGTCGGTCTTGTCCATGAGGACACCAAAGCTGCGAGGGTCAGGCCCGCGATCTGCTCTTCTAGAGCCACGTTGCTGTTGATCAGCAAGCTCCAGAGTTGAAAGACCCTTGACAATTGCCTTCAAATTCTGTCCCCGAAAGTCGAAGATCAGAGGCTGGCCGACGGAAAGAACAAGTCCATTGAACGAGCGGAGGAAAGCAGCAGCTAAGTCGTCCGCAGAAAATTGTTCGTTGCTTTCTGTTTTACGCAAGAATCCCATTTCGATATCCAGGGACTCAAGGTAACTGGGTTCTGGATATGGCTCGATCTTTATAACGTCCCCTTGAACGGCGAGACCGATCCATTGCCTATGCATGACATTTGCTCCAACGCTACCTTGATTCAGCTTGTTGGTATTATCATGTCTGTCCAAAAGCTCGAATATGGTCGTGAACCCAAGAACGAGGACTCACACGACGGTGACAGGGTAGACTCCTTTCTCTCCATAAGCTAGTACATGCTGGCCTTGTTGAAAGTCCGCAGGGTGGACAACCAAACGATTGGTATAAGCAAGGGGGTTCGAAGTCGATCCTTCCACCTGGAAACTATTTTGCAGTTTAGCAATGAGTAGTGAGCAGATGAGACTAATGCATACCGTTCGGCACCCCCGACGGACTGAGATGGCGGCGGTGGACGTCGGTCGTTTGATCGCTTCTCGTCATAGCCACGTTTCTCGAACGAAGATGAGGGTGGATCGTTGTATTGATTGGGAGGCGCATTATATTGCATTGATTGGGGTGGGGGTGCGCCGTAACCAGGCCGCGCGCCAGCACGAGGGCCGCTAGGAAGAGAGGAGTATTGGCCGCCAGGATTCCCTCGGTAGGACATGATGGAGGAAAGTAAGTGTCGTGGCACTAAGCAGTGCAAATCGTGGTCGGCGATCGAAGGATTGAAGTAGGTGTGACGCCCGACGCGTGACGTGACGACATGGATTTGAACGCAACCGACTCGAATCTCCCGCCTTCCGGCGCGTCTCCCAGCCGTTTCGACTCCCCAGACGTCGACACACACTCATGTCAACTAATGGGACCAACTGCTCTGGTGAGAGCAGCACGTTTCATCCCTTCTGCTTGCAATAACCCGAAGCCAGGTCGTCCAAGCACTTATGGGCGTGCTAGTGATACTTTCGTTAGTATACAAACGCCATCGGGAGAAGCCTATGCGGCCGTGGAGGATATGGTGCGTCCCACGCTCTAATTTTGTGCCATTCTCATAGCTTGAAGGATATTCGATGTCTCAAAACAAATCGTTGGCCAAATGTTCGTTCACGGAGTCAACGTGCTCGTCTCTGATCTGGTTTCTAAATACACGACAAATAATGCGTGTGTATTCTACTTCCTCAACATTCTCATAGACACGACGCTCGGTCTGTGGCTCTTTCCCACTTGAACTAACCTGGCTGACCCCTGTTAGGCGTTGGGTTACTATACGCAATCCTCCGCTTTCTTACCTTCGTTATGACCGAGAGGTTGCAGCTCAAAGGCTTCGAATCTGGCGTATATGGAACCCCGCCCTCGTTCAAATTCTGGTTACGTCAAGCCAGCATTTATGTTTGTGCGCTTTGCACCATGAAGCTCATGGTCATCGTGCTCCTTGCATTATTACCTGGGCTCTTTACATTGGGCTCATGGCTCTTGAGCTGGACATGGACGGGCGAAGGGGACTCTATCCAAGTTATCTTGTGCGTGTTTTCCTGTCAGCTGTTGTCGCGTAATGACGATGACAGCACCATGGGCATTTTTCCAATATGCATGAACATCCTTCAGTTTTGGCTCATCGATTCAATTGTCAAAGCTTCCGGAGTTGCGTTAGATATGGACAGTCCAGACCCACTTGACCGCGAGCCATTATTTAGGGCTCCAGATGACGACGACAACGACGACTCTGCTTTTGTTCAAGGGCCAACGGATATCGAACACCGACCTCGACCGCGCTCACAATCACCAGAGAGTACTGGCTCTGACCCATCTGACACTTTGCGAACCCCGTCAGAAACTAAATATTCTGGCGGAAGTACTCCCACTCAGCCTATCGACGTAGAAACTCATGCGTATCCACCAAGCGTAGCTTCCTCAACATCTTCTTCCCCCCTTCAAGCGCAAGTGATTAGAGAAGCGACCAAGCTGAAGCCAAAGCGGCGAGGTGTTCCTGCACCGATTCATATCCAAAACCACAATCGACCAGCAGTGAATTCACCCAGGACAGCACCCAATACTGCGAATCCTGCACCACCTCCAGACAATGACTGGGGAGACTCTTGGGATGACCAAGACGACTGGGCAGACAAGGTTGGTGAGGAGGAGTGGACGGGGAAGAGGATGGAGGAGAAGAAAGGTCAGTTGTCGGCTTGGGATACGGGGAGTCCGTTGGTCAACAGCCTGAGTATGCATGTTGAGGCAGCATCATAGAACCCTTGTACACTATTCATCTTAGCATTTCGCATAATCTACTTGGTGCTTTTTCGGGATCTCTGTTAGATTGAGATGACAAACTTGAGAACGCATTGTTTGATTTGGGAGGAGTGAAGTCAATGAAGTTACATAAGATTAGGTAGGGCATAAGAGCTTTGAAAATCGGGGAGTATTTGGGAAAGATGGTGCCGCTTCGGTACCGTATATGACTGAAAACATTCGATAAAAGATTTGACAGTCGCACCTGCTCATGACCACCACCACCCCCTCCAACTCCCACATACTATGGCCCCAAAAACTAAAGCCGCCGCTCAACAACCCTCCTTGATAACCGCTGTCTCGCAGCAGTCTCGCTTTCACACCGAAACACTCGACACTAGTCTTGAGATCGACCTCAAAGGCGTCACCATCTCCATCGGCGAGCGTGAGCTCATCGCCTCAAGCCACTTGCGCTTTAAGAACGGCGTAAGGTATGGCCTGGTGGGGAGAAATGGCTCTGGAAAGTCGACGCTGTTGACTGCGATTGCGGAGCGGTTGATTCCTGGGCTGAACCCTTCCATTCGAATTCTCTTGTTATCCCAGGTCGAAGACAGCGCCCGCGCGACGGAACAAATAAGTGGAGAGGCTGTCAATGTGCTCGAGCACGTCGTCAAAGGCGACAAAGAAAGACAGACTGCGATGATGCAGTTCGAAGGTATGCTTTCCTCAATGTGAATCTATTTACTCATCGTGTCCAGTCCTCACGAAAGCTGTGGAGACGACGTCGATTCGTGAAACTCAGCGGATTGTCTACCAACTGCGTGTTGAAAAGCGCCAGCTCGAACTCCAAGAAGCGCGCAAAGTCGCCAGTCGACGTAGTGGTGCCCGTGGAAAGGTTGCACGACAGGAAGAGATCACAGCAGAGGAGAATCTTAAAAAGGCTGAGGAACTGTAAGTGTTTTCTTTCACAACAGTGTTTCGACACGAATGACCGCAGGCTTGCACATATCGACGAGGCTGAAATCGAATCCGATATCGTAAATCAAGCATTGGAAATGTTACAGCAAGTGCAATTGACCTTGGATTTGCTGGAGACAGAGTCTACTGAAGCACGGGCCGCAATGATACTGGCTGGGCTAGGATTCTCCCAAGAGATGATGCAAGGCCCTTATACATCACTTTCCGGAGGTTGGAGGTCCCGCTGCTCACTTGCAACTTCTCTCCTAGTTCAGAGCGACGTTCTTTTACTGGATGAACCGTCCAATTTCTTGGTGTGTTCCAGCTGCTTCGACAGATGTTTATGTCTGATTCCATTCGCAGGATCTCGAGGCTATCATCTGGCTTGAAGGCTTCTTAAGCTCCCAATCGCGCACGCTCGTTCTCATATCGCACGACCAAGCGTTTCTCAACAACGTCGTTGAGGAGACAATTATTTTGCGAAATAATAAATTGGAGTACTTCGAGGGTACCCCGGCCGCCTTTGAGGTTGCTGAGAGGAAGAAAGCGAAACATCTTACGGGGATGCAAGAGGCCCAAGATCGAAAGCGAGAACATGTAAGTTTATTTGGCATGCCTGTTGGTATTCAAGTCCTAATGGTTTATAGATCGAGAAATCCATACAACAGGGAATATCCAGCGCAAAGAAAACGGGCGATGAAAATCGTCAGAAGATGGTCAAATCTCGACAGAAAAAGTGAGCCTGCTGCTTCCATAGAATGCGAAACTGAGTCGCAACCAGACTGGACGAACGTTGGGGCATGGAACGAAGCGCCAAAGGAACGAGGTTCAAGCTTCAGCGCGACATGGCCGAGGTCGGATATAGTCTGACGAATCGACTGGAGATCGAAAAGCCGACATACGAGCCGCCGGTCAAAATCAAGATAGAAAATCCGGAGAAGCTCAGGACAATTGGCGATCTATTGCATTTCGATGCTGTCGAGTTTCAATTCCCAAGAGCGAAGAAACCGTTTCTGGAGGGTATAACATTCACCGTGAATCAAGGCGGACGATGTGCTTTTGTTGGTGCCGTATGTTCCTCTCCCATAGTGTTTCTTTTCTTGCAATGCTCAATATGCAATCAATGCAGAATGGACAAGGCAAATCGACGATCGCGAAACTCATCATGGGAAAGCTCCAACCAACGAAGGGAACCATTACGCGTCACCCTCTGCTCAAAATTGGATACTTCTCGCAGCATTCAGTAGAAGAGCTCTCAACACCACAAACCTTTAATAGCCTGGGACCAGTAACAGCGTTGTCATATTTCATGCGGCATTTCGAGGACAAGGGCGAAAAGGTTATTGAGCAAGATGCGCGAAGATGCTTAGGCTCTTTTGGCTTGCAAGGCAAGGTCGCGAGTGATACGCCATTGGTGCAGCTTTCGGGTGGACAAAAGGTCTGGAGTCGATCTTTCCAGTTAGGCTCGTTGATCAATTATACTGCAGGTTCGTTTGGCGCTGGCGTTGATCGTTTTCATTCCACCTCCGCTATTGCTTCTTGACGAGGTCACGACACACGTCGACTTCCCAACCATTCGGGCACTGGCGCAAGCATTGAAGGTGTTCACTGGAGCCATCATCATTATCACACACGACCGGTATGTTTGAGCATCAACATCACAATCCGAAACTAAACTTGGTCGTAATTAGATGGTTCAGTCGTGTCATCATTGAGCGAGAATCGCTGCGGCATGCAGAACCGGAGGATAGTGAAGGCGAAGATGATCCGAGCTCAAGTGAAGAGGAGGACGACGTTTCAGTAAAACAGTCGTTTCCGGGGAAAACGTATCGCGTGGGCGGCGGAAAGCTGAAAGAAATGGAAAGGGGGATGGCGCAGTATGTGGCCCTCGTTGAGCGGAAGTTGGCCAGACAGAAGAACATGAAGACCTAGAGATCGTTGGTTGATGCGTTGCGTGTTGGGTAGGCCAAGACTGGCTTGCGCTCCGCGACAAGCTCGGTCAGCGGTTGTTACCACTACCAACGCGGGTTTTGATTCCGTCAAATGAGTGTTCTCCTCAAAGTCGACAGGTGACAAGACTGCGATCTTGACGGATAAAATTTCCTTTCATGGGCGAAGACGTTCTTTGACGTTCCCACACACATCTAGAAGCATTCTCCGTGCTTCCGTTGTGCACTCAAATTGCACATCCAGATCGGTTTCATACAAGAGCGACCAGGGTGTACCCTTTGAGTTGCCTTTGAGCCGTACTCGGTTTCCCCCGCCCATCACAACCAGGAACGTTTGGTTGTGGCTTGCGCAGCCTCTGTTTCTCTCTTCTATGTATCAGTCCGAATCCACTGTGTTCGGGTCCGGCGGGAGGCTTTTTTCCGTTGTCGACGTCGAGTTCAACATAGCCATCGGTTGTCATCAGATCGGCGCCGACTTGTTATCATCGATTCTTGCATATCGAGGACGAAACGGAGCGAGTCGGAGTAGCGATGATGCGGGGGCTCACCGAGCAGGATTGCTAAAATGTTCAAGTTGGGCTAATGCCAGCGAGACCGGCTGGATGGTAGACTTCTTCGACGCATGCCAACGTGTTTCTTTCGCTCACCCAGACCGAGCGATCTGCACAGAGACTTGTCACTTAATTCAGGAGGGATGCAGCGGCAGGCAGCGGCCTATAGCGGCGCTCAGAAAAAGGCTTGGCCTTGCCCACCAAATGGCTGCCACATGGCTTGGCTCGATGGACATCAACCCATCAGTACGGACCATCACATGTCCCGCGCAACGGCATACGTTATAAAAGGCAAGGGATGACAGGCCGCCAAGTCAGGTTGATTCTCGCTCCCCTTCCCTCCTCACTCGGCTCTCTTTTTTTCTGCCTTTCAGACAACTGGTTGTCGTATTCTTTTTTTCTTCTCTTTCTTGCGCACAACCACCTCCTCTTTAAACTACGAATCATGAAGTTCTCCGCTACCTTTGTCGCTCTTTCTATCCGTGCGTAGATTTCGCTTAATCCGCTATCACGATCTCACCACTACGATAGTCGCGGTTAGCGTTTCTGCTGCCCCGCAAATGACCCGCCGCGCAACTGTGGCTGAACTTGCTGCGACCCAGCAAGGGAAGAAGGTCGTATTCACACCTTGTGCCTCCGACTCCGAGTGCCAGCAGGGCTGCTGTGGATTCAGCAGTGGGAAATGCGCTGGACCAGCGGTTGCTCAAACCAACGGATCCGGCGGATGCGGCCGCGGTACTGCTGTCGCCAACTGCAATGTCGCAACTCTCCTCGGCTTCCCGGGAACTTGCATTGCTGGATTCAAGAACACCGACACCAACGACCCGCAAGTCCAGGCTGCGACCGCCTTCTCTGCCCAACTTAACAGCATCCCCTTCACACCCTCCGTCGCTGCCCCAGGTGTGTTTCTTCGTGTTAACACCGTCATATCTTATCTTATCTTATCTTAGCTGCCCCCCCACCACCACCACCAGCTGCCAACAATGCAGCTGCACCCGCCCCCGCCGCTGGCGGAGCTTCAGTCGCTGAACTTGCCGCTTCCCAACAGAGCAAGAAGACCGTCTTCGAGGCGTGTGGTGCTGATTCGGAGTGCCAACAAGGTTGCTGCGGCTTCAACAGCGGTAAATGCGCTGGCCCCGCTGTCGCCCAGACCAATGGTTCTGGCGGATGTGGCCGTGGCACTGCTGCCCCCAACTGCAACGTCGCCACTCTTCTTGGCTTCCCAGGAACTTGCATTTCTGGCTTCAAGAACACCGACACCAACGACCGCACCGTCCAGGCTGCGACCGCGTTCTCAGCACAGTTGAACAGCATCAAATTCACCCCGACCGTTGGCGGTGGCGCTGCTGCTGGTAAGCCTCTTTCTTACCATTAGTGTCATAATACTCATAATAACCTTTAGCGCCCCCACCACCCGCTGGTAACAACGCCGCTGCCCCTCCCGCTGCTGCCGGCCCCAAGAAGTCCGTTGCTGAGCTCGCTGCCTCGCAACAAGGCAAGAAGACCGTCTTCATCGAGTGCGCCTCCGACTCCGAGTGCCAGCAAGGATGCTGCGGCTTCAACAGCGGCAAATGCGCTGGCCCCGCTGTCGCGCAAACCAACGGCTCTGGTGGATGTGGCCGTGGCACCGCTGCCCCCAACTGCAACGTCGCCACCCTCCTCGGCTTCCCGGGCACCTGCATTGCCGGCGCGCGCAATGGCGACCTCAAGGACCCCCTGGTCCAGGCTGCCACCGCCTTCTCCGCCCAGCTCAACAGCATTGGGTTTACCCCCGCGTAAATGATAGATACCCACCTCGTGTAGCGTCCATGATTGTATTTTTTCTTGGGAGAACTGCGTGGATTGACCACAAAAATAATATCAATGAACAGGCAATCAAGGGATGGATGAGCCCGAGTAAACTTGTCGCAGGACAGGCAGTTAAAAGAGACGTCTCCGAAGAGACCAGGGAAGCTTCATACTAATAGGACAGAGCGGCCGTGGTGCAGAGACCCGGGCCCGAGGTATCTTGTGACAAGTAACGGTCACTTCGAACCAACTGAGCATTCTGGGCCACATATGCCGCACAAACAGCAGCAAATTTCCGACCCGATTTAGCTGGAAAAGTGGTATTGGTCGCACCTTGTGAGTTGCAGTACCTGGAACTTCAAGTTTATCTTCCTTCTTAAACGGAGTCATATGAGATAGTCATGGCCACCTCCACTGTGACCGAGCTCGACGTAGCTGCACTTTCTGGGCCCGAGCTGGCATTGCTCCTTCCGACGCTCCCTCTGGAAGCAGAATACCCACAACGACCCGGGCCAAACAACAGCACGTCCGCTCACATACTCGAGCTTCTCAAACGGGAAAATAATCCCGCCTTTCACGGTCCGCTGTCCACTGCGATACTCACCACAATATCGACTTTGCCGCTGGCAACTGCCACAGACGCGGAAATTGACCGAGTGGCGTTTCTTCTCTTCGAAGTGATAATGTCCCTCCCGCGCTCCGACATCGAATACTTTCGTTCCGCCTTGACGCATCTCACCACGTCCCCGTTGGGCAGGCTGGACTGGGTCAATTCTGGGTCGAACGACGTTCTCCGATATCTCGACGCCTCAGAGCCGTACACTCCAACACACAAGACGGACAACATGAGCATACGAAGCATACAAGAAGGCGTGCATAGCTCTGAGGAAATGCGGCCCTTCCTCGCCCACATGGTATTCTGGATGACGACCTCCGGCGGGTATTGGCTGGTTAACCACGGTGCCCCATCACAGCTCGCGCGATTTCCGGCACTTGCTGTTGACGGTATTCTTTATCACTTGCATGAGCTAGCTGAAGAGGGCGAGAATATTGAGGTACACTGGGCTGTCAAGTCTTTGCTCTTTGTCTTGCGAGAGGTTCCATCGCATCTACGCGAGCCATTGAGGCCCGCTATTGAACGCATCGCGCATTTTCCTGTTGATGATGATGACCTCAACGACGATGACGATTGGGACTGGCGTAATTCATCTCCCCAGGTCGCATTGCGCCTACTGATGGAGATGGACTATTGGGTCTCCATCCCCTCCAGAGTGCGTTATATATCGGTTCTGTCGGGAAAATGGTTGATATCGACTAATAGATGCGGTCACGACCATCAAAGTAGTGGCAGACCTCACTGGACGACATCCACAAGAATTCTCAATAGTAGCAGATTTTATTCCAAAACTATGCAGTCTATCCTAAGTTGTACAGTCTTTGATTCTGTCTACAGTTTACTTATGCAATATAGCCAGAAAATTCACTGTAGAATGGGCCCCTCTGGTTAAGCCTTAGACTCTTAGTTTTGCAGGATTTTTTTTACCCTCTTACAACTATCCAGCTGGCCCAAATTCTCCCACCTCAATCTGTATCCCTCGTTTGCGCAGTCGATCAAGCGGTGCCAACATCTCATCATTCACTTTGGGCAAATATGGATATGGACGCCCAGAAATGACGCGAATCGTCTCTACAGAAGAGTTTAGGCCGGCAGTGGAGACGCGTCTTTCTAGTTGCTCGCCGACAGCCGCCACGAATGACGGGAATTTGGCAGCAGGGCAGTCGTACAACGCCAAGCTGCGGAGGTAGGGGAGGAACTTGGGTGTCTCCAGTGCCTCGGGTTGGAGGAGCGCGATGGTAAGGGATGTGGACGGATGGGAGATAGATAGTGTTGAGATGGGAAGCACGCCAAATGTCATAGAGAGGTGAATCGAGACGGTGGAATCATGGTCGGAGGCCAGGGGGCGGATAGTGAGGTGTTGGAGGGGACAGAGCGACCGTTCGAAAAAGTGGTCAAGCACATCGTCTAGTCCGTGAACCACATCCACCAGCTCGAGGCTATCCAACATAGGGAAGGAGGCGAATCGCAGAAGCTGTATGGCGTTTCCCCCGATGAGAGTCAGCCGTGTGAGCGAATCGAGGGTGAGTGGCTGGAGGAAAAAGTTGCCGAGGGGAGTAGGGGCGTGGGCTGCTGAGCCGTTTGGGTCGAATATCAGATCGCGAAGAATGCAGGATTTTAGTCTGGTTGTTTCCTGGAGAGTATGCAAGCACTGGACCAAGGCAACGTCTTCAGCGACAAAATCGAACACATTCTGCCAGCCTGCCTCGAGATTTAACTCCGTAGGCGGGAGACTAGATAGCGACACCCGCGAAAGCTTGGGAGCTGCAGGAGGTTGGAATATGTCGATGGATGGAACATCCCAGTTTTCTCCGGTGCGGATGAAAGTAAGTTCTTCCAAGGCAGAAAACCCCAAGTCTGGGAATCTGTTGAGGATGAGACTGTTGAATCCAGTGGCGAAGGCGCCTGGCATTTTCACTGTCCAGGTCCGCATTTGAGGCGAGCACCGTTTCAGCGCAGTTATGAAGCCCACCATCTTTGCGATGTCAATGACAGGAGATAGAACGGTCAGTTCCAGGTCTAATACACAATGTGCCGCTCGTTCGACAAACGTCTCTAGAAACTCCACCACATCGCGATCGTTTGCATGACGGTCCCATAGAAGGGATACTGTGGACCATAGTAAAGGAGTCTCCATAGCAACGGCCCTCCATGATGAACACACTCTGACCAGAGTTAGCGGAGCGGTCTTTGGGAATGCGAGTGCACAATGACAGAAGATCTCAGTTGTGATTTCTGTTGGCAAAGAAAGAACTGGATAGACGGCCTCGGCACGCAGCACGTCCAGTCTTCGCCGAAGCCCTTGCAAGCGTTGTTCTCCACGAAGTATTTCCTTCTCGAGCGCATCGATTTGAGCGCGTCTGGTTGACATGACGGTCGAGATCAGGAGAAATACGGTCACGTGTGATCGATCATATGCATAAAAATACACACATGAACTCTACTTCGGGATTGGCACCTCCATAAGCATCTTTCCATCCACATCCAGCGCAATGAGCAGTCTGCTGACAAGCGCATAGCTGCCCGCCACCGCCACCGCCTCGAGCATCTGCTGCGCGCTGAGGTATTTCGCAAGATTGTGATAGACGGCGGTCGGCACATAGATCGTCGTGGCAATCGCGTCTGCTAACTCGAAAGCTGCGGCCAGCTCATTTCCAAGGACCTTCCGTTCAGTACCGGTCAAAAAGTTCTCGGGGGCAAAACGAATGACACGGAGTTGGTCGGTCGATAGGCCTTCGGAGCGGCCAACAGATTCATGCTGGATCCTGACAAGCAAATATAAGGTTACAACACGAGTTATGGAATAATATAGCCGCTGACCATATGTATGCGGTTCTGGTGAGAACCGCGGTCCGCAAAAGCTGAACAAAAGATATCAATTTTTGCCACGAATCCTGCTTTCGAGTCGGAAACATACGATGAGCTCACGCATATTGCCAGGAATCGCTATTTGAAAAGTTGAGAAGTGTTCCGAGAAGAGTTGATAAAGAGTGCATACTGTTGTTATCACGAATAACGGTGAAGAAGTCATTCCAGACGTCAGCCAGCACAGGCGAATTCAGCAGGACACCATCCAGAGCAAGCAAGGTATTGTTCGGGCGGCGCTTCCTCAGAGCATCGGCAATAGCGCTCTCCCCTGGTGGGGGGAGGACATAGGGAATACGGGCGGGGTCGAAGGAGTCGCGGCGCTGCAATTCGTTCAAGTTGTCGAAGTGGATGCTCGTGGCTTGGGCAACTTTGAAGAGAAAGGCAATGACAGTGACCAGAAAAAGAGTCGCAATGTTGTTCAGGCGTGCCATTCTGGGGGGCTTTCGAAGGCACGGATAGAGCTACGGTGTTATCAGTTGGCCCTTTATACGCCTCTGCTCTGACCAGACAAGACGCGCGCATATGGCAAACAGCTCATCAGAAGTCTAAGGCGATGCCGACTCGCACACGTTGATAGGCCCTCGAGCGCTGGAATTCAACTTCAGGAGATCTTTCCCAGTTGACATTGCTTGAAGTTTGAACCGTTTCGAGTTGACCGACAGGTAGTGGATAAGTTATAGTGGATGTAACTTGAAGCGGGATGTCAGAGCATGTAGAGTACGATATAGTTGGTTTCAGATTCCGTGCGGGGCTTGTCGGTCGAGATGAGCAGAGAGCAGTCTGCTAGTGATAAGTGTGTCACTATCGCAGAGCCTGAGAGAAATACTGAGAAATAGCTCACCGTAGCGCCGTTGAATGGTGATTTCGCCCTGTGGTACTTGAATGGTCCGCAATTGGAAGCACATTTGTCTGTCTGCCGCCCAAAATCAGTGTTGTGATCCTCTGAAAGACAAACATGTGGCTTCAAGTTTTCGGACTCTGTTGGAGTCGGAAGATGAAGGGACGCGGAGTCGTTTGGAAATTTTGAAGTTCGCAGTCCAGACAGAGTGTGGTTCAGGATGGCTGGTCACAGGTTGATCAAGACCCATGTGATCAGACGCGTCCGTCGTCACACGACGTGACCAGTGCTTGGACTCAACCGCAACACGCTTTGACTGCGTATAACTATTTAAACGGGGTGAGCAGCGCTTTGTTGCACTATCTCTACTCTCTAACCATCATGTCTACCCAGAGCGCGCAATCCGCACAAACACCCCCTCCCCAGTCCCAGGCCTCCGTTGTTCTTGACAATCCGGGTGGCACTGCCCAATCTCATCCCCCTCCCCCTCCTCAACCGACTCCGCGTAAGTCGAAACCTGGAAGCAACCTGGTTAGCCACGCCAACTACAAAGAAGACACCAAGCAGGACAACAAACAAAATCGCAGCATTTGGTTTAAGATGGCAGAAAATGGCTTTGCGGGCATGCTGGAACCGATGGAACTACTTGAAGACTACATGCTCACCGCGGAATCGACCAATGCAGAGACGAAGGCAGTCACCGCTATGGTTAATCAAGCCCGACGCCGCCTCAACGCTGCGATTGATGTCTACAACGGGCGTGATACCAGCAACCCCAGGAGGAACAACGAGAAGCTTATGATTCCGTCTTTCGTGCGTTATCCAGGTTCAGTTGACATTGAACTCGTTCTTATTCCTATGGACAGATAAAATATCTCGAGGCTTTGGTTGAGAAGTTTCCCGAGGACATTAGGCCTCTCATCATCGACTCTCAGTACCGAAACATTCCGCCTCTCGATGAGAACGACCACGACATCAAACCCGACGTGCTCTCGACTTACCCGGGCGTGTCACCCCCTGAGCCAGGGAAACCCTGCACGTGGCCCGCAATCGGTACCGACTTCGAGTTCAAAGACAATCTTGACATATTCGACGATGCCACCGGGGAAATTCGCAAACTCAAGCCCAGAAAGCGGGAAGATAATGTCAAAATCCAGAAGGTCGAAGAGGCCCTCGTGCAGATCGTCAAGAGCGGTCGCAGCTTACTGATGAGCTCGGGCCGCTGCTATTCATGGGTTATAGCGATGTACAAGCACGACATGGCGCGCATATTCTGCTTCGACCGCACTGGATTCGTTGTCTCGAAGGGCTTCGAATGGTTGGTCCAAGAAAATCAGCACATTATCCCCACTTTCATGTACCGACTCTATCACCCAGCTGGCCATCCTGGTCGCGTCGACGGGGACGACTTCACTATTTCGCGGCCCCTCAAAGACAACACTCTCAAATCACGTATCTACGAAGCGCTTTGCCGCAACTCCTTTTATGCCAAAATGTTTCCGACTTGCGCGAGCGCCACCGATACCACCATCAGTCTCAAAGCTTCCCGCCGAGACGCTGACGGTCTTTCACAACTCATCACCTGTTATACCATCGGAGATATCCTCTCGGTCTCCGACGGGCTTTTCGGTCGAGCCACGCGTGTCTATCGCGTTATTTTAGCAGAGGATTTAGACGAAGAAAATCCGCAAATCTACGCTTTGAAGGACGCCTGGAGAGAGGCTTGTCGTCGTCCCGAAGTCGACTACTACGACTTGATTGCCAAGTGCTCCATAGGCAAGGAAGACGCTGATGGCATGGCCACCTGCCATGGGAGTGTCGATTTGGGAGCACCCGACTGCGACATTGACGCGGAGGGCAGCATTCAGCGCACTCGCATCGTCCCTCACCCTCTGAAGGCAGACGTTAACTGCCGTATTCATGTCCGGTCCCTGATAACGCCGGTCGGCCGGCCTTTACGCGAGTTCCCTTCGACTGAAGCGCTGTGTTGGGCACTGTACCGAGTTGTCCAGCGTATGTTTTTCCGTCTCATTCTGAATTCTCTTTGTCTAACGATCTGTACAGACCACTTTCTTGCATTCCAAGCTGGCGTTCTCCATCGTGATATTAGCGAAGGCAATGTCATGTTCGTGGAGGACACTCCCGAGGGTCAGATGCCTCAAGGGTTCTTACTCGACTGGGACTATGCCGAGTTCACGGAAGAAGGCGCGGAGAGGTTCAATGAGATGTTTGAGGGTCGCAAGCATGTCATCTTGGAAGACGTGGAAAAGGCCTTGAAGGACATGACGGTAAGTGTCTCTTTCCCTTATCTTATGGAGCTGACATCCTCCAGGGTACTCGTCCATTCATGGCCATCGAGCTCATCAATGCCGCTGTCAAACACGCTGCATATCACGACCTAGAGTCAGTGTACTGGCTTTTGATCTGGATGGTCCTCCGTCACACGGCACACAGTGCCCCTGTCGGCGCGCTAGCCTGCGGCCGGCTTTTTTGACCCACATGGTGCGCAGGCAAAGCAGGGCCATCTCCAAAATGATGTTCCCGCCGACAAACAGAACCGCGCTCTTTACATGCTTTCCGCGAATCTCTGGCGCTTGGTTGGTGACCAAAACCCCAAGATTGTTATGGAGAGGGAGTACTTAGTCGACGATGCCGTGCCCATTGCGCCGCGCAAAATGGACCACCCACGTGTCTTGTGGATTTTCCAGAAATGTGTTGCTGATCAGTGTTGGCCACCCAGCGGAAGCGACCCCGCCATTCCTTTCGTGCTGCCTTCAAAGGACGACGAGGCCAAAACTATCAACGGCACTGATCGTTCCACTTTCAAATCGACGGGGAAACGGACACTCCCCGACCACGAACAGGGTGAGGAAACACCGAGCAAAAGGTTGAAGCCTCACATAGAGGCGAGCGAGAGTGCTGGTGCTAGCGCTTCTCGTCCCAAGACCCGTGGTCAATCTCGCGCAGCCACGGGCAAAGGGCAAGCGGCTGATTCCAAGCAGTCTGGCCAGAGTCGCGGCGGGAAAGGAAGTCGTAGATAGGATCATTATTGTATCTCACGAGTTCTATTAGATTCCTTTCGCGTCAGTTAGATCAGATCAAAACAAAAGATACCGCAAGCCTCACTCAGTAAAGCTGACCAGGAAGACCCCAAACCCAGGGTCGGACAAAGTTTGCTACATGGATAATTATAAGTAGTTGATACAGTGTGTGTAGAGAGCAAATGCAAAACAAAATGTTATCGTCTGCCTTCAAGCCTTTTCTCATCTTCTTAAGCCCATATCCCCGCCTGCCGACGAATCAGTCGCTGTTCGGCCGACAGCACAGGCTTCTGCAGCTTCCTGCCAAAAACGAGCCCGTGTCTACGCTCCCGCATGACATCGATACCGCCGTACGAAGAGCGCCTCTGCGAAGCTGGGAGTGCCCGGGGCGGGGAGGGGAAGTCGCAAAGGAGCACGTTATAATCTTCTTCGTCTGAGTAATATTCCATTCGAGACCGCCGCCAGCCAGCCTCTACTGGGAATTTGCGTTTGCCTATGGCACAGGGCACCTCCTCGTCAGAATAATATTCGATGCAAGACTGCCGTGTTAGAGGCACAACTGGAAATTCGCGCTTGCCAATGGGCGGGACAGGGAACTGTGCGCAGAGGGAATTCAAGTCTGATGAAACACGTGATTTAGGACGAGCAAGCCCGGAGAACACTGGACTTGGTGTTGACGGCGGGGCTGAGTGCAAAGCAGACGAATCGCTTCTGGTGTCGAGTTCGGAAGAATATCCCGTGGAGAATGAGCGAACAGCACTGGGAGGGTCCGACGCGACCGCCCATGTTAACGAGGCAGAGCCAAGGTTTGATAGTGGTGGGGGAAACGGCCTCTGGGAGGTCAACAGTGTGGAGAGTTTGTGGGTCATAGGCCAACGAGAAAGTGTCAATTTTAGCGATTTCCGCACGCATTTGCTGGAGGGTGGGCCGCGAAGAAGGCTCCTCGCGGAAGCACCAGTTCAGGAAACGGGCCGCCTCAGGTGTGATTTCGAGGGCATGCTCAAGGAAGGAATCTGAGCTGCGAAAAGCGGAGTATCGTGGGTCGGCGGCAGAGGCAACATCCCATGGGTGGTGACCGGATATGAGGTTGGCAAGCACCATGGCCACGGCCCAGAGGTCACTGTGTGGCGACGAGTAGGTGGTTTCGCCCCAAGAGGGGCAAAGTGACTCTGAAAGAGAAAAGTTGGTCAACGTCCACGACTGGTCACTGGTAAGATTTCTCACCTGGTGAAAGATAGAGACGAGTCCCACAGCCAAACTCGCTGCTGCGAGGCTCCTGGGTTGCAAGACCAAAGTCGGTCAGCCGGATGTTCAGCCCGTCCTCGTCGCAAAGGATATTCTCAACCTTGATGTCGCGGTGGAATACGCTGTTGAGATGCATTATCTCAACCGCATCAAGGAGCTGGTCCATTACTTGTTTGACGAGCGCGGGGTTCTCAACAAACAGTTGGCAGTGGATCATCGCATCGTACATGTCGCCGCCTGAAACATAGTCGAGCACCATGAACAGATGCTCGTCCGAGGTAAAGCACCCATGGAGTGTGACGATACGGGGGTGGTCAGAGACTGTTACGTGCGTCTCGAGCTCTTTCAATTGCATTTCCTCGCCCTTGGAGTCGGGCTCGAATACAGGCATGCATTTGACCGCATAATAAATCGGGTTGTCAGCGGGAGAGTCAGTGTCTCGCGCCTTGTAAACTTTGCCGAAGGCCCCGCAGCCAATGACAGAGAGCAGCTCAAGCGAGTCCTCGCCGACAAGTTGGCCAGTGAGGTCCGGAAGGGTGCTCGAGACAACGGAGGAAGGCATCGTAATAAAGTTCGTAAATTCGTGAAAAATAGGTGGATAGACGAAGAGCAAGAACAAATAGTCGAAGAGCGCAGGTTAATGGTTGTGGTGCGAAGTCAAGAGTAGGGAGGAGCTGTGGAGCGGTGGTCGGACTCATATTAGTAGGTCACAATTTGCTTCCACCCAAGTAAGACATTCGAGGCCGGAGTCAGAAAATGGAGGATGTCCGAAGTCTGGGCCGCAGGTCGCGGTCGGTCTGGACCCGCGGAAGGTTCAGGCGAGCGAAACTCATGTACCAGGATATTGTGGCGATAGGAAAGGAAAGGAGTCAAGAAAAAGAATCCAGGTCACGCTAGTCACAACACCTGCAATCGATGATCGTCGTATACGAATAATCCCAACTCCTCATCTTTATGTAGCACAACATTATCATTATGCCTGCTACTCCATCAATCCAAAAAGACTGACAACCGCTACCGGCGGCGGACCACCTTCCCGACGGGCTGTTTGTCCACAGTAGGCAATTGTGTATTTTGAAGGATGCCAGGCAACCGTTGGAGCGGGTGCCAATGCTGTTACTCGATGGAGAGCGGCAGCGGTTTCCGTCGCACACTGAATACTGTCAGCACAGGAAGCAAAGGTAAAAAGACTGACAATGTCGATGTAAGAGCCAGCACTAGCGATAGCGAGATACTCGCCGTCATGCGAGAAGCTGACGCCGTTGATGCTGTGTCTTGAGTAGGGTTAGTTTGAGTTGAGCAACGCTTTGAGATGACTCACTCGCACGCAGTAATCGTTCGAGCACATATCCAATCATTGAGATCGAAGAGGTTCACGATGGAGTCGTTACCGCCTGACGCCAAATACCTTGCAAGCTGTTAGAACGCAAAAATGGATACCAGACTCCTCACCGTCCACGGGGGTCAAATGCAACAGCAACACACCCACCAACATGGGCGGCGATACTTTCGCGCAGGACCAAAGACGGGTAATCAACAACGCGAAGTGTGTATTCGCTGTGGTGCGTCAATATTAGCCCGTCGCCAGCGTGATTGAAGAGCGCTGTCGAGCCAATAATGGATTCCTTTTGGGATGGGTGCCATGCATCTTTTGCATCGCTGACCGCGGGGTCCTTTTCGTAAACGAGAAACGAAGTTTGGTGACCCAGAGAAGTGTAGAGAAGAACGCGGCCGTCGGGGGAGTAGCTGGTCTGCACGGGGGACACTTTGAGCGAGCATTGCTGGGTATGCCGACTTTCTTTTATGAGGCTGTCAGAATACATTCCAAAACAATGAGCCACGACATACGACGAGCATCCCAGAAGACAATCCGTCTGTCCTTTTGACTGGATGTGCAGAAAAGGTCCGGGTGGGTTGGGTTCCACGAGACATAGTCGACATCATCTGAGTGAGCACCAGAGAAAAGGCTCGCGCTTTTCTGATCCATGCCCTTCTCCGGAGTCCAAACACGCGTTATTTTGTCTATTCCAACACCGGCCAGCCGTCGCCCATCGCAGCTCCACGCAACGTGAGTTATGGCCTGTTGGCTGTGATAGCGGTAGTCGCGTGGTAGGAAAGCAGAGAATGTTGGTGGCTGGGCGTGTTGCGCGTCAAATCAAAAGTAGTGCCTCGTTGTCGACGGTGCATACATGGATAGCCCGCGTCGCGAATGTCATATGCGGAGGCGGAGGGGGCTCAAGGCCTGAGCTTTGAGTAGCGTCGGAATCATCCATGTCACGGATGTGACACGTGACATACCGCGATTTTATGGACTCCCGTCCAGCATCGCCCGAGCAGACGCCCCAAGATCTCTGGGGCGCAATCCTTGACTCCGTTTCGAGCTCACGGTCAATACCCTCCAAACAAGTACTGCTTCTTGGCCAGCCCTCGACCGGAAAATCGACACTCGCCGCGGGCCTTTTGCAGAAGCCTGTTGGGGATGTCAAGGAGGAGAATCGGATCGATTTCGCGGTTGGATACGACTTTGCAGACGTGAGGGACGAGGCAGACGAGGGTCTGTACAGTCAAAAGGAAGGCGTATGTGTTTCTCAATGGTTGTTTCAGACACTTTGGCGCGACTATCGGTCTACACTGTGCCTTCCTCAGCTGCCACATACACTGCTCTTCTTCCCCATTTCGTCCCACCCCGCACTGCACTCCCTAACACCCTCGTCGTGATTGTACTCGACTGGACACGACCATGGTCCTTCATTGACGAATTGGAGACATGGCTACAATGGGTAGAGCGCTGGACAACTGGTGATGGTGCTCGGGAGCTGGAAATAATACGCGAGGAATGTCGCGAACGATGTAAGAGTTGTTTATTTGTTTTAGTTCTGGCTAACAGCTTCTTTCAGTGCAAGCACATCTCCAACACTACTCCGAACCATCTGTGGACCCCCCAGCAGCCCCCTCATCAGTCTCCACTAGCGCTTTACTACCGTTGGGCCCCGGGACATTAACCCACAATACGGCTGGCGTGCCGATTATCGTTGCCTGCACAAAGGCGGATCTGATTGACGAAAGTGGTGACCCTGTTGGTGGCGCGTCGGGAATGGGAGGGATGGTTCGTGGAAAAGGCGGCGAGTGGGAAGAGCAGACAGACAGCATCATGCAGGTCTTGAGAACGATATGTCTCAAATGTATGTTGTCGTCTTTTCTCTTTCTTTTTCTGCTTATTGTTCCTTGAAAGACGGTGCAGGATTATTTTATACCACGCAGCAGCCCGCCACGTTACAAGTTCTTCGACAATATGCCCTTCACATGCTCTTCATACCCCCTGCACCGTCACCAGCCGTCGCTTCAGGTGCGGAAGCACCAGCCCCGGTCAGGAATCCATTCCCATTCACCCACAAACCCAACTATCTGGACCGCGATCACATCGTAATACCTGCTGGATGGGACAGTTGGGGCAAGATAACTGTGATGCGAGAAGAGTTTGAAGCTAGGTCGTGGAGCGATGCTTGGGAGCGGGATTTGGAGTCGGAGGAAGGAACTGATGGTGCAAAAGCGCTGTTTAGTGCGCTTGTACCAGACCAAGGCACCAAAGTAATGTCCGCGTTTTATTGGGATGATCTCAAAGTAACTCCATTTTGCAGCCGCCGCCCCTTCCTCAGCTCAGCAGTCCAATGCCAGAACAACTTTTCCTGGCAAAGAACTACGACGAGAACGCGAAAAAGCCGGACCGCGATCCGCGCGGGGCATTCCGGGATCCCGCCGACGCTGCAAGAAATGCTGCTGGGTTGGTGGGCCCCATGGGCATGCAAAGCTACGACCTGCCCACCGTTGCGTCTGTACTCTCGGAAATGGAAAACGGTGTTGGCGCCGCGGGTGCTGCCCCCGCTCCCGCAAGAGCTCCCCCAGCCCGCCGACCGGGTGGTTTGGCAGCATCGACAACTTCGCCAAGGCAGGGAGGAAATGCCCCTGTACCGAGTCCAACAACGGCCAATGGGACGACACAGCATGAGGTGTTGCAGAACTTCTTCCAGAGCTTGCTGAGCAACAAGGACCGCGGAGGGAAGTCTGCGCCGCCGAGGACGAATGGGACTGGGGAGGAAGGGGGAACGTGAAATTGGTATATTATATGTTCTTTACACAGAATATCAGGAAGCCGAGATAATCAACGCCTTGCTTTGGTCAACTTTGAAACTGTAAGAGAGATCCTTCCAGGCAGATGAATACATCATTGGAAACACTTCCTCACGGAACACATTACTTGAATGTCGAGGGCGATAGATTGGGAGCTCGAAAGTGCTAACTAACTTGCCAGGGCGGTCTAAGTTTAAATTGTCAAATTAGCAATGCTATTTCGGACAATCTCGGCAGGATTAGAATGCCCACAATCATCCGCTGGTATGGCAATTGCGCTGGGGTGGACTTGAAAATTACTTGCTGGTGGCTGTAGAGTCAAGGTAATCGTCGAAATATATTCTCCAATGTCACGGTGACATTTCTGATTCCGAACCACGACCAACGTTAACTTGGACTTACCGACTCGAGCTTGTAGACTAGAATGTGCATGCGGGTCATACTTCAGGCAAACTAGGCAAACGATGTCAAACAAGGTCGGTCCTGCGATTGACATGACAGAGAATATTTTTGACGGTTTGTCAGACAGTCTCTCTTCTGAAGTTCTGAACGTAAAGCATCCTGCTGGAAACCTACTGCCAATCCTCTCCTCTCCAAAAGCGGCTTCTGACTCGAGCCTCGCCTCCCGGCTCACTGCGAGCTGAGCGTCTCAGCATCGTCACTGTCGTCCCGTTTAAATTTGCGGCGGTCAGCCAGGGCAAACTATCATCGCGGTGGCATTATTCAATGGTGCCTGTCGGAAGGGCGATCTGGAAGCAGAGTTCCTTCAATTGCAGCTTACGCGATGTCGAGCGCTATAAAGGCTGGCCTCATCACCTTCAATCCCTTCCTCAGCCAACATGCTCTCGACTTCCTTGATTCTTACACTCGGTGCTTCGGCTGTGCGTGCTGCAACTAACTCGATATTTTCTTTGGCTCACTAACATTTGTAGATGGCCGCAACGGTCCAGCGAGATCTAGCGGTATGGACACTGCAGGGCTGCTACACAGACATAAGCACATCGCGGACCCTCGCCGGAGCGTCTACCGCCGGCGCTAATATGACGGTCGAAGCGTGCCAGGCGTTTTGCTCCAGCGGTGGGTATAATCTTGCGGGGGTAGAGTATGGCTCAGAATGCTGTTCGTTACCTATTTCTCGCTTGGTTTTTTTGTTTGATATCTGGACAGATTGCGACCATGCACTGCAAGCACCTAGTACCATCGCGAGTGCCGCGAGTTGCAATATGCCGTGCAGCGGAAACAAGGCGGAAGTTTGTGGAGCAGGCAACTTTATCAATGTTTATTGGAACGGACAGCCATTCCCGGTTGCCCCTCCATTAGTGGGGACGTGGGGGCTCCAGGGATGCTTTGCGGACAATGTCAATTCGCGAGCTTTACCGCACCAGCAGATCATTTCTGGGATGACCATTGAGAAATGCACTGCAGCATGCAAAAGCAAACGGCTACAACGTCGCCGGACTAGAGTTTGGTCAAGAATGCTGTGCGTGTTCCTTACTTGAATATGGCATTTGTTAACTCGGCTCGTAGGGTGCAACTCCCAGCTTCCTTCGACAGCACAGCTAAATAGTAATGCATGCCAAACAGCATGTTTAGGAAATTCCCTTGAGTTCTGCGGCGGCTCCAGCAAACTCAGCGTCTATGTCGACTCGTCATCGACGCAGACATGTCTTACCTCGACCCAAGCAGCACCCTTCAACCTGCAAGCCAACTTCGTAAATCCCCCTACTAGTGGCCCTTCCTCCCTCCCCTGTCCGCATCCTCATGGTCAACACCGTACCGAAGACAAGCTGGGACATTCTCAGCGCAGGCGGCGGTACATTCACTTCTGAAGTTCTCACCAATGGCGGCATCCTCGGCTCGCTCACTGGCCAGCCCCAGCTCCTCGCCGCATCGATCGCCGTGATTCCGGGAGACTCACCGACCTTCGTTACCCAACAATTCCTCCCTACGTCTCCCGCCGCGTACTGCATCATGCCGAATCCGTTCCTCGGGCCGACCGGGCCGAATGTGCTCGGCGTTAACGGCCGTAGCGACCAGTGGGCGCTGTGCGCCAACAGCTCGGCGTCCGGGAGGATGGACTTGGTGTTCAGCCCGCTCCCGACCCACCCGCACTATAACCAGTCGAGCTGCCAGTCGGTGTACTTGACCTTGATGGTGGACCTGAGATAACTTGCTGTGGTTGTTGCAAAATGGTCGAACTTTTGACCACCATCTCATACTGAGGGACACGTCTATTTCTCACTAGTATTTCTGCAATCTTAGTAGTGTAAATGTTTTCCAATCTTGAAGTTACATACACTGACATAAACAAATTTACAAACATCAACAGGCTCGATGCACTTATTGGTTACAGTTTGTTGAAGGTTGCAATGATCTCTGGACTTCGAATCCGAAGACAACTTCTCTAGAGCCAGGGTACTTCAATTGTCATCCGAGCTATCTGATTTAACTTGATTGCTCCTCCGCGATGATACTCACGACATCGCCTTTCATATTGCAACAACGTAATGAAAAGGCCCTTGAACTTTGAAGGCCCACCTATTCTGGCTGTAAACTCTCCACCATCCGCAGAAGTCGCTCGCCAAAAAGCTGTGGCGCAACCGCATGCAAGCGCGTGATCAGCGCCAGCGCCCTCTGGGCGACATACGGCGAGACAAAATGCACCGAAAAGTTTCTTCTCTGAGATGCTTGGGTGTTTTTGTCGGGGCGCGGCTCGAGGCGCAGGACAGCATCGTAGCGCGAATACACGTCCTCAGGCCGGAGGTATCGGGCATCGAATGCGTTGGTTTTTTGCCAGTGGGACAGGACGGCACCGATAGCGCTGTCGAGTGTCAGCTCGTACGACGCGTCGTATTGCTGCATCTGGATCCCCCAAAGCGCACGTGGGACGGGCCCCGCCAGGCGCGCTGTCCGCTCCAGGATGGTCTTGTCGAGCGAGAGTTGGTTGCTGAATGCGATCAACTCTTCGAATCCGTGGTAAACAACAGAAAGGGGCAAAAACTCACCTTACGGCCATGATCTCCCACTCGTCCCATGTCCGCATGAACCACGTCTGGCTGCCGAATCGCTTGCGGAAGTGCCGTTCCCGTTCTTCATACGGTGGAGAAGTCCAGACGATGCATTGTGCCAAAGTTGCAAGTTTTGAGGGCGGCTCCCACTCTTTCGCGTCGTCGATATCGAGAATGACCCAACAGCCTTCAAGCACCTCTTCTGCGGCTTTGCTCTGCGGAGCAAGGGCAGTTGGGCGGGCACCATTGGAGTCGAAGAGGTACGCGGGTTCATGGACGGAGCTGCAGAATATGACGGCCTGGCCGAGGGCAAGTAGACGGAAGAGGAGATAGTATGCGAAGAAGCTCTTGCCTGGCGCGCAAAGCAACAGATGAGCATTTGTGAACAACGGGCACTGAGCGGGAGCTCAGATACTTACCGATTCCCTGATGTCCCGTAACGAAAAAGCTATTCCAGAGTCTCCGTGTTCCCACCGGCGTCTCCGAGCGGACTTGGGCAAATATGTGTCCCGCCAAGAGGAGGTACTCGTCCTGCACCACGAACGGCACCGCCGCACAGTCGTTATTCGCGTGTATGAGGAGCGGGATCTCCAGCTCGCCGATAGCCAGTTCAGGGGCGGCGCGCAGGTCGATGTACCGAACTGGTCTTCCTCCGTCCGCCAAGATAGGGGTTGTTTTGACGAGTTTCGTGAGTTGTGGCGGCTCTATGAGCGGATTGAGGTCAGACGCTGGAGGGTCATTGGATGATTGGGGCCATAATCTTTGGTGGAGGGCGTTGAACGGTGCAGAAAGAAGCATGATCGCATCACGCGTCACTTTCTTTTTCCGCGAATTCAGCTGATTTTATCCTAATTTTGGCCTCACTGATACCTTCCTCAAGCGCTTGAGCGGGCGACACGGCAATTATCCTTACCGCACTGTCATTACAACTTCGAGATCTCCTTCCATGTATAATCGATTGGTCAGCCAGATACTGCGAAATTTCGAGGCGGTGCAGCCTAAACTGGGAGTGAATTCATCGCTGAGACTATAAGAAGCGTGAAATGCCAAGGCTTACAAGGCACCTACAACACTAAAGACAATTGTGTCGCGCACACATGTCCTCCAGCACCAGCACAAAGCTTGGAGACTTGATATTCAACGATCCCGGTACGCCTTGGCCGACTCACATGTCTGCAGAGTCTGAGATAGAGTCAGTACTAGTAAATGCACTTGAATGCCTAGGTTGGATCGACGAGGACTTTATGTCGCTATGGGCCGCTGGTGCTGGCAATAGTCATCAGATCACAGCTCCAGACGACACGAGTGGCCAACGTACCTCCACTGGCAGGTTATCGCCATGGTCAGGCAATGTTAGGCCGTTTGCAACATCTAACATCCCACTCGCTCCTACCATGAGTTATCCCTCCGACAGTACTAGTGCCCGCACAACTCGTGGGTCTTGCCCCGGCTGCGGCAACCCCGCGCCGAAAAGCTGGCGCTGGGGGTGTGTCAGCGCCCGGATGGTCTGCAGTCCCTGCGGCCAATACGAGCACCGCAGAAATACGCGTCGCCCGGCGGAGCTGGAAGCGAAGAAGCTGCTTAGGATGAGCGGAGGAGGGATGCGTTGACACTTGCTGAAACTTCAGAACCGGTAATCAGTCTCTGGAAACTTATAGACCTATCGTTGTCCGTCGATCCGTTCCTTAGTTGTGCAATGAGCCCTTGAGTGAATGTGCATGTTCAATGGTCTTTGGACGATCTTTCGGGTTGGACCTCAAAGGTGATTTGTTTTGTTTTGACTCGCGTTGCGAGTTAACCCCCAGCTGGAGGTGACGACTTGAAGCAGCTGCAGTAAAACGTCTAAGAACCGCCAGTAGGTAGAGCAGCGCGTGAGGAGCCCGGCCGGCGCCGGACCTCTTCCACCCAAACTTTTAGCGGACATGATACATTTACTAGCAAGGTCTAGACTCTACACCGCGTGAGAGAGTCGAGCGACGAGTGCTACGGCGCCACATGTATCTTGAGGGGAGCCAGAAAGGACGGTGGTCACTCGTGGAAGGGAACGGAAAGGAACGAAAACGTTGACGTGACCCGAAGTCACGCATCGAAGTCACGTCAACATGTGAGAGCAACAGTTCGCTTTCACTCGCTGTTGACTCGCTGGGTGCTTACTGTGTGCCCCTATTACATTACTTCGAAGGCCGCGACACTCCAGGAAACAGAGCCAAACGATGCCCAAGCGGCCGTTCACCTAAACCTGAAGTACCTACTAAGTAGTATGGGACCAGGACCTGGGTACGATGGCGCCGGCCATGGCAGAGTTGCCAATGCACTGGCGCTTTTTTGGTCCTGGCTGAAAATCGTCCCGATGTCCATCTGGGTCTGTCTAGGTCGACATACACGCTCCTTCAGATTGTTTGCCAGTGCTTTCAAGTCAACTACGACTTCCGTCGACGCAGAACGGCAAGCTGAGTGGTATCTGGACTCCAAATCGTGTGCCCGATCGGACGGGTGAACAGCTCTAACAACAGAAAACTATGCTAGCAGATTCCAACGCCACTGCTTCGGCGCCGAGTTGAGCACGCCGGACCGGGCCCGCTATGGGTTGGGTGGGCCGGGGAACATTTCTTCATACATGTTACAGGAGCTGCAGCCTTCTAGTGACTGCTTAGTAGAGGGTGCATGCGTGGAAGCAATCGCTGCGTGATCTATGAGTCTGAGCGTCACGAGGATTCGGATTCGAACAGAAACAAAAAAGAGAGGGCGGTGAGATCGATGGGGATGACGGCGACATTGACGGTTGTGAGGACAGGACACGTTGCGGTCTTGCATCGATGGGGGGTGCCAGTGTAGGTGCATATTGTGTGGCCGTGGGGAGTGCGGTATCCGAAGTTTATCATCCTTTGTACCTTACTTGTATTTTATTTTAGTCTTTGAGCGCTTGCTTTATCCGAAGAGGCGTCCGAAAAGAGGTTGCTGTCTCTTTCTCTCTTTCCCCCCTCCACCCGCCTGCAGCGCCAGACAGGGTTCGCTCGCGAGGTACCGAGATCGAGTCACAGGAGAGGATAATAAAGGCTCGTGGTGACCAATCACCTCCTTCATTCACACCACGACGACCACGATGCCGTCCCTCACCAAGCGCGCGCCGCCGCCGGGGCCGGGGTCCGCGCCACGGGCTGGACGAAGATGACGATGAGGGGCTGGAGCGCAGCCAGAGCCGGTCGGGGTCCGACTCGTCCGTCGACAGCGACGACGCCAGCAGCGCCACAGACGACGACGACGACGAGTCTGACACCGAGCCCGTGTCGCGCCATCCGACCCCCAACGAGAAGGAGAAAGAGAAGGGGAAGCAGCCGTTCTTTGCGGCCCCGACTGCGTGGGCGGATATGGTCGAGGAGGGCGGGGCCAATTTGCCCGTTGTCGAGTTTGGCGAGTTTGACGGGAAAGTGGACGTTGCTGACCCAGCTCCCCGACCACCAGCAGCGAATGGGCCTAATAGGCGGCCGGGGCAGAGCGCAAGACAGGCATATCAGCAGCGCCTCGAAACGGACCCCGCGTTTGTCCCCGTTGTCGGCGAGTTCTGGGGCCACGATGACAGGCTGTTGGACAAAGACCTCCGTAGTCTGAGCGGGTGGTGGCGCGGTAGATGGCAGGGCAGGGGTCGGGCACGCGGGACGGGTTTTTTCATGAGGGGTCGCGGGCGGGGTGGATTTGTCGGTGGGCAGGCTCAGCCAGAGCAACAACAACAGTCGCAACAGCCCCAAGAGAACGAGTCTCCAATGGACAGGCCGTGGACACATGACGGCTTTGAGGAGATGCGTAGAAGGGAGGAGGCCCGCAGGGGTGCGGCCCCCAGCCAGCCAACACGCGGCACCTCTTTCCGCGGTCGACCATTTGGCCCCCAGACAACTCCCCCAGCCCGCGCATTAGGGCGGCCCTGGTACATCATGAAGCCAGAGCTCATGTGGACAAAGCAGCACGAAGGCTTCCTCTTCCTCGACCCGGCCCTAAAGCCACGCCCGGGCCAGCCCGCCGGCCTCCGTGTCCGCTTGCCTGGCGGCCAGCCGAATATCATTCGTGCTATTCCTCGGGCGTCTCGTACCACCAAGCCCCCGCCAAAAACGCTCCCGACTAACACCTTCGTCGTCCGTCTCCCGTCAACTGGCAAGGAAAAGCAGAAAGAGAAGGAAAAACAAGAGCCACCCACTTCCGAGCCTGGGGCAGCGACAACGGTAGCAGCAGCGGCCAACGCGTCATTGCGACCCGACGCAGACGGTTGGGTTAGTCCTGATGCCGCCGCTGTTGCACTTGCGACTGTCTCCTCTCCGCCGGCCGGCCCGCCTCCGACCCTCCCTTCCCAACCCCCAGCGTTCTACCCATTCGCACCACCGCCTCCGCTTATGGCGTTCCCACACCCCTCCGCCGGCCCGGCCTTTACCGCGCCGCAGCCCGTCCCGTACTCCTCGCCGTCGCCGCAAGGCTTCGTCACCCCGCCCGGCTTCAGCACACCGTCACCCGGCTTCGGCACGCCGCCGGCTTACTCAGCCCCGCTCCCGCCCGGCGTCGCCGTTGATCCGCGTGGCGGGCTCTACGAGCTCGCGAGCGGCCGCCCGGTGCTTCTGTTTGGCGGCTTCCATGGGCACCACAGCCCGTCGCCGAGCATGAACGGACACCACCCGCTGCACCCCATGCATGGCCACGGGCACACGCCGTCGATGTCGGCCCCGCCGGAGTTTGCGTTTGCGCGGCCGAATGTGCGCGTGGAGATACGTAAGCCGGATGGTCTTCTGGAGGCGACGTCGCCGGTCCGGCCGTCACCGCTTTCACGTGACTCGGCCGAGGCGGGCGTAAATGGATCGGGGAAGAAGCTGAGGACGGGCGCGGCGGCGTTCGTGCCGTCGCACTCCGGCAGCGGAGGCGCGGGCGGCACGGGCAGCGGTGTGTTCTACCCGCCGCAGCCGGCGTACGAGGTGTTTGATCCGGGGTACGAGCAGTATGATCCGGCGCTGAGCTACGAGCAGGGATACGAGCAGCAGCAGCCGGGGATGTACGACGCGTATGGCGCGTATGTTCCCGCGCAGTTTTATTACCACCACCAGCCGCAGCAGACGACGTATTACCACCACCCGATGCCCGTGCCCGCGCACCAGCACCAGCACCAGCAGCAGCCGTCGCTGGGCGGGGAGCAGCAGCAGCAGCAGCAGGGGCCGGGGCCGGTGTATTATGCGTAGGGATCTGGGCCGGGCCGGGCCGGATGTGCAGGTTGGATCTGCGGGCTGGCCAACACAAGGGATGGACGGGACAGGACAGGATAGGACAGGGCGCGCAGGGGGTGGGATAAGTGGGGTCAATTGACAGGTGTGGTGTGGGTTTGGTTACTGTGCGTACTCTTTTTCCTTTATCTCTTTTGGCCTTTTGTTGAACTGATTCGGGTGCAGATATAATATTCTTTCAAAAATGTCTTTGGGGTGGGGTGGGGGCCCGGCGCCGGCGCGTCGCGGAGGACGGTGGGCGGTGGGCGGTGCGGCAGGATTTGGTGCGGGTGTGGGTGGGTGAATCACGATAGTGTGCGTGTGCCGTTTTTTATTGGTTCGGTCGGGGCTGATCAGTATGCTGCAGAAATCTCTCTTTCCGTTCTGTTTACCGACCTACATTTTTCTTTCTTTCTTTCGCTTGCATATCACCTTTTTCTTTTTCTGCAAAATCACGACCCTCGGACCCACCGCATCCATCTGCATCGCACGACCTGTACCTAGCGTGTCTACTACTCTCTTTAGTTCTCTTTTCTTTTTCTTACTGTGTCTCGCGTCGCTGTCTTTCTGATTACATTACGATACTCTCCTACCGGTTGTGTGTTGTCGCTTTCTGTTCTTTCCTGGTTATACATACTTTGCATGTGCGCGCGTGTCTGGTCGCGGTGGTTGCGTGCCCTGCGCGGCGTTATCCGGATTCGGCGTTCGGTATGTGCCCGGCCTCCCGTTCCGAGGCAGCCATGGGATTCAATCTCGGGAATGGATGCATCTGGCCTTTGCCTTCCTGGCGTATGTTATTTCCTTTTTGGGCACGCGGCGTCGTGGTTCGTCCGCGAACGGGAACTCGGTCCTGATGCAGCGGAGACTCCGAGGCGGACGGCGTTAATATTCACAGCAACGGGGCGCCGGTTCGCCGCGGCCACGGTGACCGACAAGGTGTGATCGCAGGATATGCTGAGGATCCAGGGGCGGACCAGTGCGCTGCTAGTGCGCCCAGGTTGTGCGGGTGAATTGACATGCTCTGATGACGCGACGGCCCAGGTGCCTTGCCCGCACGGATCAACAAAGGTTATTCGATGTACGTCGCATGTAAGGTTGGTTGACTTGGGTGGATACGATTCCGAGTCCGAGTCCGGAGGTTCAAGGTTATTGTCGCGATCTCGATCCACGACGCGGGCGGGCGGCACTTTGACGAAGTTTTGTCATCTCGGGCAAGAAACAGCCTGACGAGCCTTGATACGCGTGCCGCCGCGTCCAAGTTGGATAACTCACTAGGAATCAAAGATCGGCACGGACGAGTTCCGCCGTACTCATCACTGACTCACTCTCAGGCTGGCTGCCTCCAGAGTCCCAGATAACGGCCATTTGTGCAGAAATTGTTCTGCTCAAGTTTGGACTGGAACAATTTAAGTTCCCAGTCATCGACCTGAGACTCTCTCGCACTGAGAGCAGTGGCAACCCCATTGCAGTCTCAGCGAGCCAAATGTGGTTGCAGGAGTTCAGCGGCGTATAACGTTGTTCGCCGCGGGCGGGTTGGCGATAGGTCGTTACTAGTACCGCGGCAACATTATCGGTCAAGGCTGTGGAAACTATAGTTAGAATCTAATAATGATCCTTGATAACGCGTTTCCGAGTGTCGAAGCAGGCTCCCGATGCACCCTCGATACATAATGACGGCGGGAACAGCGTTATCGGCTTCAAGTTGTGGATCCATCATGATCATGCGTCGTTTTCCGCTGTCAATGGGTAGGTGCAGGCACTTTCTGAGTGCATATAAAAGGGCAGCGCCTCCCTCTCAACTTCTCATTCAGCTTGAGCAACTCCATCCGGGCCGCTGCCACGGGCACTGTCGCTAAGCAAATCATTGCCATGGTCAGTTCCAACCTGAAATTGGTGCATTGAGCCTGCGTTAGAGCTAACCTCGCCATTGAGCAGCCGAGCCCGCCGAAGATGGACGACCCCCTGTATCTGTATCACGTTCATGCACCTCCAACGACGGACCACCAGACTGTCCTCCAGGTTCCCGTTCCCTGCGTTCAGGACGCCGATGTCGTGCCTATCGTCGTGCCAGACGCGAGCACGAGTACCGCTGGCCCCCCAGCAGCATCCCCACAACATAACGGCGATCGGGGTCCGTGTCCCGCTTGCTTGAACCTCGCGCCGAAAAGCTGGCGCTGGGGGGAGGTCAGCGGAATGATGGTGTGCAGCTCCTGCGGCAATTACGAGTCCCGCACAAAAAAATATCGTCCGCTGGAGCTCGAGACAAAGCGCATGCTCAGGACTCGCGCGGGTGGACGGCGCTAGACGCCTCAAAAAAGTAAAATCGTCGATTTGTGTCTTTGCTGTGTTTGCTATCGTGTTTGCTATCGTGTAGCCGCTTGTAATTGTCCTGAGCTCTGAGTGAAATGTCGCCTTTTTGCTGTCGTTGATACAATGTCCGAGAAAACCATTTGTAACAATTGCAATCAACAGTGCAATGTATTCAAGAAATAGTCTTTGCTTCAGGCTGAGAAGATGAGAAAGTAAGCTTTCCATCCAACTCTGGTGTTGTATCCACGTCAGAAATTGGGATCGCTCATAAGACCGCAGAAATGGATAAGTCGAAGCGGGGAAAGGGCAGTAAACAGTTCGAGTTCGAACAGCGGCATTCAACTTCTCGGCAGTTTTCGGAATGAAGCAATGAATCCGACGAAAGCAAGGATATTTGGTATTCGCAACGACTTGGTACAAAAGCTCTAAGGTTATTATCGGAAGGGGTTCCACGAGCTCTTGATGGGCTCGTATTCCTGCGGCGGGTCGTGCGCATAGGGGTTTTCTGTCGGGGGCTGGAAGCCGAGAAGCATGTCGGTTAGCGAGGGATAATGGGAATGGAAGAGGGCATACGGGGAGGTTGCGTTCCCTGCAACAAGTGTGAGCTAGTTAAGTCGCAGGAATATAACAGAAGACGCACCATTTCGTTCCGCCAGGCGCGGTCGGGGCTAGCGGCCAACAAGAGTGAGCGGGAGACAGAACGGGAGGGAGGCCGACACACCAGTATATGGATCGGGGTGTTTCCACTTCGCGAGCTTCGCCTCCGCCTCCGCAAAGATCTGCGCAAGCAACCGCGGGTCCTTAATGTCCCTGCTCTCCATCAGCCTCTCTTTCTTTCTGCTCGCCAACAGCCACCCACCGGTTGACCTCAAACTCGGCGCGGATTTGCATCGCCTTCCCGCGCCAGATGTCGCGGCGCACGGTCCAGTCGAGGGAGTTCTGCAGGCGGCGGCGGTACAACGACTGCACGTAGCGCCGGTGCGCGGCAGAGAACGCCGTCGTCGTCGGGGCGCTGGCCATCGTGGTGCAGTGGTGAAAATGTGACGTGACTGATGTGTGTGACGCTGGCAATCGTTTCTCAGTTGGTCAACGACCAACGACGATTGGAAAACGTATTTCTCGTTGATAGCTACCGCCTGCCTCCGCCTGCTAATTAACGCACGGCCACACTGTGGCTGGCCCGACCACCAACTCAAGACGTCCCGTCAAACACTGACCTATAACATTTCTCGGCCCTAAATCCGCTGGCTGGGGGTTGTGAAGCGGTCCCCATACAAAAGATGGTCTCATATGGGTCAAAACGTGCTCTGCTAATCGCCAACGTGGCCCTCATTCATGGCAACCACTACTGATCGCATGTGCAGTACACTGCGCGCCGATCGCAGATTGGCCGAGGCCTTTTACGAGCGTACAAGCAAGAATAACGCTACTGCCCAAATCGGAAACCTTGAACGTCGAGAAGCCGTTCTTCTCAAACTTGCTGATGAAGTCCGTAACCTTCCATCTGATACCACTGACACTACACCAATTGGCGGAAAACGCAAACGAGCAGCATCAAAGAAGCAAGACCCTACTCTCAGTTTTGCTCAAGCTGAGTCGTTGCCATATACCCCTCCAGAAGCTCATTTTCATATTTCCCTGAATCGAAACATCCACACTAATCTTGATATCTGGGTCGAACAGCATCTTGGTGACCCAGCATTTAAGGTAGAATTGTATTCAATGTTCTGCTACGTCTAACTATCTGTAAGGGCAACCTCGCGAGGCTCGAAATCAGAGTCCTGAGCAGAGGGGGAATCCTTAGTGAACTACTACAACAGGAAGGGACGCTACAGACTCACCTGAGCAGAGGGGGAATCCTTAGAGAACAAGCCAAGGAGCCCTCTGCCCAGGTGCACTACTATATACCAGTGACCGGAGTAATGATAGAGTGACTGCATAGCGACGGATGACGGATGGGAGAAGTCAGGCATCGCTAATGGACCCTAGGTGAGTGTCGAGTAGCCCTTGAAGCTCCGGAGAGGCAGGTTTGGGACCGTGATGCCAAGGGAGGGGCCCAGGCATCCCTAGAAGGCCTAAGAAGGGCTTCGGGAGGTCCAGGCTGCCTCTGGGCGTCTCCGCTTGTGACCGTGACCGTGACAACCGGAATCGGAATCGGAATCGGAATCGACTCCGGGTGTGTGACCGTGACGTGACGGCCGGAAACGGAGAGGGAAGGCGTGGAGCGGAAAGGGAAGGAGTCTGGTCTAGCCCAAGGGTGTCAGGGGAACCTCCCTTTCGGCCCCTCGGAGACGCCTCCGATTCCGGTCCGACTCCGGTTCCGTCTCCGGTCTGGCCCTCCATCTCGCCCGCACAATCACCGATCCGTCAACGCCCTCCCGACGGTCGCCCTGGGACCTCGCCTGCGACGCCGCCCAAGCCTTCTGTGCCCGACAGCGGCAGCTACGGACAAGCAGTATATAGTCAGCTACCTAGCAGGCGGACCCTTAGAGTTTCTTCTCTTTGGATCCTCCCCTGCTAGGTCAGCTTCATTTGTATTCGCTTACCAATGTTCACGCTTTGGATCCTCCCCTGCTAGGACCTTGATCTCAGGCCTCCGGGGTTGCCCTTACAGCAGAAGAAACTCTCTACGGGATCAACCGGACAAGATTGCCAGGTTCGGCGCTGACTCAGGCTCGAGTACGAGTCCGTTCCGCCCTCGTCACCGCCCCTGCCACTTGTCCCCTCCTCCTCTACTCCTGTGGTCCCCGCACCCGTCATGCCGTCCGGAGTCACTCCTACCGCAGACGCCCGGCTGGACTCACTCGAGGCGAAAATCGATAGCCTAACTGAGGCCCTTGCTTTACTCACCAACCAGGCTTCCGCTGCCGCTGCCGCCGCTAATAATGCTGGCGGACCCCAAACACCATCGCCGGAGACGTCGATTCCGACTCCGACTCCGGTCCAGGGCGACTCGAAGCCCTTTTTGGCGACATCAACCTCGCCTCAAAATTGGTCTTGCGACCAAACCCCCCGTTCACCTTCAACGGCGACCGGAAACGCGGCCGCGCGTTCCTCTACGCGGTCCGCACCTCGCCCGCCTTGACCCTGAGGCCTTCGTGGTCAACGGAGAGGCGAGTGAGGAAAAGGCCGTCCGCTATGCCATGTCGTTTATGGCAGAAGGACCCGCTCAGCAATGGGCGGAGCGCCACGGAAGCAAAGCCCCGTTTCCGTTTCCGTCCTGGGGCTCGTTCGTTTCCGAAGTTTCGACTCCGGTTCGTCGAGGAGAACGAGCAAGATCATGCTCTCTCCAAACTGGAGACTTCCGCCTATCACATGGGCACAAAGGATGTCTACCAGTACACCGACGACTTCGAGGACCTGATGGACCTCGCCGGATTCGAAGACGCGTTGGTCAAGGTGACCAAGTTCCGCCACGGACTTGACCCCCTGATCAACAACGGAATCACGTCCTCGAACGACCCCCCGGACCTCCGGGATTACCTTAGCTGGCGCACCCGGGCCTTCCGTCAATACGAGGCCCTGGTCCGGGCCAAGCTGATCAAGTCAGCCGCCCCCAAGACGCCTGGTGGTTTGATTCGGACTCCGTTTCCGGTCAACCGCATCCCGGCTCCGGCCCCTTTCCGCCCGGTGGCTCCGGTCGTGCCACCCGCGGCCCGCGCCCCGCTCCGGCGCCTCCAGCTCCCGTCCCTATGGAGTTGGATCGCACCAGGGCTCGGGGTGCCCCTCGTCGCGCCTGCTTCAGGTGCGGCGACCCAAACCATCTCGCCCGGGATTGCCCCCCCCCCGATGTCCGCTCAATGGACATCCTCGACGAGGTGATCCAACAACTCGGTGACGAGATGTTAGCGGAGTTGATCGCCTGCTACACGGACACAGCTGCCCTGCCGGAGACGGCAGCGGAGTCGATGGCCGGAGAGGATTTTGTCCCCCCGACGAGTGACTGGTGTGCCCTCGTTCGCGTCTATAAATCGTTTTGCCTCTTTGTATGATGAATGCAGTTCCTTGCCCTACAATGAGCCCGAAACGAAAGACACACCCTCTCCTGCCCCCCGCCTCGACTCCGTCTCCGACTCCGCCCGCGACTCCGGTCATCGTCCTCCGCCGCCTCACTGCCTGGGAAAAGAAACTGCCCAAGCAGTACACCGTTGCCGCTGCCCCTGGGGCGAACTCCCTCCACCTCCCGTTAGAGCTCGAGTCCACCACCAGCGCGCTGAAGCTCTCACTCTCTGGGCTTGTCGACTGTGGTGCCACCTCCGACTTCATTGACACGAACTATGTTGCTCGGAATGGCATTCCGGTCCGCACCCTCGATCAGCCGATTCCGGTTTTCAATGTCGATGGCACCCCCAATGACGCTGGCTCCATCAAACAGATCGCGGACTTGGTCCTGCGCTACAAGGGCCATGCCGAACGAGTTCAGCTGGCCGTCACCCATCTTGGCAAGCAAGACCTCATCCTGGGGTATTCCTGGTTGCGGAAACATAACCCAGAGATCAATTGGGAAACCAAGGAGGTCAAGATGACACGGTGCCCCCGCAATTGCTCGACCTGCCGTGAGGAAGAGCGGGTCGAACGGACCGAGTTGCGGCGACTCCGGTCGCTTCAGAAGCGTCTCTGCTCCGGCCCGTTCCCCTCGGTCTGCGCCATGGACCTTTCTGGGTCTGATGACGGAGACGACTCCGTCTCCGGTGACGACTCCGGCCTGCCTGATCTGACGCCGGACTCCGACGACGATGATGACGATGGTCAGCTTGAAGATGGTGACCGCATCTTCTACACCTCGTTCCGCCCCTCGGAGGAGATACGCGCTGGCAGTACTGTCTCGCAACGCCTGGCCGAAGCCTTCGCCAGGAACTCCGCCCCTCCGCCCTCCGAGATCCCGGACTGGGCTAAGGAGTTCCAGGACGTCTTCAACAAGGAGTCCTTCGACACGCTACCGGAGCGGAGAGCCTGGGACCACGCCATTGAACTCGTCCCCGACGCTAAGCCCACCAACTGCAAGGTGTACCCCATCTCGCCCCTCGAGCAACGCGAGCTCGACGCGTTCATCGAGGAAGGGCTTTCGACGGGCCGGATTCGCCTCCCAAGTCTCCGATGGCGTCTCCGGTCTTCTTCAAGAAGAAGAAGGACGGCGGACTCCGCTCGTCCAGGACTACCGTGCTCTCAATGCGATGACTGTCAAAAACCGGTACCCCCTTCCGCTGATCAACGACCTCATCAACCGGCTCAAAGGCGCTCGTTACTTCACCAAACTCGACGTCCGTTGGGGCTTCAACAACGTCCGGATCAAGGAAGGTGACGAGTGGAAAGCGGCTTTCCGGACTAACCGAGGCCTGTTCGAGCCCTTGGTGATGTATTTCGGCCTGACAAACTCTCCCGCGACGTTCCAAACGATGATGAATGACATTTTTCAGGACCTCATCCTCTCCGGAGACGTCATGATCTACCTTGACGACATCTTGATCGCCCATTCCGACCTCCGGAAACACCGGCAGATTGTTCAGGAGGTCTTGCGGCGACTCCGAGAGCACAAGTTGTACCTCCGAGCGGAGAAGTGCGACTTTGAAAAATCGTCAATCGAGTACCTCGGAGTCATCATCTCCCACAACCACGTCGAAATGGACCCCGTCAAAGTCGCAGGCGTCTCCGCTTGGCCGACTCCGGAAAACAAGAAGGACATTCAGCAGTTCCTTGGGTTCGCTAACTTCTACCGCAGGTTCATTCGGGACTTCTCGACCCTCGCGCGCCCTCTCTTCGTGCTCACCAAGAAGGACCAGCAGTGGACTTGGGGCGACGCGGAGGCCTCCGCGTTCCAAGCGATCAAGGACGCAGTCACCTCGGAACCGGTCCTGGCGATTCCGGACGACGCACGGCCTTTCCGACTTGAGGCGGACAGCTCTGATTATGCGACGGGGGCGGTTCTTTCACAATCCGCCCCGGACGGGAAGTGGCACCCTGTAGCATTCTATTCCAAAAGCTTAAATGTGTAAGGGCAACCCCGGAGGCCTGAGATCAAGGTCCTAGCAGGGGAGGATCCA